ATTCTGACCAGATATGTCGTATGCCAGTGATGCTGTAAGCTGGTATAGGATATCAGTGCAGATCCGAGGCTCGCAGATAGTTCGCGGCTGACAAAGCTCAGGTAGTTGGATGGAGCAATATCAACAAAAGAAAGAAAGAGAAAGAAAAAAGAAAAAGAAAAAGAAAAAGGAGATAAAAAATAAAAACAGCAAAAGGAAAGGAAAAGGAAGAAGAAGACAGACTAAAAGAATGACTAGATGCCAGTGAAATGTGCAAAACGCCCACACTGCCAAAAAGCAATGGAAGTGGTCGAAACTCTGCTTGTTTTTTTGTGACCAAATATCAAGATTCCCATTTATCACTTCGCTCCTCCGTCACCTCATCAAACGGTTGGTCTTTGGTGATCTCCTACTCCGCTGCCAGATCAAACCGCGTAGGCATCCAATATGGCTTCCGTCTTCTTTAGATCCTCGTCAACTAACCAACCTTTGCTCTTCAACTCATCCACCAGTCTCCTCTGCTTAAACAAGGCCGAGGCACGATTGTTCGTCTTACAGGAAACCTCGACGATGTAATCAGTTCTCGAAGCCGAGGGATTCACCATGTACCAAACTTCAAGGTTGATCGGCTTATTATCCCACGAGCCGGAGTAGCGATCAACAAGAATCGGGCCATAAATGATCGACCGCTGCAAAGCATAAGTGCCCCAGTCATGAATTTTCCAATGTCTGAACTTATTTGGCGCTTCCGTGCTTAGCATCTGCCGGATTCTATCTGCTGAAGGGAAGTCTAGTTCGTCGGCTAGAAATCCATCTAGCTTCTTCTTGCTGGCCATGGACAATACTTTGTTTGCGTAGCCCCATTCAACCTGCGCTTTGAACTCCCTACTGTCACCAGTGGGCTCATTGTTGAAACCATGCCGGTTGGCATGGGTAAGGGTGCTATCAATATCATTGTTCCTGATTGGGTAGTGATGCTTGTACGTAAACTCGATTGTGTCTTCGCCTTGAACCCTTACGGGCGCTGACGCTCCAGCCGGCCCTCGAAGATTTCCTTGGTTGGGGTGTCGAAAAATTCTATGCTCTCCTTGGTAGCGCTCGGCTGCATGTTGAAGGTAGATTGGACGTCATTGGTAAGTTGAATGCTTGGGGTGAGGATCTCGGCGGGTTCGAGAAGGAGTCGCACTTCGTAGTCAGGTGTCTTGTTTTGTGGTAGTATTCCGAACGGGCGCATGTGACTCATTGTGACGGAGACTCGTGGGGTGATTTTGTTTTAGTGAAGCGGTGGTTGCAAACTGGGAGCAGGAAACGGGGTGTAGGAGTGGTGATAATAACAGAGCCGGATCAACGACGGGGTTTATATCTGCAGCTGAAGTGTGGTGAATGAATGGTCTAAAGCAGGGTGTGTGAATGCCGGTGCCGGAAGATGCAGTTCCCGTCCCTTTGAGCACAGATGCTGTGTACAGTTTTCATTCACTATATACTTATTTACATTCTTCCAGGAGGCCTGTCATTGTGAAATGGGATATGCCATGGTTACAAAGCAGTAGTAACAGCGCATTAGCCCAAGATGTAGTCTTGAAGGTTCCTCCCGGATCACGGACGGCAGCGGAGAGGATGCTCCCGCATACCTCTCAGAAACCTTATTCCATATACTATGGATGTTGTATAATGGCTGTCGCGATAGGAGGTCAATGGTGTATTAGCCTATCATTGGTATGGATCGCGACCCAGTAAATGACTCAAGATATTGCATTCTTCATGATGGTTTCGAGTAGGTTGGTCAGTTTCACCAAGAATTCAGGCTTTCATAGAGCAAAAAGCTATCACATAATGGTGCAAAGGTAACACTCGATGTATGTTGCACCCGATTTGTATGAGGCCAGGTAGATGACCGACATTCCCCGGTACCGTCACAATACAAGCTTGGGTGAATCCAGTACCAACTCGAGACTAGCGCCGCGAAGCTTAATTCTGCGGGGTGGATCTCTGCCCCGCTCAGCCTGCCGGATCCGAGCTGCAGCTCGCACGGTCGGCATCTTGTCCCCGGGTCCCGCACAAACCATCGTCGCCAGGCCGGTCGGTCTCGATGAGTCTACACCACATACCATCACCTCTCTATGGGTGAAATACGAGAGCCAAGCAATATAGTTGTGCGGGAAGCTGGATTGTACGAGATTCAGCCAGTCCGTGAAAGAAACCAATGCGATACTCGTATATCGTACTTACCACTCCAACTCTAAACAAAAGATAATATTCCTAGTGATGCTAACTGGTAGCGATAAATAGCGACGCAGGGAAGGCAAAAGCCGCACTGATCAGAACCTGCATCATCACCGCCATAGCACTCACCTACCTCAGCTGACTGAAACACATTCAAGCCTCCTCCCCAGTATTAGAAGAACATCATGCCCGTCCCCCACTACGGTGTCTGGGCTTGCCGCCCATTTGACTATTACGCCGAGGGCCGTGGCCAGCGCACTCCACACATCTACCTCTACTTCAGAGACGACTCGTCCGGCAAGCGAACTGCTGCCATCAACGTCAAATCTAACGGCAAAGAATCTCGTCTGGTGTACTGGGTTGATAAGGATTTCACCCATCCCGTCACCGACAAGCTCGACAGCCTGGAGCTGGGCTTTCACCTGATCCAAGATCCCCCCAATAATAATAACAATGGGAATCAGCATCGCCACCATACCCACCGTCATTTCCGATATAGCCATCTTACACCGAGTGACCCCGATTTGGAGGGGCTTGACTTTTACCGCACAAAAGGCCTCGTGAACATTCTTGCAGGCGAAGTCCTGAAATATGATATCGCAGGACCTGACAATGACATCTTGGATAAGCTGGAGCCCATTCTCCAGGCTGCGATCGCTGATGGTGACGCGACCGCCTATATCTTTGGCGCGTCGTTTGGATCTGGTATTCATAACATCCATATGAACCAGGGCAGTCTTCCCAAGTATGACAACGGGATTTACTCGGATGGCGGATTGCTGTTCAGGTTCTCTGACGGCCACTGGGAGGCAGTGTTTCTGGCCTTCGCTTCGCAGAGGCTTCCAACGGGTGATGATGGGGAGGCGGAGAGAGGTAGTGAGACCTTGTTGCAGATTATTCAGGAGGCGGTGGGGTCATGAGGTCTGAAAGATAGGGGTAATGAGTATGCAGTTGCGTCGAAACAGACTGATACTCCGCAATAGTATGGACCCGCTTGAAGTTTTTTTTTCTTTTTACTGTAACGATGTCGAATAACACAGATTAATGCTCATCTCGGGTGACTGCCTACAGAGTCAAATTTAGTAGTGGACATGGCGGCCCGTCCGCTCAGTAGCATTTCTAATAATTCCACCAGAAGTGGTTCTATGGGTTTATGCGTAGTTTTGATCGTAGCAAATACTATAACTACTAGTTGTACCATGGAACGACCACGGTGAAGGATAGTATGGTTGATTGAAACTTGTCAAAAACTACTGTGTCTAGGTGAGAATAGTAAACTACTGGTTAAATATATAATGTACTGGCAGGGAACATAACACAACCTAATTGACTCGAACCAGGTTGCATTTTATCTGTTCGAAAGCTGTCTTTGAGATCCTAATCAGCAGCCCTTGTTTGCTTCCTTGCAGAGACAAAAAAAAGTAAAATGCTGTTGTAAGCCCATCGAGGAGAACAGGCGAACAAACGGTATTTAAAAAAAGTTTTTGTGTGTTAGCTTGCTTGGATTTTGATTTTCCTTAGCGAGCGGGCCGAAGATTAGCAAAAAAGAAAGCCCAACGCGGGGCTCGAACCCGCAGCCTTGAGATTAAGAGTCTCACGCTCTACCGATTGAGCTAGCCGGGCTAGTTCGGTGAGAGGAGTTGATTTATAAGGGTATATATTCCTTACCAAAAGCACTTGGGTTTGAGATTTCATCGTTTGGCGGAAAGTTGGCGCTGGCAAGGGCCCCGCCGGTTCACGCCCCCAAATCCGATGAATACATGCTGCTTTGCTATACATAAGCGTCATCAGTATCATTTAGGAATGAAATATCGAACTTCTGCCTAACCTCCGTTTCTTTCAGCTCTCGTTGTAAACCGGGAACGTCCGCATGAGGATGACTCTACCTGCATACGCCCATCCCGACATGGACTGTAGAGAACATAGTTGTTTTCATTCGGACCGGGGATATACCTCGATTATCCTTTTTTAATTGGTGAGAGTCTCCTTGGTAGAAACTCAGCTGGAAGGTGGCGCTTCATGTGCCATGCCTTTTATCATTAGCTTCCTGCATGTTTGATTCCACATCATGCACACAGGCCACGAGTATGGTCGAAGAGACGCCGATAAATCGCCCCGAGCTCGATTAATGCACGCATAATATCTTCTTATCAAACTATTCGAGGCGACACCGGGATGTGAGACATTTATGACGGGATATGTTTGGGCCACGAGGCAAACATAATTGGGAAGCTGTAGCCGGAATATACATGGCAAACATCACATCTATCGATAATCGAGATTATACCAGACCGACTTTAAATCCGCGCTCACTCGGATTGCAGCGATTATAAATTGAACTTCTAGTGCCCGCCCACCTTTGATGTAGCACAACTGGTTGACTTATTGCAAATCGCGCCCGCCATGGAACTCAAAGTCGACGTCAAAGAGCATGGCAACCCTCTTAGCCTAGGCACGTCGATCATTCTGCTTTCGCTTGTACTCATATTTCTCCTCCGATGGAAAGATACACCCGCCTCACAGAACGGACTGCCCCTGATCAATGCAAAGAGACGGTTCGAATTCGTCGACTTGCTGGCCAAGAAACGGTTCATCACAAACGCGCAAGAACTGCTCAAAGCCGGTTTGAAAAAGGTACGCCTTTCCCAATTTGCAGCAACTAATAGGGTAATTGACCCCATCAAGGCAAGTGTATTCAACATCGTCACCGAAAATGGGGTCATGATGGTCCTAGATCCCAAATACGCCGATGAAATTCGCAACTCAAAAATCCTGAGCCTCCGCAAGACCCTGATAGAGGACATGCACGTCAATGTTCCTGGGTTCGAGCAACAGATGCAAGCTCTGGAAGATGATGAAATTTTCCAGACTACTTTGAAGACAAAGTTGACCCGAAACTTGGGTGAGCTTCTTCAGATTCTGTGCCGATCAGCGACTGACCATAACAGAGGATCTGAATGAGATATTGTCTCAGGAGGCAACCGTCGCACTGCAAGAACATTGGACTGATAATCCCGGTATCATTATTCACGTTCACTGGCATCTGTATGTGGTGATGAAACTGACGTCTATTAGAATGGCATGAAATTCCCCTGAGTAGATCCATGCTCAAAATCATCGCTCAACTCAGCTCGCGAGTCTTCCTAGGTGACAAGATCTGCCACAACCCCAAATGGCTACGAATTTCTGTCGACTACTCAATCGACCTATTTCAAGCAACCTTTGAGCTGCGCATCTATCCTCGCTTTCTCCGCCCCTTGGCATCCAGGTTCCAGCCATCTTGTCGAAGGCTTCGTGCCGACATACGAGAGGCTCGAAGCATCATCGAGCCCGTCATAGAAGAACGTCGAAAAGCCAAAGCCATCGCAAAACAAGAAGGTCGAGATCCAGAACGCCATGAAGATACAATAGAGTGGTTGGAGGAGGTTGCGAATGGGAGACAGTATAATCCTGTGTCTGCGCAGTTGTTGCTTTCGAGTGCGGCCGTGCATACAAGCTCCGATATGCTCACTCAGGTATTATACGATTTAGACGGGCGGCAAGAGCTGATTGAAGCACTGCGAGAGGAGATCAGATCTGTCTTCAAGAATGGTTGGGAAAGGTCCTCGTTGGCGAAGCTGCGGTTGATGGATAGTATGTTGAGGGAGAGTCAGCGCTTGAAGCCTATTAGTAGCGGTATGACATCCCTTTCTTTTTTTTCTCCTCACCCCCCAACAATGAAGCGTAGATCTGCTACCTCTTTCTGCCGTTGATCCTTTCATGATTCACCGGTAGGTTTACCTCTAAGCTAACATACCCACCACCAAGTCTCCATGCGCCGCATGGCCGAAGCACCCGTCACCTTATCTGACGGCACCATTATCCCGAAAGACTGCAAGATCATTGTTCCCTGCCTCCGACAATGGGACGAGAAATACTACCCTGACCCTGAAACCTTTGTCCCCGACCGATTTCTCAAGCTCAGAAACGAGCCTGGCTACGAGCATACCGCAGCCTTTGCCAACTCATCCCCGAATCACCTGGGCTTCGGGCTAGGGCGACACGCATGTCCGGGAAGATTCTTTGCGGCAAACGAGATTAAATTAGCTTTGTGCCATATTCTGATGAAATATGAGTTCAGAGTTGTCGGGAAAAAGCCCGAGAAGGTAGTGTTTGGGACGATGCTGGCGGCGGATCCGAATGGGGTGATTGCGGTTAGAAGGAGGAAGGGCGAGGAGCAGATTCGCCTGTAATTGTAGTGAGCTATCGCACCTGAATGTTCATGTTGACTTTGTGCGTATCGCGCTTCTCGACAATAAATACTCCTGCTCAAAGCCGTGCTCATGCGCCCTCTTGGACTCGTCTTCTTACCCCTCATGAGCCCCGTGCCCCGAAGATCACCTTCACGGCCAATTACCGTGGATGAACTTCGCGCATGATGGCAGACACCGCATCCTGCAACACTTCGTGGACCAATATCTTATGTGCGATCGGAATATCAACATGCCGCTGTGTTTTCTTCTGCTGGTAGTATTTAACGCTCCCCGAGAAGGGTGTATCATAAGAATTGTAGGAGTACAGGCTCGTCAAACCACCCCACTTCCTTGGGCCATGTAGATGTAACAGCTTCGAGGCCCGTACAGAATCCTGTGGCAGTCACGGCATTATTCACTGCGGGCACGTCACTGGTGTCTCCATCGAAGAAGTGGGCCTAAAGGGTAATGGGAATAAGCATGATCGTATGAAAGGTGGGTGGTTGTGGGAGGTGCATGCTAATAAATCTACGAATGGGTGGTGGGGTGGTGGGAATAACGCCATCACGCTTGCAGGTGAACTCATCCACTAGTAGCTAGCCACCTTGGCAACATGAGAGATTTCGGACTGAAGCCGCAAGCCTTCCACGAATTCACCGGTATATAAGCCGTTTCGTCTTCGGCGAAGACTTATGGCTTGAAAGGTTAGATTTGCCATCGACATGGGCCGTGACACGATTTCCCAGGTGACGATCGAGACGGATGCGTCTCGCTCTCGCGATGACAGCCTCAAGGCCGGGGAGAGACTCTCTGTCAATGAAAACCATGTGCTTCAGGATCGCAAGATTGGAGCGCTGGGAGCCATCTCTCTGGTTGTCAATAAGATAGTTGGCGCTGGGTAGGTCCATTGATATTTCCACCCACTCCGCCATTACTATCCAGATCTTGAGAGTCGCTAACAGCGAGTAGAATCTTCTCTACACCATCCACTATCTTTAAACTCTCTGGTAGTGTGGGCTTGTCGCTGATCCTCTGGGTAGTGGCCGGAATCATCTCCGCCTGCGGTGCCCTGGTGATGCTGGAATTCGGCAGCGGGATGCCTCGATCGGGAGGCATCAAGGTATATCTGGAGCGATGCTTCTCCCCAAAGCAGATGCAGACCTGCATTTACCTCTTCTTCTGCTTGTTTCTGCAGGTCTCTGCCAGCAACGCAATCACCGCATCGGAATATTTGCTGTCCGCTGCTGGGGTAGACTCTACGACCTGGAAGGAACGAGGGCTAGCCATTGCGGCCGTGTCATTTGCCGTCGGCGTCCACACCTGCGCTCCCCGGATCGGGCGCGCAATGCAGGATCTGCTGAGTATGGTCAAGCTCTTCACTTTACTGTTCATCGTGTGTACGGGTTTTGCCGCTCTGGCTGGCCATCGACGCATCCCTAACCCTCACAACTTCGACGTGAAGACATCCTTTGAGGGCACCTCGAACAATGGATATGAAATCGGGACGGCTCTCCTGGATGCGATATTCTCGTATCAGGGGTATGATAATGTAAATGCGGTCCTCTCCGAGGTTAAAAACCCCGAACACACCCTGCGCATTGCTCTCCCCTCCGCCATGGGGATCATCACGGTGTTGTACGTTCTTGCTAATGTAGCCTACGTGAGTCCTCTCCCCCCACGTCGAGTTGTTCTTGGGATATAGTGGCTTATTCATTTTTCCCATTCACAGTTTGCTGGTGTCTCCAAGGAAGAATTCCGATCAGCCAATGTCACAATTGCCGCCAGCCTATTCCGCAACGTGTTCGGCGAGACAGCCGCAACGCGAGCCCTTCCTGCTCTCGTTGCTCTGTCTGCCATCGGCCATTTGTTGGGAGTTGCGTTTGTCGTCCGTAAGTCAAGCCTCATGTTAGCTTTATATTCCGGTTGAACTAAGGATCTCCGAATCAGCGCGTTTGCTTCAAGAACTCGCGAAAGACGGTATCACCCCGTTTCCCAACATCATGATGCAGAACCGGCCATTCAAGACCCCGATCGCAGCACTGTTCGTGCATCTCTGCGTCACGATTCTATTTATCTGCGCTCCACCCGCAGGAGATGCTTTTTCATTCGTCGTTGGACTTTCATCCTATCCGATGTGCGTGATGTTGACAGCCATTACGGTGGGTCTGGTGAAGATGCGATTCACGCCGTCCGAGGGGTGGTCGTCGTCCTACAGCGCGCTATGGCCGGTCATTGTGTTTTACCTGGCGGCCAATGTTGTATGTTTACCTCAGTATTCTCGTTTTGATGTATCATCGTGCTAACGAAATTGGGATCTACAGTTCCTATTAGTTATGCCGTTCGTTCCGCCTAATTCGAGCACATCTAGCATCCCTTATTGGCTGAGTCCTGTAGTAGCATTAGGGATCCTCGGGCTCGGTGTGATATACTACCTTTTACGGTTCGTTCTATTGCCGTGGGTGTTCGGCTACAGCCTTCGTCCAGTGACGAAAGACTTGACGGACGGGTCGCGGGTTGTGCGCTATCGTATGCAGAAGAACAGTTCTCGCGAAGGGACTGTCGAGACTTTTGATTAAATGTTTTGTTGGAGGAATTGATACAGGCTCAGAGCTGTCTTGACCAACCTTCCGATTTGGCTTCGAAATGATAAAGAAATGTATATGTAACCACGCAAGACGATGCGAGTCAAAATCGCGACATTATCGGGATCTAGCACAGCTCCCACCCCCCAACCCAAAAAGAAGATAGGGGAGAAACAAAAAAAGCCTTTTGCCTCCCACTTTCTGGAATGTCGATCCGCATGAGGTATGGTAGGCGTATGTATGGGAACAGTGAGAGGGTGCTAGAGCCGCCCTGACCCAGCTAAACCAAATTTGCACTATCACTATCAGCCATCAACCTGTCCACCAGACGACGAAAACTTTGTGTCGTGTCCAGCGTATCCTTGCTGTCCTCAGGCCACGCAGCCGATGGATGCTTAACAAGAGCCTTGGCAACACACCAGAATTCGGCGGCATGGATGATAAAACCGGCTCGTTTGGCAGTACCTGGTTCGATACCTTGGCACAATGAATCCCAGTGGATTTTCCACCGATCCAAGGCACGGTCCACGGGTTCAAATACGCGAGTGTCATCCATAAATGTGTGTAGGGCTAATAGATCGAACAGAATGCATTGTATAGCTGGAAACATTTCAGTTAGATTTTATTGATCGATTACGGGAAATGACAAATTGTGTCGAGCAGCCTTACCTGAGAGAACAAGAAATGACCCGAAGATAGTATTGGGAAAGTAGTTATCCTGTTGGGGAGAGCGCCCCTCAGGTCTCATAAAGTCGCGGAGCGCATTTCGCAATCGTAGGGGTTCATGGGGCTGCTGATCCTTCAAAAATAGTTGCTCCCATTCAGTGGCGCTTTGAGCATGGAATAAGTCATCCCGTTGCGGTATTTCGAAAGCTATCTCATCGAGTCTAAGACAAGTCGGATACCGGAAGAAGATGACGCAATAACTGTCCAGCAGGTATATACCTGCAACAACTCTGTTATACATTATCAGTGGAAGGAATCATGGAGTTTCGGAGCTGAGTTATGCCCACCTGACAAGGCCCTCCCGCAGAAGGTACGTGTCCCAATCTGAAGCACCAGGAAGGCAGTCATTCACAATCTTATTCAACTCAAGCATACGAATGACAGTGAATATAGTCGGCATGCGTTGCAATCGAATCCGTCGCATACTATCAGGGCTCTCTTTGTAGGACTGCAAGATGATGACAAGCATTGCGGCTTGGAGAGTCTCTAGCGTCCCGCGGGAATTTAGGGAGTCACCCTTCCCAAGTAACAAATCTTTGAAAGCTGGTCCTTCGAAGACCAGGTGTTCGGTGGCATTTGAATGTGCTGCCAAATCATCCGAATAATAAGGGTTACTATAAACGGCCCCCAATAGCACCATTGTGAGAACAAGAAGCTTTGAGGCTTTGTTCAGGTTGAATGCTGCTGGGTTGAGGTAGTGGGTGTGGAATGCATTCTCCAGGAATGCTTCGGTATATTTGGCGATATTGAGGGGAGTAAATATTTGTCTGGCCTTATTGATGTCCAGGATGTCCTGACTCAATGCATCTTGTTGCTCGCAGCTGGCAAGGATTCCTAAGAGCTCGGCGGAAGTGCTCTCAAGATCTGCGGGGTCAAACGGGTAGGTAGCACTCGTTTGCAAGTCGCAAGGCGGGTCCAGATTAGCAGTACATATGAAAGAATGAAACAACCTTTCCCAAGAGTCCGTGAGGAAGTTCGAATTGTTCTGTTGATGGTTCACAGCACAACAACCGACTCTCGGATCTGCACCGGTACATTGTGATAGGAGACGGAGGCCTTCGTATTTCGATTCGTTCTCCACATTTGTATAGTGCAGAAGAAACGGTATTGATAGCTTTACGGGGCGGTGACTTGGATCGGCTTCTGTTGACGGATCGATATCTTTCGCCAATTGAGGAGTTGGGTTTTGGCTAGGTTGAGAAGACCTGGGTGACTGCTCGTGCATGCGGCTGAACGAGCAATCTAGACCCTTGTGTAAGCAGGTCTCGCAAGGTAGCTCTCCATCGCAAAATACTCGCGCAGTAGCGCACGTATTGCAAGACTTGCGCTTCCTCCCTGGTTTCCGTTGAGTTGGAGGTTGATAATCTCCTTTTTGCCCGCATTTTTGAAGATGGCGACGGAGAACGTCCCTGGAGGTTAGAAATAAGTTAGAACTACCCAGCCACGAATGAACCAGGGGACGGGAATACCTTCTCCGATAGGCACCGGCACAAAATGGACAGGCTAGTTTTTCCGAAGGTCCGTCTTGCTAAAATCAGATACCAGGATGAGTGCAGGGCGGGCGTCGCTTACGGCTTGCTTCATGTCGTCGCAGGTGGCTTTGAGTGGAGAATACTTTCTGGCATATGGCACACTTCACAGAGGAGGACCTTCCCAATGTAGTCCGCGTACTCAACGGTCTTTGATGTGGCACTGGTGACATCGTTCAAGTGATTTTTGAGTAAATGCATGAGTCTAGCGAAGTGGAATTTTTGGGGGGAAGTTCGGGAAGCTTTCCAGCGAATGTGGGGACGGTGGCAAATGGCCGGTTGGAGCCATATCATTACATCCAATTTTGATGTGCCTCAACCACGCCGTTATCCGAGCCGACTCGGGGCAATCAAAATCGCGTCGATTCTTGCCCGTCTTTAGGGGAATTGGTGTGGTTACGGGCACAATAACAGTGGAGATACGTTGACTTGCTTGTTCCACTGTCCCGAGTAGTCGGGAAATCCCACATGCTAGTCGGGAAATGATCCACATCAAAGTATAACCCCCAGGGGGCTTCAGGTACCAAGACCATTACGTTCGAGACCTCACCAGTAGCAACTTTTCAAGACATTATGGGACATATATTGAGATCTGGCTCATCTCTCAGGATCAGGAATGGTGGGTGTGACTATCACAGTTTGGGAGACTTACTGACTCAACAGGGGTTTTATCCCAATGCCTCCGATCGCATTTGGGCTCGACTTTCGTGACACCTTCTGGATTTCACATTTTCTCTCGCCGCGCATTGTCTTCGGGAAATCTTAAGGCGGCTGCCACTTCGCAGCAAGATCAGGGGAGCGCTCCACCACCTTCTACAGCTCTTTCGGCTGAGAGACGACCGATGAACATGGCCGAACATGTTCTGTAAGGAAGTCAACTTGCTTGTCACCTCAAAGAACAGTACGCTGACTTCCCAAGTACTACCTTTGATCAAATAGTCAACTGGGCCCGTCAGGGCTCACTGTGGCCTCTCAGTTTTGGTCTAGCGTGCTGTGCCATTGAAATGATGCACGTGTCCATGCCACGATACGACCAAGATCGTCTGGGTATCATCTTTCGAGCCTCTCCTCGACAGTCCGATGTGATGATTGTGGCGGGAACGGTGACGAATAAGATGGCTCCGGCCCTGAGGCAGTGCTATGATCAGATGCCTGAGCCTAGATGGGTCATCAGCATGGGCAGCTGTGCTAATGGTGGAGGGTACTACCATTATAGTTATAGTATCGTTCGGGGTGTGGATCGCATTGTCCCCGTGGACGTTTATATACCTGGCTGTCCTCCTACGGCGGAAGCAACTCTCTATGGGGTATTCCAATTACAGAAGAAGATAAAAAGGACCCGGATTACGCGGATGTGGTATCGAAGGTGATTGATGTTCCTCGACAATTGTTCCCACAACGCCGATTTAGCCATCAATTTTGTTTACACTACCCGTTGAGAAATCTATGTTTGATGTTCCATGAAAATGTCAAGGGAGCGTAACTTAAACATATAACATATCCCAAGTGACATGCACGTCTGAAGCGGGGTCTCCGCTCCTGAGATTGACATGCTAATCACAGTAATCACATACGGTATTCATCCCTATATTCCGATTCGCTACTGGTTCTTCTCCTCGACTCGCCGACCTGAGATGTCTCGCATCATGCAGTAGCGCTGTTAAAAGTACCGAGTCCCAACGAAGCCGATTGGTGGAAAGGGCGATCAAGAGCTTCACGGCCACACTAACAAGCAATAATACTGTCAACCTTTAGCTTGCGTGTTCATGCAAGGCGACGAGGCTAGCTTCAACTAATGCAACGTGGCTTATCACACGTGCCAAAGGCATGGTCATATGGATGGGCGCCGTATATTGGCTGGACTATGTGGGTGTGGAAGCAAACCTAAGATTACCCAATAAGTGCCATTGACGACAGATTGTTTGCTACGCCTCCCGGTCTCGAAATCAGCGTGTGCGCGGAGGTCAGTACCAATTCAGATAGTGCAACTCGGTTTGTCCAACCGTGTTGGATGGCGACCCCGCAGTATGAGCACGAGGATTGCTGTCCGTCACCAAGAGACAAGCTTTGCCCTTGGCAGCCTAAGCTTTTCATGTTCAACGGATAGTCCGGATGGTATCAGGCGCCTCTGCGGTAAGCAGTATTATATGGACTGTAGCCTTTCTAGCAATAAGCTGACTTGGTGGTATATGATTCCGATGAAAACCCATGAATATAAGAGGCAAGCACTTTCCAGTATCGGTTGGATGAAACAAGACCATCTGAGTACTCTTCCTGGCCACGTTACACTGTCCACGACAGAGGCACCATGGCTATTCTTTTGACCGTCGCAGCACTAGCTGCCCTTGTTATTCAATCGGTTGCAGCCTCTCCCCTCATGGATACTCTCCTGCAAATACCTGATTTATCTACCTACGCCGAGGTGTACAACCTGACCGGCGGCATCGTGGAGATCAATCCACTATTCCTCAAGCGCTACAACTACGACGAAGACAAACGTAACTACACTTTCCTTGCGCCCACTAATGATGTAAGCTTTCATCCATCCTGTCAAATTATCGCAGACAGACATTTAACCAATCAAACGCATAGGCATGGGCCAAGATTCCCGACGCCATCTTCACAACTCTCATGACTCAACAAGCCTACCCTTTAACCGAGGCACTTCTGCGCACGCACATCATCGAGGCTCGTCTTACGGCATCCGAGCTTGTCAAGTTGTCTGAAAGCGAAGGCGCAGGAGGAATCTCTACTTCACTCCAGCTGTCCAATACTACCGAGCAATACCACAACGGTGTTTTGACCAAAACGGTGCAGGGATACTACATTGACTCTGTCATTTCCTCAAACGGTACCGTCCAGATTGATGATCAAGCTGCTATCGTGACGGCGAATATTGTTGCAGACAATGGCTTGATCCATGCAATCGATCAGGTCATTGACCCTTTCCTGATTTATGGCGGTGGACCCAGCAATCGGACATTGGCGCCAACCAGTGAGACAACAAACTTGACCATCGGAGAGTTACTGAAGATTGACTCGCGCCTTGTGAATTCTTCGAAGATCCTTACTGAGAATTCCCCGGATACATTGCGACGTTTGTCGAAACAGACGGGGAGTATGCAGTTCTTCGTTGCTCCACAAAATGAGGCTTATGACCTGATGCCTACGATCCTTCCCATATTTCGTGAGTCTCCCCTTCCATAGTTGCTGTATATTATGAGCCATGGTGATTATTGACCCATGTTCATCTCGAACAGACACCCTCGTTGCGCCATACAAAAGCCCGTTCAACACTCTAATGTGGCAATATGGCTGGCTTGACAGTGATGGCGAGACCTTTGCTGATCTGAATTTCACCCGTCCTGTCACAGTAGCCAGTGACGTCACAGGGCTGAATATCACCGTCACCCAAGAGAAGAGTGCCATCTTTATCATGAACGCAGGTCTTGTCACATAAGTGAAGGCAGCCAATGGATACCTCTGGATTGTGGATAGGTGGTTAGATCCCTTATATCAGGCCTTTGGTCCCATTAACCGATTTGGCGAACCTGAGTGGCCATGAGATTGGATATCTATTTTGTTCTTGTCAGGGATGATGACACACAATTGGATGTCGAAATGCGGAATATCAGTACATAGTACTAAATCATCGATTGCGTAACATATAATTGATCTTTGTATTGTAATTTATTTTAAGAGTGCGGGGAGAAGACGACTGCTTTGGTGGAAGACAGTAACAATGACAGCTCATGGAACGAGCAGCTACTGAAATACTAATCAGTACACGTCCCGTTTGATTCCACTTTTGCAAAAAAGGTCAACAAAATATATCTTCCCAGACAACCGAGTGGGTGAGGTACTCCGAAGGGTACACAATGTCTGAGCTTTCGGAACGTATCGACGGCGAGACATCGACGATATTGCGTTCCTCGGAGAGCAAGGTCGTTCGCGCCTTAGGCTGCTAATTCGGTCTCTCATCCACTACAACCCGGGCTCTTCACCACTCATCGGTCGGTATTAGTAGCTGGAAGTTACAGATTCCATCTGGTCTGCGTACATCCTCAAGAATCGCTGTCTTGCAAAACACCACCCAATCGTCGAACCCGCATACTCCGTCAACCTTGTAGCCACTTATCCGTAAAGTATCCCGTCACGAACGCAAAGACGCCTTTGTGAATAATATCAATGACTTGCTCATTAACAGGCCAGGTCCTGTAGCTAGTTAGTGTCTTGCTCTAATGAAGTCCTTTGTATAAGGTGTCAAATACAACTCACCATGGAAGTGCCCCAACACCAGTCACATTCTCCAAGGTTTGATCAATCATCAGCCGTATAGAAATAAACATAAAATCTGCAAATGGCCCGCGAACGCCATATGCGCTCATAAGCGCTCTAATGATTGCCGCAGCTGCTCCCTGTCCATAGTGCATCGCCATGTTCAATCCGAAACGCTCGGAATCCGGCCTGACGGGAAGTCTGAGAAGGCGCTCTAGGGTGTGACCAGGTACATATGAATTTGGCCGACCAGTGAAATATTGCTCGATTTTCTCTCCGACGGTCATTCTGTAAAGTGGTGAGGCGATTAGTCGTTATTCATGATGAGGTGGTTATCGGACTTACGCGGCGACGCCGAGCAGTCCTGCTCCGCAGCCGTAGATGATGCAGCTCCCTAGTGAGGACGGTCGGGGCGGCTGCTCAGGAATGGTGGTGCGACGAGACATGTTGTATTTTTTTAAATTGGTGCTGAGCTATTAGTATATTGTTGGGGCTATGAAGCTGGAATTTATGAGGGCGGAAGTCGATAGCTGATATAGCGATCCGTGGGGTGCAGGGAATGGCGTAGGGATGACGCATGCGAGTTTATCCGGCGAGTATCAGCCACCCCAAATCGACCCTCTTCTACGAACCTGGAGAATAGACAATAATCATTTTTGGGCCCATGTATCGATTAACATGCTCTGCTATACGGCATATAGTATGATGGGGAGTTGTTACAACTGGACTCTCGAACCTTAGCGGATTATTGCAAGTGAACGTCCTTGCACCGCATTGAAACGATGTCGATACACAGGCAACATAATAGTTTCAACAGCTTCAACCGCGACATGGTCACTGAACGATGAAATAATTATCTATTCATGCAATATATGTCGCGAAAGCAATTTGTTGTTCCAGCTCCACTATAATTCCCTTCACAGTATATAGCTCACACGCAGCGCTGCCCATCAACCAAGATTTAGACGAGCACGCAGATCCAACAAGAAAGAGAGCAACATTCGCGACATCCAACAGTAAAAGAAGGCGTCCAATTGGATAGCCTCACACTTGGCTTTGATGGTCTTCGCAGGAACAGGCCTTTAGGGAAATCCAGCAGGTTCAATCAGCAAGGGGGTAAGTTGGTATATTTAGCCTGGAACGACATGAACATTCAATCGACCCAAGGCCAATATGGTCCTATTCAAGAACAAAGGTAGTACGTATGACCACAGGGTACGGAAAACAGGGCTTCCTGTCCGTTCAAATATATTTAAGCTATACTAGTTGACTGTGGCAGACTGGCAGATGAGCCTATTGTAGATGGTGAGCTTGTGCAAAGATGAAGAAGCGCTATTGCAAAAGAGTCAAGCCCTATGAAAAAGTGAGTCTTGCAGCTTTACATCCCTTACGAATGCAAAAGCCCATCGATTCACCCTCTTCTGTCGTATCATGTTCATTGAAGGGTATTCTCATAGTAAAGCCCAATTACCTAAAGTCGGGGAGATGCTTAATATCGACCATACAGGAACAAGGTCGGATATTTCGTCGACATATCATTCAATGTATCATGTAATCACTCCTCAGGCAGGTTCTCCCACGCACTATCCTTACCCCTGCTTCGGTTCCGGAGTCTAGATTGGTGAAGCTATCTGCTCACCCCTTCATATCTTCACTTCTTCTTACTTCCCGTTGGTCGTATACTCCCCAATCTGCGGTGGAAGTTCAATAGAGCAGTCCTCTCCCCCAACCCCGGGCCACCAAATGGAGGCAGCGCTTACCCGTGGGCCCTGATAACCTGCAAGATGCTGACCGGGCCGGTTGTCGACTTGTTTAAGACAGACTATTTACCGTCACCTCCGCCAATCATATCGATTTGCGCCCTCTGGGTCGTCGAAACCTGTGAAGCAGATAAGGATCTCCATATAGATCCTAGATAGTACAGGCTTGCCTTAAAGCGCCGCCTCATTAGGCATCTTACCGAGAACAATTACCGTAGATCCAGCCCATGTTCCACTCGGGGATTGTGGTAATTTGTCTATATATGGGTACGCAAACGGTGAGACGAACTTCCTTCACCCCACTCAAACAAAAGCCTAACAAACCGAAAAACAGACCTTGGATTCCCAGACAATATGCCTGAAACGCCCGCCGAGAGATCTCCATATCACGCCTCCTCCAGCAACGAAGCAATCGCGCTGGAGACGCAATATGGCGCGCACAACTACCACTCAATTCCAGTCGTTTCTAGTAAGGCGCAGGGAACGTGCGTCTGGGATCCCGAAGGGAACCAGTACCTCGACTTCCTTTCCGCCTACTCGGCCGTCAACCAAGGCCACTGCCATCCGGAGCTAGTCAAGGCCCTCGCTGATCAAGCAGGGCGTTTAACGCTGAGTTCTCGAGCGTTTTACAATGATGTGTTCCCTCGGTTCGCACAGATGGTCACAGAATACTTTGGGTTTGACATGGTGCTCCCAATGAACACCGGCGCGGAAGCAGTCGAGACCGCGACCAAGATCGCTCGCAAATGGGGGTACAAAAACAAAATGATTGAGCCGGACCAAGCGCTGATTTTGACGGCTACCAATAATTTCCACGGGCGCACGGTATGTTTCCGGCGAGTGTCCGGGGAGTCGATGGGAGGCGAAGGGCTAATGAATAGCACGTCAGCTTGCCGCAATCTCGCTTTCTTCAGATTCCGACGCACGAAACAATTATGGCCCTTATCTGCCCAACGTCGGCCACTGCATTCCCGGGATGAGCAAGCCAATTGCTTACAATGACCAAGACCCCCTCCGTAAGGCATTTCAGCAAGCTGGCCCGAATCTTGCAGCATTCCTCATCGAGCCAATTCAAGGCGAAGCTGGCATTATCGTTCCGGACGACAGTTACCTGCAAGCAGTTCGCGCTCTCTGTGATGAGCATAATGTGCTGCTCATCTCTGACGAGATCCAGACAGGCATTGGTAGGACAGGAAAGCTCCTCTGTTGCGAGTGGAGTGGCATCAAACCAGACCTCGTCCTTCTGGGAAAAGCCATTTCAGGGGGCATGTATCCCGTTTCTTGCGTGTTGGGGCGTCGCGATGTGATGTTGACCATCGAACCGGGGACACACGGTTCCACGTATGGTGGGAACCCCCTGGGCTGCGCCGTGGCCATACGCGCTTTAGAGATTGTCCGTGACGAAGGGCTGGTTGGAAATGCTTGTCGCTTGGGTGAAATTTTCCGAGACGGCCTGCGGAAAATCCAAAGTCCCATTATTCAGGAGGTTCGAGGAAAAGGCCTTCTGAATGCCATCGTGGTTGACCGAGGAGCCGCGAATGGGCATACGGCCTGGGACTTGTGCTTGCTGATGAAGGATAAGGGCTTGCTTGTAAATACAACATCCTTTTGCTGCTGAGAGAAGAGCGAGCGCTGACCATCTTACCATAAATTAGGCTAAACCAACGCATCAGAACATTATCCGACTTGCTCCACCGCTAATTGTGACGGAAGACGAGATCAAGAGGGCTTTGGCGATCATCGAAGAAGCAATTGCAGAGCTTGTGAGGTAGTGGTCTAGTCACAGCAATAGAAGTGAGATACGAGATACTTTTGTGTCGGCCAGAATAGTAGAAGTATATATATAGTAGTTATTTTTACATCTGTATGAATGGTCTGGTGACCATCTCTCAAAGGCAGTGCCAGGATTCAGCTTACCCGTTTGGGGGTCAGCAAAGACGTAGCAAAGCTATATAACCACTATCTAGGCTATAGCTAGGAGGTCCTCACTGTCAAGTTATGCGTGCCGGTTCTGCTGCCTTCTTCCGCACCCTATACTCATATACATTTGGGGAAGCAATGCGTAGAAAACCTGAGCATCATCATATGCCGCAAAATATATCTCATATTATTAGACAGACGTCAGGGTGGCTTGCCAATCTTACGCCCAGGTTTGTTGAAGGATGTGAAAGTTATTGGCCCGGAGCGGAACCCGATGAATATATTACCTCCATTCTGCGTTACAATCAAGAAATTACCAGGTCCTGCTGTGCGCTACATAACCCTCTCCGCTCCCTGTAAATCATAGACCCCCTGTTCATTAGTTCACAGAACATACCGAAAGGAAGGAATCTCCCAGTCCGTCTTATCCTCATGGTCGGATACTATGCGCTCTTCGCCATTCGGCTGCCGGCCACGACGTACGTTCGCCCACATCAGGTACAGCCGCAGCACTGCGATGAAAAACGCCCCCAGACAGAACCCAGCCAGACTGGCCCGGATGCCTTTGGGATAGTTCGGTGCATCCTCGACATTGAAGAATTGGGGGCCGACGACATTCCCCACACAATACATCACCAGCACACACGCATTGACAGTGGCCTTCTTGGTCATCCCACCCACATTGCTCGTCACCAGCGACAAAGAAATGGGCATGCTCGCCGAAAAGGCAAGACTGAGACAGAAACCGGCCAATCGGCCGGATTGGTTCTTCTCGTCGAGTGCATACATCAGCACCATGCCAATCATGCTAATGACCGCGAAAGAGAAGATGACGATGAGACGCATATTTCGGAAGGAAGAGCATATGACGGCGCCGACAATAATAAAGGCCAACTGAGATGCACCGGTCGGCATCTGGATGAGTAGAGCTTGTATTCCTTCATAGCCAAATCCCTGGATCACAAGAGAGCCGAATGAGGTCAACCCGCCGTTCGCGATATTGACGCTGAATGAGTACAGCGATAGGCACCAAGTAACCGGGTCCTTGAAAGCCTCCACTACTTGGTAGGGTTTGTAGCCGCCGCCGCCCCGGGCTTCCTGCGAGGGTTCCAACACACGGTGAGCTGCGATGTGTCTCTCGACCTTTCGCAACCACAGGGCGTTGTTGGTGCTGTCAGGAAGAAGAACAAGCATCACCGTACCCCAGAAAACAGTGATTGCACCAAATATGAGAAATAGGTATTGCCAGTGGGCAAGAGCACCGTTGAGGTGCCCAATCCCGTAGGCGATTAAGCCGCCGAAGAGACTCGCCACGGCAGATCCGGCGAACCAGAGCCCGTAGCGGAGGGGCTGCTCTTCGCGCGTATACCATTTCCCTGTAATAAGCGAGAACCCGGGAGCGATGGACGCTTCCAACGCACCGAGAAAGAACCGGGTGACCATGATGCTAGCGAAGCTGCGGCATGCGGCATGACACATGAGGACGGCCGCCCATAGAATTCTGATAAGGACGTCCGGGGGGTGGTTAGCATACATTCTACAAGCTGAGGTTGAGGTTAGATGAGGGTCACCTACACGGTACAGCCGAGGTACTTTCCAAGAGGCAATCGGACCGAAAGATACACCGTCGGATAGGACCAGAAGATGAAGCCAAAGTAGAAGATGGACGCGGTCCACGAAAATTGGCGGTCAACCAGGTGGACATCTTCCAGAATTCCCAGCAAGGATGCGTAGCTTAGAGTCTGCTTATCCAGGAACTGGAGCATGTAGCAAACCCCGAGCAAGGGAAGCAGCAGAGAGTCAATTTTCCAGCGGACTTTGTGTGCTTCGGGGGTGGATGAGACATCCGCCAGATTTCCCATCTGAACCACAGATAGTTGATCACCCCCTTGTTGGTCTTTGGTCACCTTGCAATCCTCCAGAATGTCTTTGGCGGGAGCCATAGCGCGAAGCAAATATACAGTAGTAGTAGTAGTCGTCTATGTGAGAGACCAGAATGCACGAAAGACTGCAAAGATGATACTAAAAAACCAATCGACCTCTTCCCAGAACTATGAACATCGATGACATTTATAGATAAATGCAGGCTCTGTCACGAAGATCCACCCCCATGTGAGAGAGAGAGCGTGTGTGTACTTGGGGTTTCGGCTTTGCAGGGCGCTGCATAATGCCGAGGGGAGCGCAGCCGGGGAAGAATCCGGGGAAGTAAAGCACTGACTCGACTCCACCGCGCTAATCGATATGATGGGCTGCACCTTTGCTGGCCGGTTCCACTGCGCCGGCCCGGATTGCAGACTTGGAATGTGTGGGGATCGCAGGCGTAATCTCGTATCTCCCCCCAGCGCAGAGAAATTGGCTACGTGTGGTTTCCCTCTTGGCTTGGTAGGTGAATATACAATATACTCGTCTCGAATGCATTGAAGTGGCAAATTTAAAGCGAGTTTCTCTTTTTCATTGGTCTGCTCTTCTTATCTAGTTGGCAGCCTGCCCGTGCGCCGCCTTTACCCTCGCAGAGAATATGTCGTCCGTCAACAACGCCCAGCCCGTCATGGCCATCGCTGCTGCGGCTTTCATGATGATCCTGTAAGCATCCAGCTCGCCCGAGGCGACACAGAACGCATGCGTATGATTTTTGGCACTGTTGGGAACTGGAATGCCGATGATCGCATGGAGCGCCGGGAGGGCATAGCTGACATTCCCTTGGTCGGTCGACCCCGTCATCATCTCCTCGTCCTCGAGCAACAGCATCTCTCCTTGATCCTGCATAGACTGACGGTACTCCGCACACAAAGGTTCGTTTACGCGCAGATCGGCGTACGCGGGGGTATCCTCAAAAGCCGCATGGCACCCAGTGGCGAGAGCACCAGCCTGCAAACAGTTGCGTACGCGCTCACTAAGAGCCGCGAGGCTACTCATGGTGGGGCTTCGAATAGAGAACTTTGCTACAGTCTTCTCCGGTATCGCATTGGTAATTTTCGGGGCCTCCAGAATCGTCCCATGAATTCGTTCCTGTGGCTGTATTTGCTGGCGCAGAGCGGAGACATTCATATACGCTGTCACAAAGGCATCCAAGGCATTCACACCCTCCCAAGGATTAGCACCAGCATGGGCACTCACCCCGGTATATGTGCACACCAGATCGACGCAAGCGACAGATCTTTGGCCAGCAGCGCCAATGACGCCGCGGTCACGGAAGCTGGATTCGGCCATGGGATGCCTTCAAGGTCTTGGATCAGAACACGACGACTGGTAGCCAAGGGAGACACGTATCACTTACACCATCAACGATACGTCGGCCTTGTCGTACGCGCCGCGCTTTAACAGATCAATTTTGCCCCCGCCATCCTCTTCGGCCGGTGTCCCAAGCAGTTGAACTCGACCTTGCACCGCAAACTCCGCAATGGCGTGTCTCAGAGCGAGGAAAGCTGCCACGCTCGCAGTAGCAATGAGGTTATGCCCACACGCGTGTCCAATACCTGGCAAGGCATCGAGCTCAGCGTTAAAGTTGACGCAGCGTCCCCCCGAGCCCCCCGTTGCCTCAAAACAGGTGGCCAACCCGTACGCACTGCGAGTCACCGGCACGCCCAAGTCTTCCAACAATGTACTGATCGTGTCATGCGCGTAGTGTTCCTCGTAGGCAAGCTCGGGATTGCTGTGTATCTGGGCAGGAATCATGGATGTCAACATTGACTTGATCGCAAAGCGTGGGAATTGACAAAAGAGAAGCGCTTACGTCAAGATTGACTCGTCGCAACGAGTCGTCCAAACCAGCGAGATACTCATTAATCACACGCCTGACTTGATCCCTGTGATGTTCCATAATGCGAGCAGAATTCTTCCGACCAAGCAATTCAGGTGTAGGTTGTCGGGGCAAACCAGCTCAGCCGTGGAAAAATGGCCGTAATATGCATGTCCTCAACGGGGTACCGTCGGAGACGTGGTGGACCCCCATCCCTTCCCAAGATAGGTAAATCGCGCATATGTGGACGAAATTTGCAGTAATCGACCTTTACACTGCACGGATGACGGGGATCTTGTCCGTCTATCCTTAGTCGTAGGGGGACGGCGCAAAACGATCTGATTGGTCGATTGGCCGATCCGGTCATACAACTCGGTTGACCAAAAGGTAGTACCTCCGTCATGCGCTGCCTCCCAGTTCTAACACTATAAAATCCCTGGAGGTAATCGCCCAACTTTTTCGACATGCCAGTCACCCCTGCATTGCCTGAAAAGTTCGTTTCTGAAATCCCGAAACGCAAAGTCCAAAGCCCAACCCTGACAACCGTCACCCCATCCAAACATGGCGAACACAACGTGGGAGCATAGAGCCAAGAGCAAGCAAGCTCAGACGGCAGCAGCGATTCCACCAGAATGGACTTTACCAGCCGATATACTTCTCGACTCCTCGGCGAATGTCCTCGATGTGCCCAGGACCTGTGGGCTCCTGACCGAAAGAGAAATCCATATTACCGAAGACTATGATGCCACAGCATTACTTGAAAAGTTGGCTACCGGAGAGTTCAGCTCACTCGAGGTCACGACAGCATTCTGCAAGCGGGCTGCAATTGCGCAGCAGTTGACCTGCTGCTTGACGGAAATCTTCTTCGACAAAGCACTAGCCAGAGCAAAGCAGCTCGACGAAATTCTGGCTCAAACTGGGGTAACAACCGGGCCACTGCATGGCCTGCCCATAAGTATCAAGGAGTCGTTCAATGTCCCTGGAGTTCCGACTACACTGGGGTTCGTCGGATTTCTCGATCGGGCCCCGGCGTCCATGAGTTCCGCCCTGGTTGAGATCCTGAACAACTGTGGGGCTGTTCTATATGTCAAGACCAATGTCCCCCAGACAATGATGACTCCGGACTCCCATAACAATGTCTTCGGTCGTGTGCTCAACCCGCACGGACGGAGCCTGACCGCTGGAGGCAGCAGTGGCGGAGAGGGAGCATTGGTGGCGATGAGGGGCTCAGTCCTCGGCGTGGGGACAGATATCGCCGGCTCCATTCGCATCCCCGCCCTCTGCTGTGGTGTTTTTGGTTTCAAACCCACGGCTTGCCGTATCCCATATGCAGGTCAAACGTCTGCCGGGCGTCCGGGTATGACGGGCATCCTGCCGTCCGCCGGGCCCATGTGCCATTCTATCCGCGATGCAGAACTCTTTCTCAAAGTTGTCCTCAACTCGAGGCCTGCCGATCTGGATGACTATGCACTCGACATTCCATGGTCCCCTGCTCCGCAAAAGGAGAGGCTTACTATTGGGCTCCTGCCCGAGGACCCGTCGTTCCCGCTTCATCCACCGATGCGACGTACCCTGAACGCCGCAGTGAAGGCGCTGACTACAGCCGGACACCGGGTCATCGACCTCTCAGGACAGGCTCCGTCCTTCTCCAATGCATGTTCTCTGGCATTGCGATATTTCGGCCTGGACCCGGATCGAACTGCACTGCGCCACATAACGCAGGCGGGCGAACCTTTCATTCCTTCGCTCAAATTCACCTATGATCTCAATGAGCCGACACGTGAGCCCACCTTGAGAGATCTATTCGAATCGAATGTCGCCCGTAGTCAGCTCGCAACCCAGGCACGAAAGCTCTTCGTTGATAATCAGCTTGATCTGTTCCTGGGCGCGGCTTATCAAAGCACATCGGTTCCCCATGATACCTACGGTATTCCGGTATATACCGTGCTTTGGAACCTGATTAATGTGGGTATCCCACACTGCCTTTCTTGTTTTCTTTTTCTTTTTTGTTTCCCCCCCTTCTTTCTGCTCCAATTGCATGGGGTGTCTGCTAATGATGCACTAGTATCCGGCGTGCGTTATCCCATTTGGGCAGGCCAACAAGGTAGAGGACGCAGCGTATAACCGCGACGTCTCTTATGTGCCAGACTGTAAGTTGCGCCCCTCAATTGGTCTCGCTCAGTCTACTAACTACTGTAGATCGGCCAGAAGAAATTGAAGGCGCACCGTGTCACATCCATCTGATAGGCAGACCGATGGCGGACGAAAAATTGGTTCAGGATGCGAAGACTATATGCACCGTAATGAGTGATGTCTCTTGAGGTCCCTCTTCACTTGATATAAGCCTTGGACTGGTGTTTCCCATAGGTAGAAATATGTGTCTTTGCTGTTGAAGCCTGATCAGCTGTAACGTACAGATACAAACAAACCAGTTAGCTAAGAGTAGAATTGCTGAGCTATCGATCTTCTTTTAGCAAGGTCCGAAGCTGCCTTGAAACAACCTGTCCACGATCAGAGTCACTATACCGAGCACCTGACCTCCAGACTTTCTGCAGGCGATAATGGGCCAGATTAACGGGGCCTCCCTGCCGTGAGCCTGAAACCTGAGAAAGCTTGGCTTGGACGATCTGCTTCTCTCCCGGTAGGACGGCTACTGAGCCCACCACTAATAGCGGCCACAGATAGTAGAACGAAAACCACTCGTCAACAACCAATGCTGTTATGATTTCAAGGCCAAGTAAAAGATATAATTCTAGCAATTGAACGCAGTCGACCATGGAGCGCCTGGAATCTGCGTGTAGAAGTAGAATTCGGATCGCCACAGTATAGAGTCGTCCGACGTGATTCTCTGACATGGGCGTCTGTTGGTTCTCAATCGCCTTCTCCCAATGAACAACCATGTCTTGTGCTCGAGACCACATGTCAAATTCAGTACTGGTGGTCAGGGGACACGATTGAGCGAGCTTTGTAACATCGTGAACCAAAAGAAAGAATTCATAGGATGCATCTAGAACCGGCTGGGTTGACGTTAAGGTCCCTGGCGGGACATCGTTCGGGTGATCCGGGTCTGCAAAATAGCCCTCCAGATTTAAACCCCCCTGGATAAGAGGCAGGCAGTTGACTGAAGAATCAAACAGTGTGAGTAGAGCGGCGTGGTACAGAAATGATTCTACACAAATGCGTTCGAAGACAATGGCCTCTTGCGAGGCGTTTCGGGGCTTTGGCCTACGAAGGGACAACATCTGGCCTGATGCCAACACATGAGACAGGGCATTTGGCATCGCATCGCGGCGAGAGTTCTTTGATGGGAGGTTTAGCTGGGGCACTGAGAGCAGCAAGGGGTTAGCATGGGAAGGGAGGCACCTACTTCAAAAAGACACAAGAAGGTGGTGGTGGCCAGAAGCCAATCCTCAGTACCGGTATGACGTCCCTCCATTAGACCCGTCTTGATGCTAGTTATGGCAAATAGGTAACTTTGTAGAGCCAGCGAATGGAGATTGGATGACTGCAATGACATCTCCATTCCAGCAATAGCAATGAAGACACCCATGAGAGGTGGATGAGCCAGGGCAAGGCGCGCGATGTGTAAGTCTTGGGAATACCTGGATAACGAGGTCTGTCGAACAAGTTTGGGTGCTATGGAGTGCGCGAAATACCGGTATATACGGAGATGTTCATTTTTGTGAAATGGCGCGGGCATGCTTACAGGGGGTGGGAGGGACCACCCCGGACGGAGGTTAGACGCCATAACTGTGGTTACTGGTTGAGCTCCGTCGTCTGCACTGGGGATGGCTGTTCCTAAAGCCAGGGAAGACATCTCCCTTTGGGAGTCAGAAGTTTTCCGATACCTTCGTCGGTCAACAGTCTGGACCTCGCTGGGCCATTGACATTCGGAATCATTTCGGGTACAGCCTCCACATCTGGGCCGTTTTTCGTCACACTTCTTTCGACGTCGCCGACCTACATGTTGTTTGTTAACAAGCGGTGCGCTTGCGAGTTTAGGCGCGACAATTGAACGGTTTTTTTTGGGCGCCCATACATTCGCCACAACCACTTCTCGTTCTCAACCGTGCACCAGATTTCAGGAAAGGACCCTGGACAAGTTGATTATTTTGATGCAGCATCATAACACCCAATATCGCCTTGGTAATTTGTCACGTTGGTCTGCGACAATAGGTGAACCATGAAGGGAGTCAAAGCGATGTCGGCCAAAAATACCTGGCTGATCCCAGAGCAAAAAATGGTGCTGACCTAAGCCTGTCCTGGAGATGGAAAGTGGACGGCGTTTCGCAGAAATGCTGTTCAAATTGTGTGATGTAGGCAAGAGCCTAATAATGGCTGCCTAGCGTGATCAACATGGGTGTGTACATCGCGAAGGGGCTTTGGGGTTTCTTAAGTATGATTAGCCCGTAGGCATAAGACTAGCGTTCGGAATAACCCATCGTCCGTCTGTAACCGCAGTCGTATTGTGACCGTCGTTACAGGTGCCCCGCTATCTTTGACAGACCTCAACCGTAGATAACCCGACGTCAGAAGCAGACTCCCGTCACAAGATGACTGGTCTCTTTGTCTTCTCCAGACTTCTATCGGCCCCTTTGTTGAACGTAGCAGGCTTTAGTATAATAAGACCCCAAGCTCGTAAGTTGTGAAATGCTAGCTGCGAGAATTGATTGAACCTGGCGACCTTCAAACTCCTGTGCTGCGTTCCTACAGTCGATGATTGGCAATGTTTCCAGATGTGATTTCTGCTTATACGCAAATTGCAGGCATGGGAGGTTACGGATTGGTATGGGTACAAAGCCTTATTCGCATAGGTACTCTCTTTCCTATTCTCAAGCAAATTGATATCTGTTGAGAACCACGGTCCTTGGATTGGAACATCCTACACTGGGGATACACGCAGCCCTTTTCTCCCTAAAGGTCAAAGCAGCGTGTGATCAACTGCAGTCAAAACTTTGAACGATTTCTCCCATTTTCGTTCAAATTGTAAGAGAATATCATCCGGAAATTCCTGATGAGCCTTTTCTTCCGCGTAATCGAGAGGACTTTTACCAAAAGAGTCCCTGGTGTGCAAATCCAAAACACCACGGCGTCGAAGAATCTCTATGAGTTCCTCAGTAAACGCGCCATGAATCGCCCCGTAGTGCATAAAGGTTTTCCCATCGACATCCCGCGCTGTCAGGTCCACGCCCCTATCGAACAAGCAATTGAGGATCTCGTTTTCTGCGCCCCTGTGTCGCATCAAGAGATGCAGCAAATTTTGTCGTCGTGCATTGACCCATAGTGGATTGGCGCCTTGCTTGACAAGGTGGGAGAACATCTCTCTCTCAAGTCCCAGGCGGAATGAACCCACGTACAATCCTAAGGAAGAGTTCCCACCATTATCGGGTTGATTCACGTCGCAGCCAGCCTGTATCAGGAAGTCAACCACGTCAGTGTAGCAGAATACGGATGAGACATGGTGGTGTAACGGGGTCCTGCCGTGGTGATCTAATGTATCCCAGACTCCCGAGAGCGCCTTGTCGCATGCCTGTGACATGTACTGCAGTACTTCTAAATGACCTTCCTTCAACGCGTAGTGGAACGGACTCATTCCGTCAATATCTTCTAACAAGATATCTTGGCCTTCATCCACAAGTCGGCGGACAACCTCCAAATTCCCTGCCTTGCTGGCAAGGTGGAGACAAGTCTGACGAGATCCATTCAGCCGTGCAATATCAGCTCCTTTTTCCATAAGTTTGCATAAGACCTGCAAAGCATAATCCTTAGTGAAATTGATCAAATGCTGAGCATATTCCCCACAAGAGTTAGCCACGTTGATATCAATGACTTTACTCTCAAGGAGTGTATCAACGATTTGCACTCTAGCTTGATCGATAGCTCGGTAGATATCATCAGCTTCTTCACTTGCTGGATTCATAATCAGGTCCTTTAGAGACTCAATCGCGTATGTACCTTTTCCCCATGCATCGTGGCATTCGCGGCCCAGGAGTCCACACCTGATGGCAAGATGTAGCGGGGTATCTCCAGCTTCAGATCGAACGTTTGGATCAGCACCATTTCGGAGTAAGAAAGCGGTCATTTTGGTACAGGCATTCAATGCAGAGAAATGAAGGACTGTTAGGCCAGTTTCTAGAATCGGTGCAGCTACCTCTTTCTCTGTCTTGGGCCTCGTGTATGCAGGAAATGCCATTGTTGTTCGCCCAGGCCACCATTGTCTTTGGATCTTGGTATCCAGGTCGTAACCATATCGAAGGAAGTCTTGTGCAAATCCTTCATCGAGATTTGCAACTGCATAAAGGAAAGGCGTCATGTTATCTTTATCGCAGTCATATGGGGACACTCCTTTGTCAAGCAGAAACTTGGTCATTGTGTTGTCGTTATAGTTTCCGTTGTTGCAAAGGATATGGAGAATATTCTGATCCTCATCATCTAGGGCCTTCACATTGACACCGGACTCGACCAAAAATCGGATGGTTTTGACTTGAGCATTTCTCGCCGCAACAAGTAATGGGGTCCGTCCGCAGGGGTCCTTATCCTCCAGTGTGCCTGGAGAAAGAAAGGTGAATACTGGAAGGATCCCCCAGCGAGCTACAACGTGAACAAGACCATGACCATCACGTAAGCCGTAACCAGTGCCCCTGGTCAGGTGGTTAAAATTATCCAGCCAGCACTTCCATGCTCCGTATCGGTTCTCAAAAAACTCTCTGTGCTCCTTCTGGATGACGAATTCTGTTTCGGCAAGGCCAGCATGCTTTGGCCAATTCATGACTGCATAGCAAAGAAAGGCCTGTTCGGGGACCAACTCAGCATGCTGTGCTTTCATCCGGCTATTCTCAAGAATGGCTTTAATGCATCTACATGATAGTGCATAGTTGGCCACCAGTTCCTTCATCTCCGACATCTCAGTCATCAAGAAATCCTTGACTGACATATGCAAAAGCCGTACACAGTCTTTGTCCACAACTACCAACAAACGGAATAACTCAACAATCGCTCTTGTAAACTGAAGGCGGCTGTCGGTATCCTCATCAGGATATAGATTGCATGCATCGGCTAATTCGGCCATCGTCAACGGTCGACGTGCAAATGCCACCAATTTCAGCATCTCTTTCATAGTCTGATAGTCTTCTTCATCATTCTCTGCCGTGAATGCATCATCCAGAAGATTTTTATATAGCGAATGTAGACCTTGTGGAAGTTTCTGCAGGGTCTTCAAAGGATTCGTGGTTTGGGGCTGGCTCAACCGGTCACACACAATCCCTATCCATAGGAACGTCCCATCAGCCTTTTCTTCCAGGGTTTGGGACACACTCTCTTTCACCGACACAGAGTAGCTCTTTTGCTTTGCCAGAATCTCCACTCTTTCGCGGATTGTTGCCCTTAGATCGGTAATGATCTCTTGGCGTGACCCCAGGTCTATGCACGGAAATAAAGAGATGTACGATCGAATCTCAGGATACGGACGGCTGGTTACAAAAAAGTACACGCTAGGTAGGATAGAGCGCTCGGAATGAAAGCCATCAAAAGATTGCTTGATCTGTCGCAGCATGATCTCTCGGTCATGGGGTTCGCATTCATCCAGAGCATCAACGATGCAGTATATTTTAGGTCCGCGAGTAACTCGTCCTAAATCCATCAGCAAGGCCCATAGCATGTCAAAGCTTGTCAACAGCCGCTCTTGCTGGATTTCATATTTTGGCATTATCTGCCTGATGAGTTCGGGACGTTCACTGATAATCTGATAAAGAAGTCCGCGTAAGATAGAAGTAGCCTTTCCTTTGCAGTCGGAGCGGGCGTCGCAGAAATAAATTGATAGAATGTTATTCTCAGTCAAGAAATAATCCTTCTCTGAAAGTTCTTCTGCCAGTGTGACGGCCATGGTTGACTTGCCAGTACCAGGATTACCGTAGAGCCATAGGACATTTGACTTGCTCCTGGCCGGCTGAAACCAGGATTTCAGTTCGTTTGATTCCAAAAACCAGCTGCAAGTCCCTGAAGTGCGGTTTCCTTTACCCCGTTTGAACGAGTTCACAGCACCTTGGGGATCGGTGATGGACAGTTTTCCTAAAAACTCCTTTTCCTTCTCGGTAAGTTCGGATCCTACACGGGTCAGTGAATGGAGATACTAGGAGATGGTAACAGCATACCTTGATCACACACAACGGCATCACTTGCCAACGGAACAATTGATAACAACTTCTTCGCGTAAGCAGCTGCCGCCAGCGCTGCAAAACCCTGCCAGTTCTTTTGCTTGTGGGAATCGCAGTAGTCACATATTCCCCGGATGACAAGGCATGGAAGCTGATCCATAATGCCGGCTGATTCCATCTCGAAGCAGAGTATTGGGAGATCTTCCGCATAAGATTCCCGCATTTGAGCATCCTTTATGACACGATCACCGGAAGCAATCAGGCCATAATGAATGTGCGGTTCGCTACTAGCCCGTGGACCACGCGGCACAAGGTGACTCTTGTCGCATGAAGAGCAGTCTCCAGCGCCTCCATGCACATATGTGGGCTGGAACAGCCAATCTTCAGCTGGGCGGGGAAACGTGTCCTTGTGATGCCTCAAGGCATCAGAAATGACCTTGCTGATCTGTGTATCATGCAATAAATAGTCACTACGCAAATGGGAAACGGCAACCAGGAGGGGAAGGTATGGCTTGTTGAGTGAGCCAGTACGCTCGAAGGAGCCGTACGGGCAGGACTTGCCATAGTCATATTGAACTACACCACCAAGCTGTCCTGTGGGCGTACTAACGACCACATCACCGAGACGAATGTCAGCTCTGGTAGGTACTCCCCCTCCAACCCCAACCATCAAGCCAAATTCGATGAAGGGAAATGTTTGCTTCATTTGAGTAGCAACAGACGCAGCGGAGCATGTCCCATAAATGCCAGACTGCAGGCAGGCAATTGCTATATTATGTCCGTACATACTTCCAAGTGTGTAGGCATTGCGGTCCGTGGGTTGAGGAGGCGATTCGTGAACGTCATCGAGCAAACTTTTCGCAGCAGCCAACTCTATCGGCAGCGCACATATCCACGCTACTTTGTAGTCACGGGATGATAATCTTCGGGACGACATTTTGGACGTAGTGTAGAATAGCACGTTAAGTGTGAGAATCTTTTGCCCTGCTTGTGGAAGCACAATCTGTTAACCAGAAGGTAGGACAGGAGGAAGAGGAGGGGTAATGCGGTACGACAAGGCTGACAACGATGGCAAGGCGCTAAGCCTCTCAATGCCCAAGCGCCTGGGAGATTCTAATATAGCCAAAACAATTCAGGTGAAAAGTAGCATTGAAAATGTTTACTGTAAAATTAGACTTATCAGTCAGAAAAAGAGGTTTCAAATACAGAATTTTATTTTATATTAAATCTAACTAGTCTAAAAATAATCAGCTCTTCATTATCTTTATATATATTTATAAGTCCACTTAGAGCTCACAAATAACCTTCCTCCGAGCCACAGTAGTTATAGTTACTGCAATTTTTCTTATAATTATATTTTCGGACATTTCTTATCTCTTTTCATGCTGCAGCAGTGATTGCGGCTTAGATTATATAGTAGCTAAAGGCTTTACAGCTCATTTCAGACGGAAAGACACGTACTCCCAGTATTACATCAGTTCCATGTTACGAAAGTCGCTAGTATATTGGGTAATGGGGTTTCCAGCTCTTGCTCGTATTACCTGGGCGCTCAGTGGATTGATAAATAGGTCGAGGATTATGGAGTGTATTGAAAATCCGAGTAAGAATATTCTCAATGTCTTCTGTCATCCATCTTTGCAAGATAAGAAGTATCAGAATGAAACAGCTAAAACATATCCAACCATCTCTCTTCAGACATGTTATAGTTAAGTGGAAATGACTCCGAACTCGTATATCTCGTGATGGAGGAATGTGGTAAACGTGGATCGTAGCTAGTGTTTCAACGTTTGGATACACAAAACAAAACGTAATTAACAGTTGTATAATTGGTACATCACCTCTGAATAAAGCGAGCTGGAGAGTAGTACCATATTTCCCTTGAATATTTACATCAGCACCTATGTCAAGCAGTATATGTTTTCTCTGTTAAAGGCCTTTTATCGTCGCAGCTTGAAGGGCAGTGCGGTCCGAAAGTCTTCCCCGGCGATGACATCCGCGCCCAGATCCAGTAGTAACTGCACCATTTCCTTGACCCCTTTGGATGCTGCGACAAGTTGCCACCGCCATAGGATTCCCTGTGTATGATGGTCAGCCCGGAACCCTCAGCAAGCGCCAGATAAGGAAAGCAGTACCCATCTGAAGGTGGGGGTGACGCGAGCCGGCTGGCAAGATGTAGGTATTAGTTTCCTCCACTGATGAACAATGACAATGGATGTAATAAAAGGCTCATAGGGTATGCAACTGGAAAGAGGTAAGTGAATTATACCCTTCCCAATGAAGTGGTGCTCCCTGGTCGGGATGGTTAGGCCACGATGCTTCCAGGGACTTGGGCCGTATCTAGTTGCGCTTCGGAACGAATCGAACTCCGTATCAAATTTTCTGAACTAAATCAGCCATTATATCTATGTTTTTAGGGAGCTTTAGGGCCTCTTTATGGGACATTAAAGTATTCAGGGTATCAGGGGTTTTTAGGGATTTTTCTTGTATTTCAAAAATTTTTAAAAGTATGTGTAGAGCTGATTCAGTATCAGAAACTATACCCAATCACGTGTATATGCTCACTCAGTATTTCTCTGATATTGACCGAACTGTTTTTCCGGCTCCGCTCTGACACCGACGCACTAATTTCTGAACCCGCCGCAACTGGGCCCGGTTGAACTAGGGGTTCTTTGTCACGCACGACGATCTCATCGGACATCTCGCTTTTGCTGAGATTGCAGATTAGAATTGAAAAGGGTCCAGAAGTCAAATGGGGCTGAGAATCAATTCCTTGGCAATCTGAACTCCGCCGAGAGATTTTTCCGGCGCCTCTCTACACCGCATAGCGTTCAACTTGTATCCCTGTATATCCCTATCATTCCGATCGCAGTTGCTCCTGAGCAGTACCGAAGCTCCCACCATCTGAGGCTTCATACGTAAAAATGTATCCGCCTAGAAAACGCCAAAAAGTATCATCTGCATGTCAGAGATGCCGTCAGCGCAAGCTTGGTGTGCGTTCGTTACCCGTCCTCAATGTTTCGGACACACCAGCTAATCCCTCGTAGTGTGATCAGCAACGCCCTTGCCAGCTATGTGTACGAGCTGGTGCAGCGTGCATATCGCGTGGAGGTTCAAGTCCCGCAGGGGTGGTGGCGTCTGTGGAAGAACCCGGAGATTCTCCCGGAATGCGTGAAGGTGACATCCACAATGACCGTCTTGAGACCGTGATCCTCCCAGAGTCGAACATCGTGGATTTGAGTTGTCAGGTCGGTTTTGACTCTGCCGACCCGTTGTTTTGTTAAAACTGATCATCTGATAGATTCTACGAGGCCAAGGAAAACGACGTGGCCTGTCTCATGATACTTCAGCTCTGCCAGGAGGAAAGAATTCCGCCGTTTCTGTCGCCACACGCTCGATTCCATGGCGGGATTTAGTAGGAATTCCTTTACCACCGAAGACGGTACTTGACACATTTATGGCTCATTTTTTTGACTCTGTTGATTGGTTTATGATGGTATCGTTGCAAACATTATCTCCTGGGCTATCGCCGTGATGTTGATGGTCCTCCAACAGATTTTTCACGAGGAAAGCTTTCGACAACGCTACGAAAACTTGATGGCCTCGGCTCTAATTCCGGAAGGAGAAAACAGTAATTTCTTGTGGCTTGTACGGTTGGTACTTGGCCTCGGCGCCTACTACGGGTCGCTGGACGCTCTGGATGCCGATGCAGGTAGTATGAAACAGCTTTCGCAGGATCTGCTGATGCAAATCGAACAAAATATCTTGGCCATTATTGATTTGCCAAGTCTGGAGACAGTACAAATATGCGTATTGTTGGGGAGCTTTCATCTTTTCAATGGCCGCCCCAATGCCGGTCTAATGACTCTGACGGGTGGACTCAAAACCGCGCAAGTCATCGGGCTCCATCGCGAGTTAAAATGGCGGGGGCTTTCGGACGTTGCACGCGAGACTCGGCGGCGCTCATGGTGGGCATTGGAAGTTGCAGACAAGCACGTATCCCCAAAACTCATTGTCTAAAGTGCCGTAGCTAATTGGAGTGGTGACAGCAGATACGCGGCTGTGGCCTTTGGACGACCATGCACAGTGGATGACTCCAACTGCGAGGTTGCGTCTATTAGCGATATCAAAATATATGGCCATGAAGAAACCCGACAAGGGCCATTGTTGGAATACCATCAGTGGAAGTTCAAACTTTACCGCATCGTGGGTCCGCTCTTGAGCCGAAGACTCCAAGCTAGTCGACTGGAGAGTCTCACTGCTATTCATACTCAACTCTCCTCCTGGAAGAACGAGCTACCTGATAAACTCCGGCTGGAAACATACAAAGATGACCCTAAGAGCGAATCACGAATACCTGAAATGCAGGCATTGGTTCTCCAATTGACCTATGATAATCTCCAAATTATTCTCCACCGCAACGCTGCATTTGGTTGCAACGAACGCGGATTCCATTCAAACAGTGACGCGACCCCGCACAACTCCTCCCGAGAGCAACTGCTGGAGTCCGCATTAAGAACCTCTAAACTGCATCAGCATGCTCAACTCCTACAATCATGCCGCAAGACACACGCTGTGATGCACATTGGGATTTGCCTGTTTACAGCTGGTGTTGTCCTCTGTGCGATTGCACTAGCACAGCCTCTGTCAATAGCCAGCCAGAAAGCAAAAGAAGGCGTTATGCGTATCCTACGCTTGCAAGAAGACAGTGTATCCTCCCAGCATCTTCTTTCTATCCAGAGTGTTCAGATCTTGCGGGATCTAGTGACTGTCGTTATGCGCTCCGAAGAAAGGGTTATATTGGGCCACGGTTCGAGTTTTATACCTGAGAGACCTGGTGGTGACCATTCGACCTTACCAATACCGCAAGCCGATTCTATAATCATGGATCAGGCGTTACTTGATGATACAGGTGCAGCCCAGCCCTCTTCAAATCCGGGTGCGCTCAATCCTCTGCAACAAGGTCAGTGTACTGTTACAACCTGCAGTCTACGCCACTCTCTCATAAATGTATACAGTTTTCAGACAACATCTAGACCAGTCTCTCTCTGTAGTTGATCCCTCGGGCTTGATCGGCCCCAGTGGTGCACAAGATCCTGTGGAAACGCAACAATCAAACCCATCAGCAATGTTCTCATGGGATGGGAATGTATCCGCGCTAGTTGATGCTGGACTTGTGGATGCAAGCCAGATGTGGCTGTGGTCAGATAATCTGGAGTATCAATCGTTCTCAGAACTGGGCAACATGTTCCCTTGACACAACACGTGGTTTCCCGCCGCGTAGACACCAAGCGTGACGGCGCTCCATAACTCGACTCCAGTGAAACCACAAGAAAAGAAATGACACTGACGGCTACGGACTTGGATAAATGCTCTTCCTGTTCCTACTGGTCGGTTTCGGATGACTTGGCACCATGACATACACGAAAGGACTCGATATCACTCAACTACTTAAATACATAGATTTTAAGACTACGACCCTTTGAATGTCAATTTGTGATAGCGTTCGCCTCTGGTCCAGCGCATTGATGACGCTTTTCTTGTTTGATACTCCTTGTTTAGAGCTTGTCGAAGGCGGTCACGGCGGCTTCGGCAGTGACATGGGCACTAGCAGGGTTGGCACCTGTCACGACGCGCCCATCTGTAATGGTAAATGCGTCCCATGGTCCCGGGGGAGAGACATCTGCGATTATTAGCACAGATAGTTCATGAGCCAGAGGAGAAGAACTCACAAGTGGCCCCACAACTGGCTGCGGAAGCCTCAATAGTCGGCCTATTCCAGCTCTTGATGGTGTCGAGTACGTTTTCCTCTTCTTCGCCGCGAGTGGTGAAGCCCGTCACTCTGCGAGAATCGATGATAGACTTGTTGGTACTAGGATCTATAACGCCGGGGAAGATGGCGCCGCCGTGACAGCTAAGAAAGTCTCGTAAGCTTCGAGAGTCCACCGTGATCGGGGATCGGGAGATAACCTACACTGCTGAGACAATACCGCCCGAGGTAAAGATTTTGGAAGCGATTGCTTGCAGACCCTTGGCGTCCGGGTAGTCGATCAAAGACGCATGTCCAGCCGAAGCAAAGAAGAGTCCATACTATGATCTCAATTAGCAATTGGACATTTGAACCGGTTTTAACCCGGCCTGGTTGGTGGTCGTTCACCTTTTCTGGATCAATATCGCTCGGCTTCAGCAGGTTGTCAAGCTTGGAGCGGAATTCACTCGAGTGGTCCTCCCACACGGCGCGGTCTTTATCGTTTAGCCAATCCTTCCGCTGTGAGAGCCAATCGGGCTGGTAGGTTCCTGTTTCGGAAACCAGGTCAACCTCGAAACCGGCTTTACGGAAGACCTCGAAGGGATGCAGGGCTTCAGTAATAAAGAGACCTGTTCGTCTGAGTCAGAAATGTGCCTGGCAGATAGCATATCTAGGTGCCAAAAAGAGAAAAGAAAAACTCACCAGTCTCCTTGCCTTCCGGATAGAGGGGGGCGTGAGCGGAGGTGATAGCAATAAGGGCGCGACGAGCCGGCGACATTGTAGACAGTGTAGTGTGAATGAAATTAATTGACTTGGTATCGAATGTTCCAAAGTTGATATTGTCAGCTTTGCACTAAGGGTCCATAGGTATCTCTGGGATGAGTAGCTATATAGCTTTCCAGTGTTGTCCGAGCGCCTGCTGATCGAATCCAGAGGACGGACAACCCCACCTTGTTGGTTCTGTGGTAGCTTTCACCAAGTCCGTCGGAGCTCAACCGCCCCCTACTTTTTGGGGTCGTCCGTTCGTTGTCGGAACTCTATTCCGTACACGCAGCCGGAAAGCCAATGATCACAGTGATTTGTAAGCCTTTGGACGGTTCTGGACGATGCGCCGGACTGTGAATCAACTCTAACTAATTACAACAACATAACAAGACGTCACGACTACAGGCGAAGGTTCGAACTGGGCGTTTCTCGTATACACTACTAGATTTTTTGACCTTCCCATTGTGGTCTTAATTTCACAAGCCTGTGATCCTAGTTCAGAAACATCGTACATGCCTTGATTCATCCTCTTTTGCTAAAATTATAGCCAGTCGCTGACTCACCAAGTCCACAGCATGAGGAATGTTTCTCCCATGCCTCCGCCCGCCACCACCAGGCTTACTATGGAGGAGGAGCTGTCCCAGATTTAGCCAGTAAACCCGTCTTTACATACGCCATAACCGGGTACCCCGAGACGATCGACATAATAGCACTATGTAAGTTCACTTGGCTATCCGTCCTGGGGCGATATACTCCTGTTGAAGAGCCCAAAGGTGTCCTCCGCAAGATCTCCTGGCTCCGTCGGACCTTAAATCGATTCCAAAGTTACGAGGACTGTGGGAAGCATTTGTGGGTCTCTTAGACGGAACTAGGCTAAAGCTGGGTAGGCTCACCCGCGTCTACCGTGATAAGCGTATCGAAAGTCCGACGGAGCCAAAATGCAACCCTGCAGAAAGCTCCACATCTAAGGGTAACTAATGACGGCTGCAGACAGTGTGATGCATACGTAGCGTACTTCCACCTAGTGAGAATTTAGGTCCCGTTTTGCAGCTTGAACGTCATTTCAAGAGCCTAGGTCTATACCGCCACCCCTTTCTATCTAATTACCCATTGCAGTGTCTGCAGCTCTGACTTAAGTACTCTGCGCAGCAGCTGGGTATGTCTTGCTTTAAAGCTCCGTGCTGTGCCCTCAATCAGACGGTTCCGAATCACTCTCTATAGCCACCAGCCGACTACCCCTGCTGCGTTGGACATGAAATTGTCGGCATAGCTATACGTGTTGGGTCAGCGGTTACTAATGGTATTTCGGTGGGTGATCGAGTAGCTGTTGGTCCGCAGAGTAATGCCTGTCTTTGCTGGAGGGGTGGATGTCAGGAGTGCGCGACTGGGAGGGAGAATTACTACCACCTGCACCTCACCGGAACATACAATGGTCGGTATCTGAGCGGCGATAAGTCCTTCGGCGAATCTGGACGGTATCAATCGCGCGCCGTCACACTTTGTTTTAATATTCTCCGTGCTCGGTAAAGGGTAAAGAGGCCCACCATTCTCGGAGGCCTCCGAGGCTTGGCACATTAACCTCCGTCGGACTTGGTGTACGTAATCAAGTGGTAGGTGCACGAGGTAGTCAGCTATTTATTTCAGCTACGTCACTCCGCGGAGTTACTAAGTTTCTAAATAATTTTCCCCCCTTTTGATCAGACGTATCTAGCTAACTATACAACCAACGTCTTATATATTGAGTGATTTTGATCTTTACATAATCCCTGGAGTACAGACCTTCTCTTGAACAAATCGTCATGCCACAAATGAGAGCTGTCGGTATGCTATCGATTTCCCCCAATTGAGAAAGAAATCCGTAGGATTATACTAAGGGACATGTGATAGTGGTCGAGGGTGGCAAAGGTCCCGCGGACGCCATGTCCATCCAGGAGATCCCAAAGCCGACACCCTCAGCTGGGCAGGCCTTGATCAAAGTCAAGGCATTTGGGCTGAACCGCATGGACCTGCTGCAGAGAGAGGGGCTGTACCCTCTTCCGCCACAGGCGCCAGAGACCATGGGGGTCGAGTTCTCAGGCACTGTGGAGTCGGTTGCTGCTGGCGCGGAAAGCGACTTCAAGGTTGGGGATGCCGTGTTCGGTCTCGCGTATGGAGGTTGTAATTTCCCCTCTATTTCTCGTGCTGAATGTTCTCTTTTAACTCTTCGCAGGAGCGTATGCGGAGTTCATCGTCGTCGATACAGGGATGTTGGTGCATAAGCCTGCAGAGCTCTCATGGGAACAAGCTGCCTGTGTTCCGGAGGTGAGACATGTATTGAACTGACAACGGAGGACTCCGCTAACCCTGCAGACATGGATTACCGCATCGCAAGCCCTCCACATCATCGGAGGTTTTCAGGCCGGGCGTTCCGTACTTTGGCACGCCGGTGCCTCATCCGTCTCTATCTGTGGTATTCAACTCGCTAAAGCAGAAGGTGCCAAAGCTGTCTATGCGACGGCTGGCTCCCAAGAAAAATGCGATTTCCTCGTTAACGAACTCGGTGTCACGGCCGCCTTCAACTACAAGACCCAAGACTGGGCCGCTGAGATTAAGAAGATCACGGCTGGGGCAGGCGTCGATTTGATTGTTGACTTTGTCGGAGCAAATTACTTCCAGGGGAATATAGACGCCGCGGCGCGCGATGGCCGCATTGTCATTCTGGGCCTGATGAGCGGGCAGAAGTTGCCGAATGGCGTGGACATTGGCGGACTGCTGTTTAAGAGACTTCGCGTCGAGGGCAGTACGCTTCGAAGTCGGGAGCTGGAATACCAGCGGAAGCTCAGAGATTCCATGGTGGAGCACGTTCTTCCGAGACTCAAGGATGGGTCCTTCAAGGTCTTTGTAGAGAAGGTGTTTCCCTTTGCGAAGATTGTGGAAGCTCATAAGTTGCTGGAGAGTAACCAGACGAGGGGCAAGTTGGTGTGTGTCATATAAGCTCTCAGAATCTGTTTGGATCGCCAAGTGAACGAAGCATGCCTGTATGCTGTGACCGGGCCGATCAATCGGCTATAGAGGAATTCCATCATCGTCGCTGGCTCTCCATTACCTCTCTCAATGTGGGTATAAATGATAACAAGTCCTAGTGCAAGCAGTCAAAGAGCGCCTCAATGATGGATGGATTGACCAATTTGATACCATCAGGCCGCCCCACAGGGTCTATCAGCTCGCAACTATGCCGCGGAGCCGTACGCAAAGTAAACGTGAACCCAAGCTAAACAGCATTTGATTGTCCCTAAAGCACAAAATAAAAAACTTTCCGGTCATGCACCGCCATCATAGAAGCCCACTGTGAGGAATTACCCTGTGACCGCCCATCTTATCTTTCATCCTCAACAACGTAGGGTCCCTGCAAGACCTGAGCATTCTTTGTGATGACCCGACGATCTCCGATCCATTCAACCTTAAAGATGGCACTAGCCCACTACATCAGCCCCATGCATTGAATGACAAGCGTTAAATTCCCTCAACTTACTGGACCTTTCCTCCGTACATCTTCCCATCATCCTTGGACACCACGCGCCCCTTCACCGCGAACCCAATCGTGCCCCCACGACCCTCTTCGTCGTTGACATCGGGCGTGGCGACCGCCTCATGGAACTCGAAGTCCAGGAAGGTATAGCGAGTGCGCCACTCTTGCACGAACTTTTTGAACCCGTCCAGGTCCAGTCGTTCAGAGTTCCATCTGTTGCGGGATAAGGCCATTACTGAATTAGATCATCGATAGTTTCATCTTTGTTGTTGCGTGGTTTATATGGGGAGGCCTGATGTGCAGATATGGGAAAAGTGACTGCTTACTCAAACAACGCATCTGAACTGTAATTGTCATCCACTAGGGTCATGGCCTCTTCATCGGAAGGGACCTCGTAGATCAGTCTTGACGCATGGCTGATTTAGCAACGAGATAATGGCTAAAGTAGATTGAATGAAGATCGTACCGTTGAATGCGTTGAACGAAAAACAGCAAAGGGATCTTCACCTCTCCCTCCATAGGAGTGGCGGTCGTTTTGGGAATGGGAAACAACATGGCTGCGATAAGACTGGTAAGATACCTTGGTTTGGAGTGTCATGATTTAGGGTAGAATAACACTATTTCAGACCGATTGCTGGTGAGATTTATATGTTGTCAGTCTTCAAGCCGAGCAGGGTATCACGTTGCTGCTATACGAAGATGACTGTGATGATATCACAGTACGCTGTCTTGGCAAGGATCATTATAAGAGCATCCAATTGAGCTTAGTGTAAAATCTTCGTGAGGATCAGTCCGGGGTGAAATTTTCTGTATCGAATGACGGACAACCCCAGTCCGTCCACTAAGAACCACTGTCGTCTTATGCAGCCCGATGGGTTTTTGTAGCCTTGTGTGACCATACTGCATTGAACCCTGCGTCAGCCAAGTCGGAAACAGAAGATTGTACTTTCAGGACAAAGCTGGGCACTGCAATATCCTAGCTTGTTGACTGCATTATGAGAGATACAGAAGCACTGTTTACCGCTGTCTGTGAAGGCCAACTTATTGTGTCTGGAGAATCGCTCAAGGATTGGGGCGGTTGGGTCCATTGGATTGGCCTATGCTATTTAACCGCTCCGTATTATATACATTTATCGTAACTACCCTGGTAAAGACACAAGTCAAGTGCTGAATAAGTCTGACCTTTCGTCAACCTCAAACTGCAGGATAATTCGCTGCTAAAGCCCATAAAATTTGTCTAAAAAGTCTCTAGAGTTGTACTGGTGATTATAAATACGTACATCTGCTGTTAATTCCGGGCTATATCCTTGTATGGAAGCCTCGATTAGCTGACTGATTGATGGTCGAACTACACCATCACTGTCTCGCACATCTATGGCAAAGATCTAGGCACAGATTAAGCCTGTTTTGCACGAGCAGCTTACACTGTCTTTGATGCACTTTGGGCTACGTTGTACATTTGGTCCCAGGATATCCAGTGCTCCGGGGTAGCACACATAGCCAATCTGGGTTCGAGCGCCAATTCCTCGGACATGGCCCTGCTTTTCCTCGTCAACGCTGCTTGTAGACACGCACCGATTGGTTACAAAATCACATCTTCTCGCTGTTGGTCAGACTCAGCAATGGCCGCAAGCATAAGACTCGGTTCCACTCAGAGTTCGCTAATACGCAGGTGAGACAAAAAGTTTTGTTATTATCTTAGCACTACCTGTATAACCATGATGCCCAGGTAGCCTCATGCATCGAGGTAAAAACACGAAACTAGGTCAACATAAACCAGTCCTCCACTTCCATCTCTTTCCTGGACCATTTTTGGTCATTTCTGTCACTTGGCGGTACGTCATGGTCAGCACCGAAGTCAGGATTGCCCTGAATCCTACAAAACCAATCCTCGCCAATCAGTCGTGAAAAACTGCGAACCTGAAGGAGTTGAGTCTACTCCGCAGTTTTCTTCTCCTTCTGCCTGTCAACCCGCCCAGCAAACAGGATTTTCATCCCGCAACCGACTAATCAGCAAACAGGTAGTCCCAGGTCCAAGCAGAAGAGAGGACCCAAGCGCAGCGGAGAGAAACCACGACCACCGAAACGCTCTACCGCATGTCTGGACGGTCGACAAAGCTCCCTGCAGCTCGGGTGCAACCACCTCCTTGTCATCGCGACTGAGAACATCCTTGAACAGTGTTGGTACATTGCGCTAACAGATGCAAATTGCGCACACTGAGCGACCGGGTGAGGAATCCTTGCAGGTTCCATTGTCTATATTGCGCTTAACAATCATCATACTTCAACTTATTAAGTGCGGGCCATCCCACATGGCACGCCGAGAGCCTCATTCTTTCCTGAAGGGGAAATTAGGGCCGTTATCGATAAAACTCCGATCGGATCGGAGCGGCCGGTTTTGATGGCCGATTTGCGGAGCCGCAGAATTCCCCCTTATTTCATCAGGTTTTTCTACGTTGAGGACGTCGAAAGACCTTCAGCCCTGAGACCCTAGGACCCTGAAACCCTGATCAGCAGGACTGGGCTCACTTTAAACCCCCCTTTTCGCTTCTCCAGGCACATCAAGACAGCAAACTAATTCCTCCAATGCCCTCTTCCTCACTGCATCAATGTTTCCGACGACTCCGTAATGGGTGCAACAAGCTTTGCTAAGCCGAACCTTCAATTCCCAGTGGGGCCCACCTGAACTTACCCGAAAGACTTCCTTTTTCATCATGGTTCACTTTACTCGCCGGTATACTAGTGGAAAGCTAGTGATTAGCACAATAATAATTCCGTAGACGATGCCGGTACGGTATTTCGAAAAATGATAGAGTAAGGTCGGGGCCAGCGATGCCGAAATTTCGCTCTTCCTCCTCGTGATCCCTCGTCTGCGTCTCTTTGAGCCCCAGAACCCTTCCCTATTTTCGTCATTTATCCTGCCGTTTCTGTTTGCTCTTTATTCCACGATGGATTACATTCCTTGTTCGTTCGATGCCTTCATCGACAATTTCTTGGCATGCTACCGACCCTGCTACTCGGACTATCTCCAGCAGTTGGTCGCCAACGGGACATGTGGTGCCAACTACACCACCCTAGCCGCCAGCACCGACCGCTCCGATCTCAAGTGCATCTGCGAGAACGCAAACGGGGTCTCCAATAATTGGACGTCGCAGGTCCTGGAGTGCACGCACTCCTCGTGTAACGGAACATTCAACTACACCCGGTGGGCGGACAGTATGTGGAGCTACGATAACATGTGCTATTACGCTTCAGGTATTTCCTTCCTAAAAGTTATATCCCTCTTACCATCTTTTTTCTTCTTCCATTCACCCCCCACATCTCTACTTCTTGGTACTGGTGGCGAGCAGTAGCTGACATGGAAGCGAAGGCACGGCGGGTTACAAGACATGCTCCTCCTCAGCGGCATCCAAGACAACATCCACCGCTGGGCTGGCGATTGGACTATTGGCGTTGAGCCAGGTATTTTTGCTTTGAGAACGAATGGAATTAATGCAGTGCCCTGGCTTACTAGCTACTTTGACCGGGGAGGAGGGTTGGCCTGCAGAAAGGCACTGTACAGATTGGGATCTCAACGAATAATCATTCCCTTTCGGGAAAACCCCGGTCCATTTCATATGCTCAATACCTCTCCTAGACCTCTTAGAGAGGTAGTATACAACAAACCAATTAGACGCTATATCCAACTTAGGTCGGCTCCGACAGGTCCCAGCGCCTTACCCGTTCCTGCTATTTCGGAAATGTTGGATGGCCCGCTGTCACCCCTGGTTGGTAACCGCTAGTGAATCAGCAAAACATGGTTCGCAGGCTAGAGTACTGCCGAGGGGGAAAGAACAGAGAGATGATATAGACTAGGGGCAAGCGAATACTAGATTACATACCAACACACACTTTTCAAGCCACGGGGCAATAGACTTCCTGTGGGGCCTACTTGTGGGTGTTGTGGGTGTGCAGCTATCGGAAACATACAGAAGTTCATAGAGTGACTGTTCAGCTAATGCTCGAAATACGACGCAGAGTAAGTCTTATTAAAAACCTATTCATTGCGTGGAAGTCCGACCTGTCGGAGGGCGCAAAAAGGGGGTCGGAAAAGATGGTGTTGGAGTGGAACCGAGCCCTATCGATCTTGCCTCTGACACCTGACTAAACGAAATCGAACTAGTGGAGAAACCCCTCGGACGAACCGGCCGGTATCGCTCGTCATGGCAGATACAGTTCGGCAAGGCCGGTAACAAACAAAGTATGCTCTGTAATGATGCCTTAAGCCGGAACATCACGGCCCCTTCGTCATCCCTTCATTGATGTGAGAAGACCATAAGGTAACAGAAAACTCGAATCATTGACAAAAGGTGGGGGAACACGCTCGCATGTGTTCTACAAGTCACCATTGAGGCCTGTAATCATGTACTGAGTTGGGCGTCCAGCTTTGTGTCGGACAACCATAGTAAGTGGGTGTGAATATCGGTCGGCGACTAAGATGCGAGGTGAGGGAGCGACAGTCCACGCATGGCCATCGCCAATCCGAAAGCCCGCATGGCGTTCTTAGTCCGCTGGAGACCTGTCCTCTCGCAGGGAAGACTGTTCTAGCGTGGGCGAATTAGATGCCTGCATACGAAGTGAGGCTGTAGATATCCTTCCTTGACTGGACAGTGAAAAGCGCTTGGTTTTTCTCAGAGCTACTGGGGCTGCTTGTGTGTGATTTGGAATTGTGGAATCTAACCAATGACGACTTCGGTTCGATTCAAGCGAGTCAGCTCTCATTTCTTGGTGGCTTACTACGGAATCAGGTTCCCGCATGTCTATGGCGACATGCATGGATGGCGTATGAGTGTCTTATCCACCCTATAATAACCACGTAGTGGTGATTAGTTGGTCTTGATTAGGGGGATAACATGCGCGGGCGCTGTAGTGTAAGGAAATGTCCGGCCTATTCAGCACAATTCTGTATATTACAAGGATAAGACATGTGTCCGAAACATTCAAATTCTACGGAGTTCCCTTCCTCCAACCCATTTTCTGCTCCTACTGTAGGAATGTACGAAATGGGCATGGTCAGATGTCAGCTCAGGCCTTTCGAAGCTGCACTAACCCCTCTGATCATAGCCTTGCAGGTGTCAAACCCCACGCAGCCTTGTCAGTTTCTGCCCAAGGCAATAGGTCGACGCGCAGATCTTCTAGGAGGAGCACCTTTGCTTATTTGAACACGCATAAATGATAGGTTCATGTTGAGGGGGGAGAGCTGATTAGGAGATAGACAGTGCAGCTGAAGGTGTGGAGAAGTTGACGTGTTCCATTCTATGCACAAACTTCAGGCCCGACCCGTTCGCCGATCAAGTGGTCCCCGATGAGAATCACCACACAGCAGTTCTCGCGCAGATAAGCAAGACTACGGGCTAGAGCTGCATCCGAAAACCCCTCCCATGAAGAGCATCTCTGAAGGAGACTAGCACTGACACCAGTAAGTCCGAACGAGATGGTCAAATCAACTACAAAAGCTGCCAAGGGTCTCCGCCCCCAGACGCTTTGGTTTCATGGCTGAGGTACAATCCAGTCCCACAGTATGTTCAGAATGCTTCCTTGGATTATGACCCTTCTTCTCCTTCCACTTTTTCTAGCTACCAGGGTACAAGCATTCAATACAGTCCACACAAATTGCACACTTCCGCCCGAGCACACCAATTTTGTCACAGCCCCCAATACCCGTGGGACCTTGCAAATCCTATGGTCTTCCCTTTTCACTATTCTCGCCTGCACATGGACTGTGCTTCATCTCAATGTTCCTAAATATCGGCCGAAACCAGAAATAAAGGAATTCAAGCACTGGCTGGGTTGGATGGTGAAGAAGTACCAACATCCAACGAAGTGGTTTCTCTTGACTGTTCTTGCCCCAGAAGTACCTTTCGCCAAATACTGGGATGATCAGGTCCGAGCGCATTCTCTTTTCCATCATTATGAAGATTTTTTCGTGAAGAATAACTGGACAAGAACTCATGTTTTGTTTGCCAATATGGGAGGATTTGCGCTGCGATGCACTGCCAATGACGAGGAGGACAAATCCGGTTCAGACAACGAGGAAGCGAGTACGGAAAATCAAGATAGCAACCCACCCGGTACGGGTTCTTCTGTAGAAGATGAGACATCCCCACAGGAGGGCTCGAGCACATTGAAACAATCGACGTCGGTGTTCAGCAACGAAAAGGCAACCCAGGAACCACAACCTACCCTCAACGAGAATCCTGCAAAGAAATTCGAAGGTGTTTACTATCTGACAGCCACCGATGCTTTTAAACTTCTATGCAGCACCGAAACATCTATACCGGATCTAGCTGATGTATCCGTGGAAGAGATCAACGATCGGTCCAAAACGGACGTCTTCATGCGGCTCCTTGCCGTCGGACAGATTCTCTGGGTGGTTGTTCAGATTCTATCGCGAGCAGTATATGGTCTGGCTGTGACCCAGCTAGAGGTCACCGTTGTCGCTTTTGCTGTATGTGCGGTGGGAATGTATATTGTCAACCAGGGGAAGCCCAAGGGAGTCAATCTTCCGATTGTTTTTGAATATCCTGGGTCGAGGGCAAAGTTGGAAAACGAGCTTGAAAAGGCCAGTCTTCCTGACCATGAGAAAAAACACACTCATTGGAAGTTCTACAGATGTAAATATTGCCCAAGAAAGGACGGCAAAATTCAAAATTGGCACAACCTCAATACCACGCCCAGCAAGGCTCGCAAGACCAATGAGAGTCATGGAAGCCAAAACGAAGAGGATTCAGGAGATACTGATAATAAGGGCTTGAGAATGCTTACTATCGCTATAGAAGCGGTACGTACGCTGCTTGGATCCAAGCAGAGATTAGGATGCCCACCAGGCAATGGATTCGTTGAGGAGGCAGATGCCTCAGGCGAATCTACTGATGTTCTCACGGACATGTCCATGTTTATCGGCAGTATGATCTTCGGGTGCATTCATCTCATAGCTTGGCATTTTCAGTTCCCCACCACGATAGAGAAACATCTCTGGTGGGCTGCAGGATTATGGTGCACCTTTTGTGTTGTGGCGTGTACGCTGCTTTTCTTCGCAATCTTCGGGTTTATGGTAGCCGAAGAAGCCTTGACTATATGGCTAGAAGGTGATGATCCTTCGCCATCTAATGATACCAAAACAAATAAGCCAAGTTCCGTGGTTGATACCTCATCCAACCTCGAAACAAAGCTCGATGTCGGACCGGCTCCCAGCTCAAAAGACACACCGACGCCTATACCTTCTGTTTCAAATGGAGATCCAGAACGGCAAAGTTCTCCGCCATCACGCAGGAAATCAATCCGTGAAGTTGCTATTCGGCTTGTTCGGTCTCTTGTTAGTGCGCTTTACGTGTTTGTTGCAATCTTGCTACTCCCATTCACAGTTGCTTATATTGTGGCAAGATTGTTTATTATTGTTGAAATGTTTAGAACATTGGCCTTTCTTCCGCCGGACGCTTATGTTGCTACTTGGTCGTCGGAAATTCCTAATATTGGTTAATTTTCTAAACTCGAAATGGGATCGTTCTAATATCATTAGTGCTCTATCTTCTATAATAGCAAGAAATAACTAAGTTGGAAGTATACAAATACTACATATTTGAGCTATTCCCTACCAAACCCCTAATATGTGGCGTACACAGAGCGCCTGCCTGTGTGGCGACACAGTATAATTCCCAGCATAGCATATCATAATTGCGAGGAACCTGGTGGTGTAGGCAGGCGCTTGGCTTTCAAAGAATAACTGCGGTCCGATGATATTCCCAACACAATGACTGATCAATATCTAGAGCTTGCAGTCAGCTTCTACTGGCTCCAAAAGTGCTACTTCCATTGGTGGCAGTCACAACTGGGGATTACGACGCACAGCTGTGTTCGATGTCATCTTCTTGGTAAACCCCGCAACAATACCCGATGACAAGGACATCGTTAGAGGGAAATTGGCAGCAGCGGCCGTCATGAGTAATTTGCCGGCAAAGCAACCCCACATTAGATGAGCTGCGAGCTCACGTCAGCGCCGTGCCGATAGCGGAGAGACACATTTTCCACACCATCCAATACATTCAATTAATGGTAAAATATACGCTGCCACCGGTAGAGATAAGAAAAACGATAAGCATCTAATTCGAAATCTTCATTGGGCTCTATCATAGCAGCCCTCTATGTGCATCTAGTCATAATTCATATATACAAAGTCATCAATCCAAAATCTATATCACATCACGCCAGCATAATGTACAAGTCAGGGCATCCAGCCTCAGACGTCAAACCTAACTGCGAACCTTATCGTCTCCTTAGGGTGCAGCATCCTCTTTACTAACCCGATGGCCCTGGTTAGCCTTCCGATCCGACGCCAGCGTCTGGGCAAACTTGCTCCGCTCGCGAATCTGCGGCCCCTTCCAGTAGAAGATGTAAATCGGCAGCACCACCAAGCAAGAAAGACAAGCAAGGATAGTGGTGGCATACTCAACATGCCACTTGTCTCCGATATTCTCATACATTGGGGTGGTATACATGGCCGCAATACCTGCCAACAGATCACGGCAGAACGCGTTGCCGCCCGTCGCAGAAGCAGAGTAAACACCGTATGCAGCGACCATGTAATCAACCGAGGAAAGATAGATAGCGTAGTTGGCAATACCGACAAGGGTAGAGAAAATCATGGATGCGATCCACGGCACACCATACTCTTGACCGAGAGACGTCCACGCGAAACCGAACAATCCTATCGGTTCAAGCAAGGCTAGATAAAGAAGCCACTTGAGTCTCCGCTCAGCAGGTAGTGCATCGTCTCCCTTCGCGTCGCGGATTTTCTGGTCCCGCCAGAACCAAGGGAAGTATGAGAAATAGGCGATCACATAGCCGATGTTGATCGGGATGACCGCCCACGCTTGGCCGAGAATACCGAAGCCCCAGCCCTTTTCGTACACAATGGAGAAACTTTCGAGGAAGGTGAAGATGAGGGAGTCGGAGAACCCGGAGAGGAGGGAGAGGCACAGGACGATGGGTTCGCGGAGGAACATGTAGAAGGGACGGATCCAGATCTTGCCGGCTTCTTTGAGGGAAATGCGAGGGTTTTTGAGCTCGTTGGGTCCGTAGATGTTGGGGTCTTCGCCAGATTCGCGGCGGCGCTTGGCTTCGCGGTCCATGATAATTGTCGAGCGGCTTTCGGGGACAAAGAGAAGGATTACCTCGACCGTGAAGCCGAAGATGAGCATGATCCAGAAGAACCATTGCCAGTCGAGGTCTGTTGGATGCATAGTTAGAGTTTGTGAATTTTTAATGGTCAATCTTTGGAAAGGAGAGGGTACGTACAGCGCTCGATTGGTCCACCTATCACTCCTCCGATACTTGTTCCAATACAAGATGATAAGACAATAAATGCCAGAGGAAACTGTTGGTCTTCGGCTTCGTAGAGATCGGCGATAAGACCCAGGGTGACACTACCGCCAGCGGTCGAAATTCCACCCTACAGACTATGTTAGCATGACATAGTGCACATTCCAGGCGCAGGGAACTGACCAATCCACGAGCAACAACAATGGTGCCCCAATTTGGCGCCAAGGCAGCTGGAATTTGCCATATGTTGATAAGAAACATGGATAGCTGGAGGATAGGCCAGCGACCAAATTCTTCACTCCAAGGCGCCCATAATTCACACCCAATGGAATAGGTGATGAGGTAAATCATCTGCCCCGTTCGGGCCTCCTGCTCCCCGATATTGAATGCCTCTGACAATGGCTTCACGGCATTGGGAAAAACAGAGGTGTTGAAGTTCATGGATACTTGGACGCACGCTATAGCCGCAAGATACGACCATTTCTTCCATCTCGGCCAGCAGTAAGCCAGCTTATCGTAGCAGTCGTTCTCCTTCAACTCGCGTTTACCGTCTGAGCGTATGGATCCCGCCTTGCTCTCGGCTCCAGTGAGCCCAAATGCGGGGACCATATCATCCCCGCTATCCTGGCTGTCTATCCCCTTATCGGAAAAGGAACTTCGAGATGACTGGGACTGGGGTTGCTGTTCGTGGGGATACATAGTGTGATGTCATTGAATGATACTATCACACAGGAACAGGCAAAGATAAGAAGAACTAAACCTCTCTCAGAGTGGTCTGACACGGCTGGATACCCTGCCGGTCGTCTGATAGATATACCATCCGGCCTCAATCATCCATTCTAGATGTTGTCATACTGGAGCAGTTCCTTTCCAAACCGGATTTGTGACTTTGGGGTTGCAGTGGGGCGGGCCGGGCAGATCCACTTGGTGGATCATCGCCGGGGAGAAGTTCATACGCGCCCAATCAGGGCATCGGCACTCGACTCAGAATGCGCCCTCGGGCTCGCTTTTGATTTGTCTCGATGGCTTCCGGAGGTCCGGCTGCTCCATACCGATGCACCTAACTCGGAGTAACACACTGCCCGATGTCCACCGTAAGCACAGAGCATCCGGTATGATATCATCGTTGTGGTGCTGCATTGCAAAGAACTGCAGCTTCGCCACACATCCATTGTTTTCTTCCTCGTGCATTCACCACTCACATTCAACCTGTTGCCTAGCAGATTATCATCGAACCTCGGTCTCTCGGGACACATAAGAGAGCAGCAGCATTAAAATGACGTGTTCTATTAATGTGGTTAAAATTTCTCCAGGTACCATGCATCATGACGCTCCTTGCATCCCCTTCTGTCTGATAAGGTCCTTTCGGATAAATTTTCCTTCATGTGCTGTTGTCGGTGGTGCTCATTCAATCAGTGGTTTATACATTCAACTGCATCTCAACCTGAAATGACGTCATAGTGCCTGTGCATTCAATGAGTGACAGACACTACAACACCCAGTCTTTTTGAACATTACTAACAACACCAACACATGTCGTTCATTACTCGAACTGCTGCTATTCTGATTAGACGATATCATGCTAAACGACGAGTCACCCATGACCAATGTGACGAAAACCACTCTCGGTGAAAAGTCAAGGATGCCTTTGTGGGAGATGACCATTCGTTGTAGGAGAGCGATAATCTTGAAAGAGTGAACCGACATTCCCACATACAGAACACTTAGAAAGTGCCCATGATTCTTTAGGGTCCTAGTCTCAGAAAGCCAGCTTAAAAAGGACGGTTCAAGAGTGCCAACAACTACTTCTGCTATCTTCAACATCAGAACAAGCTGCCGCACCGGCTAGACCTTCTCCGCGCCATCTTCCTCGCAACAATGACTCTCATTAGAGGCCTTGTTAGCAGCCATCGAAGCACTCAAGCTCAGCCCCTCACAGTGCTCTTGACTTTAATTGACTATGGTTTTCTAGGAAGCTTATGAATGACAAAATCTACCTGGATATTTTCGATATCCTTAGACTTGAATTTCAGGCCCCAAACACAAGGAATCAATAATGACATCGTCAAACATTACCATACTTCAATTGACAAACGTAGCAGAGGAAATAATAAGGATGGGGTTTATCCCTTACAAGAAGCATCATTTTCATTACAGCATAATACATTCATGGTCAAGGTCCAACACAAACTATATACCAGTAGCAGTGTATGTTAATAGTTAAGTTCAGACCTGCCAGACAACCTGAGTCTTCTTACTAAGCTTAGAGCCAGGGAGCATCGGCAATGGGAAATATGCATGGAAAGGTTATTCAGTATGGACTAATCTTCAATGGGTTCTGCATTCCTCCTAATGCAATCATATGGTTGGCAAGGGGCGAAAGCAATTATCGCATCCATTCTGGACTCCAATGCGGGACGTCGTTGTATCGAAACCCCCTTCAGTCCGTGTGCTAAGTACACGCCGATTCCGCCCCTCTTCAAGATAGAGTTGAACTCACTTTAGACGCACTGAACGAAGTTAAACACCGTGAAGTCGAACCCCTCGAGAATCCATCTTTAACACCAATCAAGTCCCTTTCCCCTTCCGATATCGCTTCTTCTTGGCTTGAGAATAGTAATTTTACTAATAGCCCTTTTATATCTTGAAGTCACCGGCTCTAAGCGGCATTAAGCGGGTTTACGCAGCCTCAACCCCACTGACCGGCTATAGATAAGCCTACTAATCCCCGCGTAAACTAGTTCCATTATGGGACATTTGTCCGAGCATAAGCACATATATAAAGGCCTAGCCCTTCCAGTAAGCCTATTCCCAGTAAGCCGAACCCATTACACGTTTGTAGCACTAAATAAAAGCTCTCCTGGAAGAAAACAACTATCTCAACACCATCATGAAACTCTACGACTCTCCCGCCCCCAACCCCATGGCCGTCCGGCTGTTCATCCTCGAACGTGGCGGTCTCCAACTCGACGTCGAAGTCGTTGACACTAAGACTCTTCAGAACCGACGCCTTCCTTATCGCGCTATTAACCCTCGTGGAGAAGTTCCGGCCCTCCAACTCGATGACGGCACTATTTTGACTGAAATTACGGCCCTGTACGAGTATCTGGACGAGATCGCCGTTGGAGGCACATCGCTGTTTGGAAATACGCCGGAACAGCGTGCCGAGACCCGCATGTGGATGAGAAGAATGGACCTGGAGATTTGTCAACTGGCTATTGCTTGGTTCAGGAATGATCCTGCTACTATTGATCTCTACAAAGGCCATCGGATTCCAACGCCCGAGGCGAGGGTGAATCAAAAAGTCATGATTAATCAAGCGTTGAATATGCTGGATGATCACTTGGAGGGGAATACTTGGCTATGTGGGGATAGATTCTCTGCTGCTGATGTTCACTTGTATGGATTGTTGAAGATGATGACTATGAAGGCGTGTGGGTGGGTGCTGTTGCCAGGACGAGAGAACTTTCTGGCGTATTGGAACAGAATGGATGAGCGAGAGGCTTCAAGCAAGGCCTTGCAGACCTTCTCGGCCAGGGTTGAAGTGTGATGCACATACTGGGTCTTTAAGGTGAGTTTATGGAGGATTATAATATTGATGCTTCGCAGCCGTGCTACAGAACTTGTGGCGTCATATTGTTTTGCAAATGGCTCCTGAGCCTATATAGACTAGACTTTTAGACGTTTTACAGTTTTCTTCGGCGGGAACAAGCTGCCTTCTTCCTGTCATTGTCAGTGAAAATTCCTGTTATGTCGAGGCACTAGTGAAGGTCCTTGTGTTTTGGGAAACTCATATATATTTTCCTCTTCCAATGTTCATTAAAGAGCACAATCCTTCCTCCTCCATGCGTGAAGTGGTTACTTCATCTCACTTGCTCAGGTCATGTCGAAGCGGACAACCTCAGCATCGTCGAAAGAAATCACGAAAAACGATCCCTGAGGAACCAAAAGCGACCAAAGGTCGTCGAACATCAGAAGGGTGAGTAATTCTTGGATAAGCTATGACAGTATCAACACCCACAGAGCTCCCTTTGAATGGCGCGTTCCACCGTGCGCAATAGCATGATTAATCTCGAGTGCCGAATTTTCCCTAACATTTGACTCTCGCGCGGTGCGGAAATAGTACCCGTACCTTAGCCCGACCTCAAAATCACTTGTCTCACCATATCTCCCCCGGTTCCCAATCTACAACAAGCTGAAAATATTATCAATGATTATGACTGATAGCAAGCAGGTCCCTTCCTAGCCGAAATTGAAGAATCAATACGTATGACTGAACCGCCTAATGACCCATTCACCTGCTTAACTACCAGCCGCGCCAACATTCGGCGCTTGAGCTCGGTAGGCTTTTGACATGACATTTTCACAACAAAATCAGCTTTTTTTATGGAACACAACTTCACCAGAGAATTTTCTCAAGGCAATCTGCACAGCCGTACAGGCAGTGCGATTGATAATACGTTAATACGGTTATTGCAGCCAACTCCCAAGGCGCTCAAGTCCGAGTCGAACCGAGAGTTTGAGTTTGAGACAGCAATCTCGATAGGCCAATTCTCCACATCCCCACGTTCTCACCGTCGGCTGTGGTTTCGACTTGCCAAATGATAGTGACTATGACCATAATGACGATTATTCTCACCGGGTGCTTCGGCGTTGACATAATAGAATCCATGGCTTTGTCTTACCGTCTAATCCTGGCCCCCACATCATCAAAATGAAGGGTCACAACCTCGATTTCACCTGTGGTTGTCCCTCGTTGTGGGATAACCGTACCATACTAAGCTTGAACAAGCTTCAGCCACTATAGCGCTGAAGACATATATGGCTCTTCTAAGTGGCCGGCAGGGGGGCAAGGTGAGCCCACTGTACCCGCTTCCTTTACATTTTTGGCCCCTTTTGGCCCCTTTGGCCCCCAACATCCTCGCTAAGCCTTGCCGATACCCCATACAACCTGGGCGCCATGTCCTATCCTGCAGCAGCAGTCAAGGTCGGCTGCACCATGGGATTATGAAGAAATGTCTATAAATTGCGACACAATCTCTGTATTCCCTCAGGATTTGCTGTCTACAGTCTTCCAAGGAACTTCTTATTCCAAACCAATATACTGCAACTTCCCTCACTTGTTCAAACCCACAACAAGATACACAAGCAACAATGAAGACAACCCAGCTCATCCCTTCCATCCTCCTTTCCCTCATCCCCACCTTCACCCTCGCTGATGGGGTCCCCGATGGCGCCAAGCTCTGCGTAGGCCAAGGTGCCGGCAGCTGCCAATTCGCTGCATACCAGCTCCAACCTACAGACACGTGCGAAGACCTTCAAAAGAATGCCGCCTATATCTACGACCACGAATGCAACCTCATCGGCCACACGGAGAATTTCGTTGAGGGAGACGCCATCGACTCGCAGCTGCCGTATACTGTCGATATCAAGAACATTGTTGGCGGTCCCTCTTGTTCGATCAAGTACGAGATTGCTTATAGTGATGGGTTGTATGGGTATGGAATGCCCTCTGGTGGCGTTTGGGGTAGCTGTACAGAGTCAGGCCATCAGTGCAACTGGTACCGGGTGGCATTCGATTGCCCTGGGTTCTAGAGGAAGTTGGGTTTGATATTGTGGGGTGGGATGGAATCAAACTGCCTAATATGGACCGGTCAATTTCCTTGTGCAGTCATGTATATACTATCAAGGCTTTATAAGTAATTGTGAGAGCCTCAAACTACTGCCGATACCAGCCATCGGCTAAAGTTATCTTTCGTCAATGTTCAACGGAAGATGTTACAATGGACCGTTTTCATACTTAATCGATCCACTGATATTTTTCACGAACTTTGAAATATCTTTCCGATTCGACACCTCCAATTAACGACTCTATGGTGTCTTATTTCTTTTCAGATGACTGATTCTTAATTCATAGTGTCAGGGAATATATCACATGGCCTGAAATAAGCACGTGCTGGTTTCCCCTCTCATGTTCCATTCAGCCTCCTCCCTATCTTAAGATCACCTCCATCCATCGACTCCTGCTCTTTTCATTATGTGGGAGCCGGTAGCTCTCCCCTTTCAGAGCTCCTACCCTTTGCCTACTCCGCTACCTACAACAAACGTAATTCGCGCTTGCACCAATGTTCTGTGGGAGGCCAGGGGCTCTAATGTTGTGGCAGTGAACGACAATATCGTTGTGAAATATGGAGTTCGTGTGGAAACCTGGGAAGGCCAGGCTTTAATCTATCTTGAACAATGTGTTCCAGAAGTTCCGGCGCCTCGCTTATATGCGATGCACTGCGAGTCTGATGAGCGTTTTCTAGTCATGCAACGCATTCATGGAGTACCGCTGAATTCCCTTTGGTCATCATTGGCGCCTTCTGAGAAGGACGATATTATCACTAAACTCCAGCAAGTATTTGATGCAATGAGAAAGGCTGAATGCCCATGGCCTGACTTCTTTGGAAGCTTGGATGGGGGTCCTTTACCTCACTACCTATTCTATAGCCAACGTGGCGATGATCATGAGGGATTTCTCGGGCCTTTTTCCAATGAGTCTGCCTTCGTTGCGGGCCTTGTCGAGAACTATAGAGCCCTAGTTGAAAAAAACAAACATCCAGACTATAAAGCTCGCTTCTATGAGAAATATCTCCCTCGTGTTCTTCAAGGACACCGGCCCACACTGACGCATGGGGACATCCAGCAGAAAAACATCATGGTTGTGGAAAACTGCCAAAACGATCAAGATAGACGATCATTCGACATTGTACTTGTTGACTGGGAGAATGCTGGATGGTTTCCTGACTTCTGGGAAGGCTTTTGTGCATCTTGTCCTCTACATTTCTACTGGGATGAAGACTGGTCCTGGCGAGTCCAGGAGTTTATCCAATTCTGGCCTGCTGAGATGTCCATGATGCACCTGATTGAGAGGGATTTGGGCTGGTGATGTCGCCAGTGACATGCTATAGCGCTCCTTTGACAGCATTCAGGCTTGCTTCAACGAAGATATCTGTGTGGTATCGCTTGGGAGGGCGACTGTGTCGAACTCTGGCGTATAGACTTTGCACCGTCTTCCCCTCTGGGCGTGGGGAGGCGTTCTTCTAGGTGTCGCCCTGGGTGCTGCTTTGAGTATTGCTTTGAAAAAGAAGAGAAGGCTTCTCAACATCCGTGGAGTCTCTTTATCTGGTATGAACCCAGCCTAGGAAAGAGCGGCGTAATAGCCGCAGAGGCAGTTGAATCCGGCCATAGTCCTCAGTCACTCACATTACCCCTGATGCGGAAGGAACGCCTTATCGCAGTGGCTGTTCGAAGAATAGTAAATTGTACCCGGGAAACACTCGAATAATCTTACTGATATTCCATTCAGTGTGATAGGTCCATACTATGCCATATTCCGCGGTGCCCTTCCCAATAAAGTCCAGTGACGTGCGCATAATACGTTCATCTATTTCTGACTCCTTATCTAGATGCAATATCCAGTCTTCTTTAGAGTATTTTTATTTCTGGCAGAAGAACTCCAACGCCCTGGCCTTGATTCTAGCCTTCTTTGCTTAAAATATCCTTAGTATCTCATCTATTGTGGTGTGTGATGACAGTTCTCTGCGGGAGTTTTAACAATTAATTTTGCTGTAAGGCCTCGCTTCCTTTCCATACTTCATTTAGCGTCTCCTTCCTGTGTTCGTTTAAGCCAGGTTCTAGAAATAATGACCAACAACCATGATATGGGCTTTTTCTCTCGTTGAACAGTACTTTAGACTACTTCTCAGGATCAGCTCCCTGAACTATCGGCATGGTACTATCGTGATGTTCCCAAGCCCGACATGCGTTTAAGCGAGCTCAGTCCCCAATTTCATCAAAATGGACTCGGCATTGTCTTCAACACATATATAGATCATTTCTCAAAGCTTATAGAAGAATCAAAAGTAAGAAATAAAAAAAATAAAAACATAAAAAAAGAGAAGATTACATACAACAGAAGGGATTCGCTGGTGGTCACCCACCCAACTACTAACCTCCCGGCGTGTGGCTTAAACGCGGCCAATACCCCTGTGGGTGCCGCTCGCGTGAGCCAAGGGTGAGCGCTGCTTTACCGTCGCGCGACCGGGGTGAGCTAGGGTGAGTACACAATAGTCGGGGTAAGCATGCTCACCCCGCTCATGCTTACTGATGTAATAAGATCAATCCAATGCCGCTGCCTGGAGCACTGCCTTCCTTGGCTGCATGGACACGGACTGGAATGGAATAGGTAGATATATTGAGACAAAAATCTGGAAGTCCCTATAGACTACTCCGTACTCCGTACAGAGTAAGGATAAAGATCCATATATCAGAATCCTGCTATCTACTACCGAGCCCCAATTTCTTCTTTCAGCCTCGCCTTCCTCTGTGGCGCTTAGATTGCTACCAGCCAATTAAGCCTTCCTCATGCTTCCCTTCTGTTAGTTATATACTTAGCAGTTTTATAAATTAAATAAAGGCATTAGCTTTCATAAAAATATGCGTAATACTAGGTCTTGATGGGGCGCGCGAGGCACGCTCTAATACTTCAAACCGAGAAATGATTAGGGGGGTTTTACTGGAATGCATAAATAGACTACAAATACTACCGTAAAAGCCCTCCAATTGTTACAGACCCCTGCTAGTTAACTACTAGTGAGGCGGACTCGCCAGGCAGGAAATGCTGATAAAGGCAGCGCTCGGGCAATCAATGACTCTTATCTAGTAGAATCTCAGATTACAACTATGATGCCCAGAACAGCCACGTGTCACATGACCACATGGGTATATGGAATAGACTTTGGATTTGTATATAGTATATAGATTATAGTATATACAAAAGTATATAATAAGATATATAGAGAATAGAATATATAAGAATACTCTCTCATATACTTAGCTAGTTCTGTTCTTCGTGTTTAATATAACTATCTTTAAGTAATTATATATTTAGAAGCTTGGCTACAGAACGCTTGTCTGCATTTAGTTACAAATAGCTGCGCGGTACTATTCAGTCTTACTTCTCTTCTCTTGTCTATGACCAGGTTATCTCTCAGATAATTATCAGTCGATACCTCCTCGACATAGTTCGACGGTATGTATACCAACGGGGCTAAGCTAACAGGGACAGGGAAGCGATCCTAGGGTTTGACACCCAAGTTACCTTTGCTTTAATAGCTATGTAGTTATCTGTTATAGTTATTTCCTTCTTAAACTTAAAATCAGCTGCTGTAATAATTATATAGCTATTTTTTTTTTATTCATTGTTCTGTCTGTTGAAAGATCCTGAAGATCTAGAAATTACGGATTTACTAAGATATCTATTATCTACTTGGTTATACCCACCGATTGATTTACTTCCATTCACAATCGTGTCCCCGGTATTTTCTGGTCTTTGGGGTGCTCTTCTTGCTAAGTATCGAAAGACTGCCGGGCTTGTCTTGTTTGTCTCGTCGGTTTTCACGGCTGCCGGAATAGCCATGCTCGGTACGCTCTCCGATGATAATCTTCGTCTTGAAACCAACCTTTATGTGTTTGAGGTAATCTTAGGTATGTAATTAGGCCTCATGATGACATCCATCTTTTTTTTCATCGAAGTAGAATACCAGGAATTAGATTTGCGTTAGTATTGTCTTGTTTTATCAGACTCGGTCAAAATGAATCGTATTTTGCTAACCTCTCTCAACTAGCTGCGGTAATGGGAGCAACACTGCTCGCACGCTAGGTGGCTGTGTTGCTGTTGCCATATGCTCTGCCATTCTACACGCTGATCTCAAATCGTACCTCTAGTCTTTTCTTTCACCAGGCCAGATCGAGGCTGTCCTCAGCTCGACGTCCGACGGCTCGATATTGACCGGTTCCGAAGAGGCTAAGGTACAGTTAGCATGTGGCGAAAGCTATGATACCCAGTTCCATGCTTTACTGGCATTTACTGGCATTTGCAGAACTCAATTTGGTGGCCTCGGCTCTCTTGTTGATTGAACGGCGCAGGAAAGGTGGTTGGCGCTCGCCGAGCCAACGGAATACTCAACGGATGACAGTTGCTTCTCATGAAATGACCGCTATCTAGTAAAAGTGTGCACAAGTACCATTAAGGTTGTGAGAATGGATTTTCTATTTTTATTTTCTTTTCCTTTCTTTTCTTGCACTTTAAAACCCTGAAGTACAGTCAAATATCTTCCATTTGCAACATGAAAGCGCGCTATCTAGCCAGATATTGACAACGAACAGGCACCGGAGCGCTATACTCTAGTTAATGAATCACTTGCTGAAGGTATTCTTCAGAGTATACCAGCTTGCGAGTGCGATAAATCGGGCCTGAACCATCACGGCGCCGCGATAGCTCCATGCAAAGCGTCCAGCAAGCCACATCGATCCGAGAGCCACAGACAAGGCCAGCCCACTGACAGCGTAAAGATCCCAATTCTTGACTTTAAAGGCTGACATGCGCATATCAGCCGTCTGCAAGTGCATTGGTCGCAATTCCTTGCCATCTTCGAACCGCAGCTCATTGTCGTACATGAGCTCCTCAATGAGATCGGCGGCATGATACTTCCGGCGAGCAGCGACATGCGCAATGCGCTGTAGACGCACCACATTTCGTCGATACATTCCGTCTTCTGATTTGAGAATCTTTTTCGCTTTCGTATAAAGCTCATCACTTGTAAAACCGAGCTTACTCAAAGACTCAGCAACGCCACCTGCGACGAGACGAGCGGTATTGGCGATTTGGTCGGAAAATATACCCATTGATAGCATTGGCTTTCCATGGTAAAGACCCTCATTGGCACTGGATCCTCCACCATGTGTGAAGTAGAGCTTAGTAGAGTCACTGTCGAGGATAGCCCGCTGAGGTGCAAAAAAGGGGAATATCCAATCTGGATGCTTGTTATCAAGTAAGGCTCCCAAGGTTATTTCATTTGGACCATCCGCGCCTAACGAGAACGAGGTGCTGATGTTTCTCTTATTAGATGAATATGTTTACTCAAATAGGGGCAAATCTTACCTGCGGTCAAGATCTGCTCGGCACGTCTGACCCATAGCCCAAATGACACCATCGATCAATCCTTCCTCCTTCAGACAATTCACGCCCTTCACTATAGTCATGGCATCCCTATGAGGCAGAATAATATGTGTGCCAAGAGCGATATAAAGAACTGATTTGTGCTTGGCTAAGAAGGCACCACACTCGTCGTCTAATTGTGGATAAGAAGGACTGAGGAGAGGGCCCACAGGGGCAGCGGTTGGCGGTAGATCTCGAGGAATTTCTAGACCGAAAAATGAGTTAACAAAGATGAGATAATCTGGTTTACTGGGCTTGTGGGGCGGATAGAAGACGCCAGTGTCGTTTCGCATTTTCTTGCCCCGCTTTTCTGCGCGGATGATAGCTGGAAGGTCCGGTAAGAAGAATATCTCGTTCATGATGCGCAGCCACATCGGGGTATCCTCAGAAGTCATGGTCCCTGGAAGCTGGAAGCCTGGCCGGCCCGGGATATACGGGCATGGTAACTGGAAGGAGGGCATATTGGGACACACAACAGCGATGGGTAACTTATATTCGACATGAATATCGTTAGCGGCTTCGACAAAGAAATCGGCAACGATCATGTCAGGTCGAGTCCCTGGGTCATTCATTATTTTTTTGAGACCATGATAGGTTTGAGGCCAGAATGAGTCAAAGAGATACTTGGATTCCATAGCTTGCCCGATGCCTTTGGAGATATCCCATGCCTGCATGCGCCGATAATGGCCATCAAGTTGTTCGTGGGTTGGACCGGGGCCTAAGTGGTGAACCTTTTTCACAAAATCATACTCTGCAGATTGAACCCAGCTCTCTTGCCCCTCAAGGGTTGCAAATTGAATGCCGTGACCACGCTCCGCGAGCGCCCGGCCAATTTCCAAGACAGGGGCTGTGCGAATCTCCTTTAGCTGTTGAAAAGGTTAACTGCCAAGCTTCGTCTTGTATGCTGCTTACTGGCATGTGTAAAGCCTCCAGTGGTAACTACTAGGAGAATGGTTCTAGATGGATGCACTCGCGAGTCACTCATTCTGGGATCTGAGCTTGTGTTGAGATGTCAGGCTGGAGCTATGAGGAACCTTTCGGAGTTATGACTAACTCTAAAAATAGCCAAGAGAGGAACAATGGAGGACTTAAGAAAACGTGGCCACGATTGCAATAGCGAACATTTGTGAAAGTACCCTCGGAAATCCCGTCTTGCTCGCCCTACAAAGCCTTGGAATAAGTAGGTCTCAAACATTCCAACTAAATCCTGTGGGAATGGCCCCCAAGATTAGGCATTACGGTACCGGAAGGTTTCAACGCGATTTCCGCCGAGTCAATCCGTCATTCGGATGTGGAGCTTAACTAGATTTTGTGGCCCCACTCGTGGTCAGACTCTATTTATTTTCGTTTTATGAATACAGAATCCTCCTCCGCCTCCTTAATAATACAAACTGTGTTCTTACCAGGAAGTTAATGCAACAAACCAGATACAAAGATTGCAATGCCAAATAAGAAAACATATCAATCACTACTTTGTCTCACTACATTGAGTCTACCGAAAGAAATGCTACAGGAAACAAATTTTCTATCTAGCTTTCCGTATAGCTTAAAGTATTTTCGTATTCCCTTCAAGCTGTACATAGTGAAGCTTTTGTTTATCTTCTAGTTGAAAGACAACTCTGTCGGCCAGCTAAGTCGTCAAGTAATTAGCACGGAAGTACGCCTCTTTATATTCAGAACGTAATATATATGTTATAGGACGAACAGAGATTGATTGTCATATCTAAACGTGCCGTACAAACAAGAAAAATATGGCTAAAGAACAGGAAGTCGAGTAAGGGTCAGATGTCAACAAACGGGGCGAGAAGACGGTGTACAGCGGCAGAAGCGAGGTCCTATCGAGCTCCACCTAATGGTTCGTACAAGGCCTATAGAACCCATAACACACGGTGTAATAATAATGATAAAGAGATAAGTAAATAAATGGTAATAATATTTAATAAGGAACTGCGCCTTTCGATGAAACTCTACAGGTGCTGGGACGAAAGGAAATGTATAGCATGGTGTTGCAATTACGCACATGGTATACCGCCACAATTCACCGTAATTAACGCCGTAAATATGGCTGGCTTGTCGAAACAAGACCCCCAACCGGTCTTACCAGATGCCCAAAATGCTTCAAGGACCTCCCGTAACGCCAGAGGCGCATATGTACCACTGTTTAGTCCTTGATTTGTGAGAGATTCACATACAAACCTACGAATTTCTCGACACCCCTCACCCACTGCTTGCACTCCCAGCACCATGAGGGGCCAGACCAGACATCCAGACCCAGCAACGCCGAAGCACGCGAGTACTTTGCGAACAAGCTCGTAAACGAGATCACGCAGTGTGAGGCAGATGCTGCTCAATGAAAAAGACTCTGGCAAGATTTTGCAATCCTGAAGAGAGGATATGCAGTAAAGGGAGACCGTGGCCTGAAACATGTTCACCACGTGCTCGAAGCCTTCATCCAAAGCATCATTGGCCATGACCCACTCCTTGGCAGAAAATCGGTTCAGTCTGCACAGAAGTTCGAAAGTCTCACAGCGGAGGTCCTTCCATTCTGCCAACTCTCGAGATGCTTTATTCCTCAACTGATTAATTTTAAGGACCTCTACCAATAGTGGTGGGGGGCACATTCGGAATGCAAAGCCACTTTCACCGTATTCCAAAATTATAAACTCGATATCCTCAATTGGTAAGGTTCCCACGAGCAGTCCCGATGTAGGAGAGGACGTGTCGCCCATAGTTACCAAGCTTTGTTAAAGTCAGCTTCATGATCATCCCGAGTGGATCCGTACTTACAAAATATAATCAAGAATAACGGGAATCATACCAGGCAAGCTAATTATCGAGCGCACGCCATTGCACCCCATAATGATTCTTCGAGCTCCCTCAAGGTGTAATCTAAAGGTGGACAGAAAGCCCTGTTGAATCTGGAGTATTCAAAAATGGGAGAGGAAATAAGCGCCATGCTGTTGTTTCGTATCTCTATACAAACTTACATCAACATGGAGAAGACACAAAATTCCAGTCAGAAGAAGAGTTTGTTTGTATTCACTGTCCTCTTTGATTTCGTCTTTTAGGGAGCGAATCGCTAGACCCCGGTATTTGAAAAGAGTGACTTGCAGAGCCTTGAACTCTAGGTGATTTGGGGAACGACACATTCTGTGGGTCAGAGCCATGCATACCAAACCCAGCCCGATATGGCTTGGGAAGTTGACCGTTTTTTGAAAGTATCCAAGCGATATGGGATAAATGTTCTTGTTGTAGTTTGACCGCTTGATCAACTTTAATAGAGGGTAAATACATCCATTATCTGTCCATAAATCAGCGGCAAGCCCGACTTAGTTTCGAGCAGTATGATTGCGCACAGTACTCAGTAGCTTCACGTATTGCATGTGCATTGGTTTTCATGCAAAACGTGGACAATGGCATCTCCTGGTAGTGGTTGCCAGACTGACCCCGTTCCAGGTCATCTCTTCGATGCTCAGTTCCTGTGTGTTTACGTTGTCGAGACTTGGTTTTTGACGGTGTAAATAGTTTCACTTTCAAGGGTGACGTTTCCCCATACCCAGGGCACTCAGTTCCCGATCGTGCGCATCGATTACATGCAGGGCGAGTGAAATCACACACTAATTTTAGCCGGCGGCACTCCCAGCAGTGCCTTTTAGAATTGCCTTGCATTTGCAGATATTGATTACTGAACAGTAAAAGCCTTCGGCAGAAATCGGGGCAGTTGAAGTGCGAACATGGAGTCCAGGAATTGTCGGTTCTTGTATTGATTAACTACGGTAGAATTAACTAATCAAATCACGGTTAACCGGCCCATAATAACTTTCCCCTCCCATTATTCGGTTACTGAACAAGCTTCCTGTATCTCACGTCATATAATTTACGCTACTTCTTCAGATCGAGAATATTTGAAACAAATCAGTAATCCACTAATATAAGCAGAAAACGTCCCTGCCCTGGTGAGAGTTGTGTCTTCTTCGCAGTATATTTTAGGCAGTCCAATGGCAACCCTCGACTTTGATGCAGCCGGCCTCCAAACAGCCCCCAAATACCTCTGTTCTCCGCTTCGAAACCCGTTCTGCAAACTCTGGCCCTCATGCTCATCTCGAGTTTCATTTTTGGATGTCATCGAGTCATGAAGTACCCTGGTAGAGACTGACATACACGTATTGCCTCTACTTCTCTTTCCTTCTCTTTCGACATATCAAAATATAGAAGGAATATGTCACGGCCTCGCGCGACAGGCTCCTAGTGATATGAAGGTGTTTGCCAGAGATTGTTTGTCCCAGGATGAGATCCTAAAGCATCTAAGTCAGACTTTCATCAACACTTACGTCCCTCATTCCCACCTTTTGATTGTAATTTTACGTAGCTCAGAATCTTTGCCCCTGGGGCTCCCGTGTTGCGCTATAGGAACTTAATTCAATACTGCGAAAGAAGAGGCTGTTATGTCATTCCAGTTCTTTCGTGACGATTTGCAATCACAGCCTCAATACTTGGCACTCAACTTTCCTAACTAGGATGCGAGGCTAGTAATGGTGCAACTCGGGCCTCCAGCACTGCCTCTTCGCCGCCATTCCGTACCCACATGACAACGTGTTTGATGACGACTCTTACGTGCACCCGCCAATGAGAGATGATGACTCGAATATTGCTATTGCAGGAAATCCGGATGATGCGCGATTTTCAGGATGTTAGGCAGTAACATTAGGTAACGTGACCGGCAAGCGAGTCAGCCACCTGTGTGTCCCATACTAATCCAACATTTATCTAACTCCAATATCTCAGCCGCCGTTGGCTCAATTACAACAAAATATTAGCTGAAGCTATGTATGTCCTTATTTATATATAGCTATATAGTATTATTTGGCTTTACTTCTCTTTTTATATCTGTAAGTAGATTATCTCTCAGACAGTTATCAGTCAATACCTCTTTGATATAGTTTGACAGTACGTATACCAACGGGGCTAAGCTAACTGGGACAGGAAAGTGATCCTAGGGTTTGACAGCAGGCTGCATAAATATCAATCTTTGATAATCTATAAAAAATGTTGAATATGAATACTATCATGAATAATCCAGTCATGAATTATCCTTTACAAAATGAAAAGGTAAAAAAATATTGTATTTTTTTTATTTAATTGTGAAAAGATAACTGGCAGGGGTCCGTAACAAAAGCGCCGATAAGGGCAGCGCTCGGGCAAAACCAAATTGTTATTTACAGAAATAAGATATAAGATACTGAACAAGACTACAGTACTCTTAGAACCGTACTAGACTTTGTAAAAGTATCACGGAGATTTTGAAACTGTGTGTTACGGAGGCTGTAGAACAAAATACTAGATAACTAGACTAATATAGATCTTGATAAGACTCCAAATTTGAGGAAAAATAATAGTTTAATGTATACAAGGAATATATAGAAAAGATAGATAGAGGGATCCTGTATATTGCTTTAATTTGCGAGGGGTCAGAGTATGAGTACACACACACACACACACACACATCCTGTAGCAGGAATTGTTACATACAATCATGGTATCACAAATCATGGCCACGCAGTAACAGCAAGGTCGTCCATCATTGGACTGGCTCGATAGTACACGAACAATTGCCAGCGTAGCCGGTGAAAGCTTCAGATACGCTCACCAGCCTTCCATAACAAAAACAAGCAGCTCAAATTCCCCCACCACCACACTAACCCGCGAACCTGACTCCAGTGCCGATGCCCAATTAGGATATAAACCGCTCCGTAAACGGCGCGGGCGAGGGTATAAGACGCGGCAGCGGCATTAATAGTCTGCGCGGGTACACCTGCATGCGATGCCGAAAGCACGCTTGCGACCAATAGCGTAAAATTCTCCACTGCGTTAGCATGCGCCGCCTCATTGCGCTTCAGCATGTCCAGCTGCGCGCGGGTGATTTTGCCATTACGAACGGCGGCCTCGCCGTATTTGGAGAGGTCTTCGCGCGGCGCTTCTTGGTGGTCAATTCCGTAGAACTGTTTCAACGTGCGACTGGAAAGTAAGCCGTAGGCGAAGAAGAAGTTGAAGCCTAGGAAGGCAGGGCCGTAGTTTGTGATTGGGGTGGTGGGGGGTACGGCGCGGAGGCCGAGGCATGTAAAGAAGGAGCTCATTTTGGAGACGTGGAATAGACGTGGGTGGTAGAGTCGAGAGGCTGGAAAATGAGGGGAAGAATAGGAGGAAGAAAGTGGTTTTTCTGTGTATGTAAGCTGAGGGGAACACTCTCGTTTTTGATGAGGACAGTCTTACGCCGCCACGTTCCATTCTCCTAACAACCTTAGACCTCCACCTTCGCTGACTCTCAAGCGGGTGACCCTTGCCGACCCTCATGGGTCCTTGTTTTGGAATTTTTGCGCTTCACCTGATTCAGCTAAGTAGTTTACTGACTGAATCTTAATATGACCAAAAGGTTTTAAGTTACGATTACCTCAGCCCTAGTCCCAATACGGCAATATATATGCCAAGACATTGCAACGCAGTTCTCCACATCGCCGATCCTACGGTATGACCATTTGACTGTGTTCGAACGGCCCCCCATTTTATCAACATCCAGTTGGATGGAAGGTTATAATTGATGTCACTGCTGGCCATTTTGATCAAATGACAAGTGGATTGATGCATACTTGCCATCTATATAAAGAACATACCTGCCCTCCCTGTCAAGTTCCAAATCTGAAGGAAAAATCAATATTGTATCTTCTAGCCAAGATGACGACTCAATATATTCATGGAGAGGAACCGGAGCATACAGACGGAGGCTACTCCACTGGCCAGCCGATGGCTGCTTTAAAGCCTCTTGCATACCATCAAGCGGCTTATTCCCAAACCTCGAGTGAAAACAACACTTCAGTACAGCAAGATTGCTACAATGACTTCTCTTCTCAATACGCGAAGGAAGTAGCTTGCCCAGAATCGAACATCAATTTCCGCGGTGTGGAGGACTGCAAATGGAACGCCAAACCTGCCAGATTCAAACCGTGCGCCATTCCTCGTCAGTGCAGCCCTTTTATTGCCTGGAATACAGAACTAATGCGTTCATAGAGTTGAACAAGCTTTGGTGGGGAGGACCTAATGCGAATCCCTTTGTGCGCGCGTGGGCACCCCCACTGACTCTACACGGCATCTCGAAAGGGGAGTTTCTCAGATTCATCGATGGACTGAACGAAGCCTGGCTTATCAATCCATCACTAAATTACTTTAGTATGGCAACTGGGCTCACTGGGTTGGCTCTGACCTTTGAGCCACATATAGGCTCGGCCTTCGGGGCTACATCATTAGCAGCAACGGCTGCTGCCGCGGTGGTTACGATGCAACGTACAAAAAGTTACTTGAAAACTTGGAACGAGACACTATTCAATCCCGTCGGCTTACAGGCAAGGGTACTCAAAACAGACAGTCTAATGCATGTTATTGGGTATAAGGGGGGTAACGCATGGGAGCGATATGAACATAATATACAGGGCAGCCAGGGAGTGGAGATAGGGCCAAACAATGATACCAAGGATCGATCACAAGAGAAGGTACAATCTGACATTCACAAAATCCTACAGAGAAAACTAGAGCCGATAGGCTCGTATGTCATGCCCCTCACTTTTGATGCTGGCCCCTCTGTTCAAATGAATGGAGTGATGAAGAAGTGGGGTGCTACGGAGAGTAACCGGATTGAAAAGCTGCAACTTAAGATGATGCAACATGGAGAGAAGAAAAGAGCAGAGAAATTCCAAAAAGAGCACCAGACAGCGGAGAACCTACGAATGCAAATCCAAGAGCTCACCATTCTCGGGGAGAAGGAGAGGGTGATAGCGAACTTAAAGCAAAAGCTTGAACATGTTGAGAAGGATATTGGAAAAAGTTACGACAAAAAGATCAAAAAAACTGGGAAAGAGGCGGAGAGGGTTCGTTGGATAGTTATCACTAGCCTTGAGGACGCATCGGTAGAAAGGCTGGGCTATGTTGAAGAGTAATCATTCTCATGTTCTTGCCAAGATGAACAAATTGGTTGATGAGACAGAGTTGGATATCAATAGCTTGGTAAAGAAAAGGGGAAAAAAAAAAAAAAAAAAAAAAAAAAAAAAAAAAAAAAAAAAAAAAAAGAAAAAAGAAAAAAAAAAAAAGAAAAAGAAAGAATTATAACAGGACACATCGGAGATCCATCGATGACAATAGAAATGTCGTGAGAGTCAGAATATTTTTCTAGAACGTTTTGCTTTGAGCTTTAGCTTCGGCTTCACAAATCACCGGGAGATCTATCTAGTGCGGATACTGTAGGAGGTTCCTAAGACCCGGAGAATTGTATAGATTACTTAAGGGGGGTTCAGTGTCATTTTAGTATCGTCGAAAAAACAACCTTGAGGCGAAGATCGAAGACGTTACCCCACGATAAAAATTAAAAGGGCCTGTGCCTCTCCGTCAGAAGGAATCACACCATAGCATTGAACGTTTCCCAGAAATAATTGTGGCCATTTCCTTTCTTCTTTCCTGGCATTGATATCCATCGGAGAACAAAATAGTAAATCAATAAGTGCTTCATTGCTATCTCGCTCTTAGCCCCAGACTAGTGGAGGTAAGAATGAAGCAGCGCGTATCACGGTCTTGGGGTATTATCAATCTCTGCCGCAGGAAGAATTTCGACAGAAATATTGTTCTCTTATTTGGAGATTAGACAGCTGGATATCCAGACGTGCCCCTAGCAAATTGCGTCTTCCAGTGCTTTCTTGCTTTGTCAAAACCCCAAATCTATATTTATCATCTATCCACAACTCTCTGCACCGATATACCCCAACACAGGTACCGTCAATCTAAACACGTTTGCCGGGTCGAACTTGGCCTTCAGTGCTTTTACCAATTCCACCTTCGACCCATACGTCTTTCTTAGAGCTTCCGCCGACGAGTTTGCCTGAGCAGTAGCATTATACAAAGACACATACGCCCAAGGTAATACATAAGTACGGTCGGCCAGTCTAGTGTCCTCTGCTATCTGAGCAGCCCACTTCTCCGACTCTTCTTGCAGGCTCTTCTGTACAGTGAACCCCAGAAATTCCAGCATATAGTGGGGCTCCCTAACCGCAAAAACAGAAGAAGAATGTCCTTGCGGCTCCGTTGACGGCCCACGAAGCTGATGAATAGACATCATGGTGCCCGGGTCGGATGGCATACAGGCGAGACTTTGTCCGATAGTCTTGGCAATGGCTGGAGACACACGGCTGACGCTATGTGTGTAGGCAGAACCGGAGGCCGCCAGTGGGACAAGGGGCTCATTGCCACTAAACCATTCCGGGATGTTGGTGGAGGCGACGGTATTTACCAGGAGAGGGCCAAGATTGGCGGTTTTCTTGCTCCAGCGTTGGCCTTCTATGATGTCGGCACCGCTCCAGGTGAAGATGGCGGCAAAGCAACGTCCGGTATGAGCATTGAAGGCCATTTGCTGGACTGTGAGTTGCGGTGGTAGCCCTTCAGCATCGAGGAGCCTTTCATAGGCGGTGTTAAAGTCGATGCAAGTTTTAATGATGTTGGAAGATTCGAAAATAATAGCCCCGGCCAGAAGCTAGAAGAAAGTCCAGGGTCAGACTCATTATAGTTAGGTATACTATACGGTGATGCTTACGCTAGTGAGCGGGTAAACCTTAACTGTGAGGTCAATAATAATACCGTAAAGACCACCAGCGCCGCGGATACCCTGTAGAAGAGATTCGTCGGCTTTGACAATATCCCCTTCGGCGTTTACAATAGTTGCACCGAGAATCTGGTCGACTCCCAGGCCCCAGTGCGAGGAGAAGGGTCCATACCCGCCGTAAGTGGCCCAGCCAACGTAGCCAACGGACGGGATTGCTCCTGTCGGGGTGCCTAGGCCCTCTGCCCAGAGCTTTTTCCCGAGCTCAACTTGGAGGGTTCCACCTTGGACGATGGCAGATTTGCGATCTGGAGCGACAGTGACGGCAGTCAGGGCACGCAGGTCGATAAGCGGGCATCTTCAACGAGTGTACTTCCTTCCAAATTGTGGCCGCCCACGCGGATAGTGAAGGGTAGGGAGTTGGATCTGGCATATTTAACAAGAGCAGTGACGTCTGATGGGGACTACGGCTGGACGATAGCCAGGGGGTTATCGCGACGCGCGCTATTAAACACCTTGCGAGCAGTGGAGTACTCAGGCGAAGACTGGGGCGTATATTTGATCGCGGGATAGCCTTGAAGAAAGGCCTCTAGGGCGGCTAGCTGAGTTGAATAAGTCATAATAGGTAGAGTTGGGACGTAAGATGGTGAACCAGATCTTAGGTGCCTGATGCTGACGGGAGTCGGCCATTATATACAGGGTAAAATCTACTTAATGTCTTGGCGTGAATATTACTGTAAAAGGTTTGGGGCTTGAATGTTTCAACTCTTTACCGGAATAAGTAATTCATTAGCCAAGAACAGGACACACCAATGAAGTTTAACAAACATACAAACCCTTGGCCTACATGTGAGGCTGTGTGGTGGAAAGTATAACCACGTAGCCAAGTTGATAGGGGCAATAGACCCACGATGTATGAGAAGAACAATAGTAATGCCGTAGTAAATTTCTGTCATTCGTTAATCCATAATTAGTTTTTTCGACTGGGGGATGCTGATTCTGATTTAAAGATCCCCCTGGCCCCATTTGGGTAGTACATATTCTTGGCCTGAATAGGAAGGAATCACCACGTTTAGGAGTTACACAGGATAGAAGAATATGTACCATGGATAGTTGAGAATCTGGTTACCATTGATATAGCGGGGGAGCACTCATGGTTTACGTGGTGACCTTTCTGTCTATTTTTAATTTGTTTTAATGTGTCTAGTTCCCTCTTACCGACCGTGTGTGCTGATACAATTCTGATTTCTGGCCACTGAGTTGAATATATGGCTCATCTGGTCGTTTGTTCAATTAGCGATCATAGTCTTGGCTATGCCTGGGCATCAGCCAAGGAATTCGGCACAGTCAATTCCCTTACATTCGGCCTCACAGTCTCAAAAGGGACAAGTGTTATTAGAAGGTGCATCTCAATTCTTGTGCCCAGCTTAGCACGGGAGCAAAGGCAGTCCCAATATTGCAAACCCCGGATCAAAAAAACGGTGGAAGACATGTACGTCCCTCAAAGTACAAACGTGGTATGATTCGTAGATGCTTTTGTATGTGTTCTAAGCTGAATCAAGTTGTTACAAAAGCCGATGCGGGTCTTTCACAGTTGCTAACGATGCCAACCTCGAGGCCGAGCTTGGTGCCGAGTACGAAGCCAAGGTCAAGTACGAAGGCTCCGCATAGTGGGAAAGCATGCCTACTACATGGTCACCACCATAAGAGCCAAAATCTTCTGCGGGTATTACATAAGCTAAATGCAGTGGTTACAAACGTCCCGGAGGGTGCCCTAACTATGCAGCCAGCAAGTCACGAGATAAGTCACCAGACTGCGGTATGCATGGAGGCCCAGAAAAGACTGGCGTTGTCTGTACTTGTACGAATGGCGTCACAAAAAAGACTTCCTACCACCGCGATTTGCCCATTGACGATACCCCGCCCAACTGGACCATGACGCCCTCTGATATTACAAACGGAGCACTCGTCCGCTACGTCGTCGATTGTGTTAACGTTCGACGTTTACTCAGCACGATAACAGAAATATATAGGCCTCTGCTCCTGCCCTTGTAACCGTCACAGCCTGTTATCTCTCTCAATTTTATAACGGTCTTCCCAACACTCGTAGAGTGGTTAACGGCCAGGATAGGGTAGGTTAATAGGAAAGTCTATACCCTCCGTCAGGTTAACGGTTAGGTATAAAACATGATATATATACCTAATCTAGGTTAACCGCGGTTGACCGTTATACCTGACGGTTAATAGATTTTTATACCTTAACCTACCCATCAGGTTACGGTTAAGGTTACGTTAAGGTATAACGGTTAGGTATAACCACTCTATATCTGTTCAGTGCCTGGCTTGCTAAGATTATCAACTACTTAAGTATAATTTACTTATAATCTAAGCTATATTACTAGTGAGCTTCTGTAGTAGAGTAAAATCTTTAACATGATTACTAAGACAGTTCTTATCCATGTTATTACCTGGACGGCCTATGCCAATGACACCTTCGCGTAGCAGGAGCTTTATATCTTCAATTACGAGCTCATACACACAATTCCTTGATGAGAATAAGGCTACGCGTTTCCATGTCACCACGAGAATCCCAAATGGAGCGAATAGAATGCAACATCAAAGCCAAGAAAGACATGAAACAAAAGTAAACCAAAAAGCAAATAAAAACATACAACAGAAGGGATTCGCTGGTGGTCACCCACCCAACTACTAACCTCCCGGCGTGTGGCTTAAGTACGGCTGAGCGGACGGGAAGCCCTGTTTTCCACACCCTGTGGTCGTATGTGCAAGTTATTTCTTTCCAGCAAATTATATGGTGCACAACTTCTCGCTTAATAGCGAAAAAGGAATGGTTCATCCCAATGCCTTTGTGGGGCGCCAGGACCTTAGACCTTAGGGACTTGGTACCACGTGATTGATATAGACTTCTCCGGAAGAGACTCACATTACGTCAGCCACTATAGGATTTCGGATCATCAACGGCTTGTTGGTTTGATTTTTGTATGTTGTGTCTGTGGAGTCAGTTTGAGTACTGCTATATATGCAGTACCTGTGCAGGCGTGCCTTGAATAGTAGTATGGGCGTACTAGTGATACTACTGCTAGTTGCAGTTGGCTTAGGGGATTCAGCCGGTCGAGCCCAGGCAATGTTCAGTGGGAGGGTAGGGTAGGATTATATATATAACGGGTGCAGCAGGATGCATCTGCTGCTGCTGCTGATGACAACAGTAATGATACTGTGATAATAGCACAAAAAAACGAGATGATATAAGATAAGGCTCTATTCACTCACAGAATGATTCCAGATAGTACTAGGTGTGGATGTATTCACTCTGCACAATCTAATAGATAACCAAGTACAGTACGAACTCCCTCACGTGCTATATTGATCACATAGCTGGAACATTAAAGTAAAGTCACATTCCAATCTGGTATCTGCTAATCTGTCTGTATATACGTATATACTGGTATCTATTTTACTCAGAAGGCTTAATATCATACTCCACGTCCGTCCGAATAATATACTTCGCTCCCTTCCGTACCCCGGTTCCCTCATGCAACAGCGCCCCATTCGCCTCTCCATGTGGGAAAATGGCAACAGCACCCATGACGGGACGCACGGGGTATGCATTCAGCGTGCCTTCCCTGGCAGCCGGCATAAAGAACGTCGTCTCACCGCCCTCGAACTCATCATTCAGGTAAAGTAAGAAGGTATACATGGAGCTCTGTTTGTTCCCCTCAGGCGAGGCATCATACACGTACGTATCATCGGGAAGGATACCTGACGGCGGCCAGGCGCCGTCAATGTGGCATCGGTATTCCGCACCAGGAACGTATCGGTATACCCGGAAACGACGGTTGATGCCTCGTACAAGACGGCCGTTGATCGATTGGGGCACGTACTTGGATATACGAGCCCAGAGCATGTCGTGGAATGTGGTGTCGATCACCCAGTAGAAGTTGTGGGCGAGGATGCTCATGTCGCCGTCTTCACGGAGGGGGACGTCGGGCAGGAAGTTGACGGATTCACCGGCAGCGATGATGGCCTTGCATTCGGATGGCGTGAGGACGTTCAAGGCCAGTCCGAGGCCCGGGACCGCGGGGTGGGGGTGGTATGTTATCGATGGGCTAACGGGGTCCAGCGGGATGGCGTTGGGAAGGGTAGTGTAGAGGATAGCAGGATGGTGGTTCGGAGGTTTGCGGAGGGGGCCAGGAGTCGTCTCGATAATGCGGAGAGCGGCGGGGTCTTTTGGGGCTTCGTTCAGGATCGATTTATCGAGGACGGAGGCATATACTGGAAGGGGTGTGGTATTGGGACGGAGGTCCCAGATGGACTGGAAGGCGATAGGATCCGTGGAGTCGACTGCATTCGATCTGAGGTCGATGGGAGTGCTGACACGTAGGATGGCATCAAGAACGCCGAGCAGTTCCAGGTCCTGAGGGGTGCGCTCGAGGGAGGCCTTCGCGAGGGCTTCGGGTTGGGTGGAGAGGCCGCTGACGACGTCGAGATCTCGTACCCAGCGACACAAGGCTCCGATCTTGGGTTGTTCACCCCGGATTCTCATCTCGGCAAGCAGGATCTTTGCTTCCAGGTATCGTTTGTCGGCCAGGGCACCGGTAATTCGTGCGGTCAGGTTCGCGCCCTCTACCGAACGATTAATCGCCACTATTAATTAGAGACAGTGCAATAGCAGCATACCGGCATTGTTCACGCCCGTCGTACAGGCCTGGCGGAACTCGTAGACCGCCACCCGGAGGTCCTTGCATGCTTTCGACTTGGTCAGACTGGGATACTGAGTCAAGGTTGTGAGCGTCTCAATGGTGATTTCGAGGTCCTCGTCGGGGACGACGGTGCTGAGGTTTTTCGGCTCTCGACTGGCGCCATCGGGAGGGGGTGTAAGGATCGTGGATGCAGCCTTTGGGATCTTTTGCGGGAGATCGGCTTGGGCGTTGCGCTTGCGCTTGGCAGCTTTCGACTTGGCCATCGTTATCGGTGATGCTGATGGCCAGTTGGGGCGACAATGGCTACTGATAACTGACGGATAACCGGTGGGGATGGGGATTTCCCACAACCATTTTTGCGGCAGTCGAGAACCGATTATTAAGCCTGACCGACCCGCCGTGGATTCTGGCACTGGCTCTACTAGGGAAATGACATGCAGGAAGTGGGCAATCCAGCAAGAATTACATTGTTACGTCCAGGGATTTTGAAGACAGCCAGAGGGGATAGGCTACTGTGAAGAACAAGGGGCAGCACTGCTCTACAGTCACAAGTGCAATGGCTTCAGAACTGGGGTTGATTCGGAAGTGCTGGCTGGCGAACAGGTCCGGACGACAACCTTCTATCCCAATATCTATTCCCGAGATAGAGAAAGCACCGTGCTCTGCTGCTCCGTCCGGAGATATAAGTAGTCCCCGGAAACGGTCGCAGCAGCCAGTCCGCCGGATAGAACACGCAAATCTCTGGGGGGTGCCGAATTGAAGTAGGTAGAGGAAATTGAATTTTTCGTTTTTCATTCATCAGAATACATCATGTTTTATAGATATATCCCGACTGTAGGCAAGATCCCATATTGTTCGCGTCTTCCGGAACTCCCGCGTTATCACTGCCATTTGCCAGATATGAACTAAACCTCACAAAAATCCCCCGATTTAAGCGGACTTGGCCTTGACGGCCTCACGACCCTTGCCAACACGCTCAAGGATGGCCTCACGGTCCTTGTCGAGGTGGAGCTTCTTGATGACGACGTTGGAGGGGTGGAGGGGGATGGGGACGCTCTGGCCGTTGCTCTTGTCGCGGCTGATGCGCTCGACGTGGATGGCCCACTTCAGGCGGTAGACGCTGGTGACCTTGCCCTCACGGCCCTTGTTGCTGCCACGGACGACCATGACCTTGTTCTCAGTTTAGCGAGTGGGTTAGATGTCGGGTTAGAATCAGCCTTGGCTCACCTCGTCGTCCTTGCGGATGGGCATGGAGCGGACCTATCAAACGACTGCGTTAGAACCATTTCTCCCAGTATTGTTTCGTTGTGCCTGATATCTCGGATTGGATGTTTGTCGATTGGATCTGGTTCTTGCATCTTCCTCCCAAATCCCAATCTCGCTGGCCTGATCCAGCCTGTCCCCGACCGGAAAGAAAGAAACCATGCCAAATCCATCTCCAAAAACACACACATCCCAGGGGCTGCAAAAACAAGAATCACATCGGTCTGATCGAACGTACATTGTACTTGGCGCGGAGCTCGCTCGAGAGAGGAGCAGAGAGGATAACGCGGCGCTCGCTGGAGGGGGCGTTGAAGTGGGCGGCGCGCGACTTGCGGCGAGAAGAGGCGAGACCTGAAATCATCACGAAGTCAAATTAGTATGGATTGGATTGGCGACTTCGAGAAAAATCGACAGAACAGGACGACGCACTGGAGTTCCTGACAGCCATTGTGAATATGCCACCTAAAGGTCGTGGGAGAACTCGGACGGGTGTCGTGAGGGTCGTCGGAAAGGTCGTCAGGAAGAGTCTTACTGCTTTGCTGGATCTGTTTCGTTTGTGGCCGAAAATTCGGGCTGTGCGTCACATGACCCCCCGCTTCGCCTAGCGGCCAGGTCCGTCGTTGTGATTGGCTGTCGTGGGTTTCCGCCCGCAGCCATTCTCGATGCTGACTGGAGCCCGGCTCGATGCTCCTTTTAATTCCTAAATGATTTGAGGGTATTGTAGGTTACTTAACTTACTGATACTGTAGAACTAAGAATAGCCATATCTGTACCGGCACTGGACATGAATTATGATATCTTGAATTTCTAGTGGGGTATTATCGCTATTGATGATTATATGACCCCCCGAAAACATTGTATTTCCTACTATATGCTTCTGTATCCTCTCTTTACACTTATGCAGGGGCGTTTAGAGGTGCTCCCCGCGGAAGAGAACTGGCTATTACTCCCTACCCGATTAGGACAGGTAATAGGGCTGCCCCGGAGTTTGTATACCTACCACAAGGTTCTTTTCCCCAAATCAATGTTCTTTAATGGGGAACTTTCTCTGGGATGTATCTATGAAAATGTAGTGGTAACTTGGGTTTGTTTTTCAGCTAAAAATGTGGAATTAGTAATAATTTATGGTCGACATCCTGATCTTGAGGCACCTGACCGTGGAACTATATATAATGGGTCCTACTATACAAACTGCCCCCAATCACTCACGTCTGAAATCACTGGCACTTTCAGTTCATGCCAATTCATCAATTTCATCACTATTGTCAATAAAAAGGTATGCCCTAGCAATATTAGCAGTAGTATATTAGCAACTTACCTACTATTCATTCTCTTTTTAAAGCATTCACAGTCGGCTTCGTATATACGAGTACGAAAGCGGTTAGTGGCTATTGTTATCGGTGCCTTGACTGCCGCGTCTTATCAACCACAACATTTTCTACATGTCCAGAATCATCGTCGCCACTAAGCAAGTACATTAGCACGTTGAACTGGTTAAGAAACAACATTATTATTACTACTAGCACTATTATCATATACCATAAGAACAAGCTATACGCTAAAGCAAACCCGAAACTCGACGAGAATTCCGATCGCTCAAACACAACCACCAATCTACTTCGCCGTAAACCTACTCCTCGCCCTCAACGCCGCCCCGAAGCGATACAGCGCAAACATCCCCGCAATACAACCCACCGTCAACCCCGCCAGCAGACTAATCCCAGGCCCGACCCCCAGATTCACATACAGGGGACGCGCAAACAGCACCGCACCACAAGCCAGCGCACTCCGCATGAGATCATTCCCTGCAAACAGGCTCGCCGCGTACTGTGGGTACGTCATGGGGATGTAGATGAAGATGCACTGGATGACCACGTAGATGCCAATAGTATAGATCAAGATTCCAATTACTGAGACAATCCAGTGCACTGAGGTGCGGGAGGTCCATCCGAAGAGGAAGAGCCCGATCGGAGGCAGGAAACAGGCGAAGAGGGCGGGGATGAGGCGTCGCTCGGGGGACTGCAGACCCCGGGTTCGGATCTCGGGCTCGAAGACTTTATTCAGGTAGATAAAGTAGGCGGGGACGGCTATGGCGAGGGCCACTGCAATGCTGAGGAAGACGAGACCCATTTGGCCGAGGTTGAAGTGGTACATGTCGATGTAGACGATGGGAAAGACTTCAAAGAACGAGTAGTAGATGCCATAGATGAGACTGGTGTAGATGTTGACGAAGAGAATGGCAGGGTCGAGGACCACAATCTGGAGGGGCCGGTAGAGTGCTTCCATGGCCACTGCGGTGAAGGTGAGCTTCTTCTGGTTGATTTCTGACTGGGAGAGGAGTTTGTCGTTGCCGGTCAGTCGACGGAGGCGTCGTGCGCGTTGGAGGAGGATGGAGTCCGGGAAGGTTTCGGGGAGGAAGAAGAACATGACAACCAGGATAGGGGAAGACATCCAGACTGTCTCCCACAGTGACCAGCGCCAGCCCTCGACGGGGACACTGAAGCCCGAGATGACGGGTCCCAGGGCTGGACCCAGAGTGGCAAAGGCAGCCCATGCGGAGAGACCGTAAGGTAGCTTCAGGAGACTGAATACATCGCCGATGCTGGCACCGCCTGTTGCGAGGCATGGACTGCCGAAGAAGCCCTGGAGAAACCGGAGGACGAGGAGACCTCCGAATGTGTTGACGACTGCAGCAGCAATGCTGAACAGGATGAAGAGAAGAAAGGTGATGATGTATGGCGGGTTACGTCCGACGCTGGGGATCTCGCTAAGTGGGGAGAAGATCATGGGGCCGATGCCGTACCCAAGGACATACAAAGCCAGGCCCAACGATGCGGCTGTCGAGGAGACCCCGAAGCGTTCTTGAATCTGAGGTGCGCTGGGAGTGTAGATGGACGAGCCCATATAGACGACTAAGGTGTAGAGATAGATCTGGGAGACAACGGCTAACTTCTTGCTGATAGACCAGTTTTGGGGATTCTCTGGATCGCGCGTAGTATACCAGTCGACTAGGATTGTACCATCAGCTGTTTTGGTGGGTGCGATGGGTCGGCTAGGAGCCTTCTGCAGTGTCTCTGTCTGTGTGGCAGCCGTATAGATACGTGCCAGGTCCGATTGGGTCTGGACCTTTTCCACGTCCGCCATCGAAGGCACGCGGGACAATTCGGATGCGCCCAATGTTTCTCCATCTCGAGTTTCGGATCGAGAGACATTGTCTGTCGCATCTTCGCGTTGTTCACCCTCCGGGTCGGATTCGGGCTTCGGGGTCTGCTCGCCATCTGCTTCATGAGCGAATAGTGTCGGGGAGGCGGCTTTGTCGGCGTAGCAATGAGGGCATTGGAAATCCGGACGTTCCTCAGGGTGCAGTAGAACTTTATTCCTGGTGATCCAGCGCAGCAGCTGGCCGGCTGTGCTATTGCGAATGAGGCCTTCCATTGGTCAGAAGACTGTACTTTTCTTTTCCTACTTAGTAAATGGAGAAATTGAGGAGCAAGATTGAATTGAGACTGCGTATTTCATGAGCGCCATCTTCGCAGATTTATACTGGTCACGACGCTATACTAGTAAATCTATTCGAATTATTCAGCGCACAGACAAAGGCACGATTCTGCTTCCATGGACGAACGAAGCGGCCATTACTCAGCAACCAGCTGTCGTGCTGCATTGGTGGTGGTTGCGATAAGATTTCGATGATTACTGATCAGCAACGAAGCCACGCCATCATCGACGACTCCAGATACGAGAAGATGCAACATGAGCTGTGCTCGTGTTTTCCATCGCATTCGGTTGGCTGGCTTGGTAAGCGTTCCATAGAGTTTTAGCAGTCCATGGAAAATCACGTCAGCCCTAGTAGCGTGGAAAGAATACACTGGCAATCTGACTCAATGCCTGACAATCAGATGTCGACATTGAACCAAGCGCAGAAAATGATCTGTGCAGATCTCGGGCATTATTAATGACCTGTCAGATTAGATATCGCAAGAACACCACGAAGCAAAAGCTTAGGATTTTGCCATGTCAATACGCACACTGCGGGTGGGGAGCCTCCCATCTCCACTGGACTACTCAGAGTACTTAGCTCTCCGAAATAATCCCCACACTGCGCATGGGGACTTTGAGGCTCATCTCCCAGTATCTACTGAGCAAGATTGACTTGGCTGATTGCATCGTGCAGACCAACGTGTCGCGGCCACACAGGTCAGACAATCACCGCTTATCAGCCTCATCTCTTTCTATTCCAGAGCAATTCCGATATCGAAGACCAGAGCTGAATTTCGGATCCATTGCCCTCTGTCAAGCATTTTACGCAATCTCTTCTATCGAAAGTTGCATGATGAACGGGACAGTTTCTGTAGAATAGTGAATTGGATATGGTCAACGTGGCTAACAACCCTTTTTAACGGTTGCTATGGCTGATAAGTGGCCGGATGGATGTCTATAACCATGACAGAAAATTTCTATGAAACTGAAGTCGGACCGAAGAATTCACTGTCATTATCAATCTAAGATCACTTCCACTTTCTCGGACACAATCGGCGGACCATTCATCCGTATCTGCCTGAGGCACGATGATTCATTCCGATGCCCGCCAATCAGAAGCGTGGAATGTAGCCGAACCGCCGATCCACTCGGGGTGATTCTGCCCGCGGATTGGGTTGAGCTTCATCTTGACTGGTATAAGCCCGAGTTGAGTGAGCATTGCTCACTTAAACACCATCATCAATAGGTCCTCTGTATCGGAGACATTTCTGCACTCTAGTTACCATGCGGGACGTACATACTATGGCCTTGGGTATTTATTACCTTGCGATCACTGCCCGCCATCATGTTTGGCTCAAGCAATTCAATTCCATCCTCTGCCTCGCTGCAACCTCGCTTTCAAGCACTCGTGCAGCACTATGGCAACTTTGCGTCAGTATTTCAGTCTCCGAGACTCCGTGAGAGCGGACGTTGCCATAGTCCACTCCTACTCCGACCGCTCCTCGGGCACATCGACCCCTGAAGAAAAGGCGTCTGCCCTTATACCCGGGATACAAATCTCCCGTCCAGACGAGCAAGATGGCTCTGTTACCTTTCTAGTCGGCTGGAAGGATTGCGATGCTCACAACCCTCAAAACTGGAGTCGCCCAAAGAAATGGTTTTGCACGGTAGCAACCTGTCTCATCGCCCTGGCCATCACCATCCCCGGTACCATAGACGCCCCAGTCTCCGATGCCTTTAACGAACACTATGGCGTGGGCGCGATTGCAGGGTCCATGACTACCGGTAAGTCGACCGTCTGGAATTTCAATGATCGTCAATTGATTTTAATCCCCTTGGCAGGTATGTATCTTATTGGGGTGGGCTTTGGCTCGCTGTTTGTCGGTCCTATCTCGGAAACATTTGGCCGCAATCTTGTCTACTTCACCAATTTGGCCGTGTTTATGCTGTTCGTCATGGCAAAAGCATTGGCTCCTAATTATGGAGCTGCCATTGTTTTCCGCTTCCTAATCGGCTTCTTTGGTGCCGCCCCCATGACCGTTGCGGGTGGCACGGTGGGTGATCTTTGGAGCCCTCTCGAGGCCACCTTTAGCCTACCATTCGTCACTTTGGCATCGTATTCCGGTCCTATTCTTGGTCCCATAATTGGTGCTTATATTCCCAAGTCAGCCTTCAACTGGGTCGACTGGATCTCCCTCATCATCGCCGGGACAGTCCTCATCTTTGTGGCCTTGTTCCAGCCAGAAACGTACGGCCCGTTGTTGCTGCAATGGAAAGCCAAGCACCTACGAGACCAGACCGGAGACCCTCGATATCAGGTTGATGAGTATGCATCTGCCAGTTCTCTGGGTCGCCGCCTTCTCGTTAATGTCTACCGTCCGTTTCAGATGACCTACACTGAGCCGATCATCTTGGTTTTCTCCTTCTACCTGGTCCTCTTGTACATTGTATTGTTCACCTTCCTGAACGGGTTCCCTTTCATATTCACCGATACATACGGGATCTCGGCACCCCTGACTTATCTCATTTTCGTGGCCATGCTTGCCGGAGACGCCGTTGCACTGGTGCTCATACCGATCCTCTATCGCTGGACGAAACAGGCAGCGGCTAAGGCAGCGGCCGAAGGAAGAGCCCTACAGGCAGAGGTATCACTCTACTGGGCAATGGTTGGGGGTTCAATATTGATGCCAATCTCCTTGTTCTGGATGGGATGGACCTGCTATGTAAGTTTTCCCTGACCCGTTTTGCGAAACCCAACATGACTGACAGTATGTCACAGCCCGGAGTCAGCATCTGGTCACCAATCCTCAGCACTTTCGTTTTCGGCTACTCTCTCGTCACCATCTTCACGGCGACCTACCTCTACATCTGTTTCGTGTACACGATCTATGCCGGTTCGGCTCTCGCATTCGTTTCGTTCAGCCGCTACGTTATTTCGGGCGCATTACTGCCAGCTTCCGTGCCAATGTACCAACACATGACTCCCCACTGGGTTCTCACCATGGTGGGTATCTTAACCACCATCATGGCCCCGGTGCCATTTTTGCTCTATCGCTATGGCCACCGGATTCGGGCCATGAGCAAGCACGTTCAGAATAAGGCTTGATGTACTGGCGTGATGCCGTTATGCACAGGCTGTTTCCAGGACGAGGTGCTGATAGACATAAAGTATATGGTATAATGTATAGATCCTACCTCATCAAATAACCCTATTCTTTTTTGGATCTGGAACTTGACTAGAGCAGATCTGTGGCCTGTACTAGATATGGAAGTTATGGGATTGTGTGTAATGATAATGACGAATGATAGACGTGTTTTCTTCCTTTTGAGAGCCCAGCATTACCGATGTAGGACTGCACAGTGACTGTTTTGAAGCCATGGACTTCAAGAACCTCCCTTATCGAGCTGACTGAATGTGTCTCATCTTGCAGATAAATGCCTGATATTTCAGGCGTTAGCGTCATCCACTAGCGCCTGGGCACGCCGCACTCCTTCGCGCTTTCTCACTTTCTCAAACATTTGATAAATCTCACTGACTTCCCTAATGTCTTCCATTTGCTTGCTCCTTTACCCTACATGATTGCTGGCTTTCTTGCGCGGTGAAAAGCAACGCCTATTGGAGCGCGTTGTAGTCGGCCAATGGCCTCGACTGACCGCAGTACAGCTGCGGAGTCGAGCGACACCAGGGACGATTCCCCGCAGGACGACACCTATGCCGCTCCCTACGGTCGCTCCTGCTTAGACTGCTCACAGGCCAAGTGCAAGTGCATCTACTCCAAAGCCAACGGGAAATGTCAGAGGTGCGTATGTCGTCTACATGTCTTAGCTCCAATCGTAACATAATTATAGGTGCCAACGCTTGGACAAGGAATGCCGTCAGCCCGCTACTACCCGCCGCTCGACCACACGAAGATCAGCCGTCTCTAAGAGCACATCGAAGACAAACCGGCTGGAGGATAAGATAGAGAACCTGGTTGCGCTGCTCCGGGCAGGCATACATCCTGCAAATGCTTCTACAAGTTTACTCAGAGAGCTGGCGCAATTACCCGAGAACCAGAAGTCCACCGGCATCAATGCTGTGTCGCCACCAGGCCATTCTGACATCTCTATGAATAGCTCAGGACCTAGCTCCGTTTACACACGCCTCACGAATGGCACAGAGTCGACACCAGAAGCTAGCCTGTCGGACGGCGGAGGAGGCTCGTTATCGACAGGCGTCTCAGCCGAGCATGAAATGGAGCCAACAGGCGTTCAGGCAGAGGAATATTTTACTGTGTTTCTCACTCAAATGCTACCGTACTTTCCGTGCATATACGTTCCACCAGGCACTACTGCGCAGAAGCTCCGTCGTGATAAACCTTTTACATGGGTTTGTATCATGGCTATCGCGTCCAAAAGCAGCGCACAACGTCGCATTCTCTTTGATCGAATCAAACAAACGGTTGCGCAAAGATTAGTGCATGAATACACCTGTCGCGAACTTGATATGCTTCAAGGGATTCTCCTATATCTTGGGTGGTATGTATTTAGCCATAACGGATACTGCCTATCGGCTGACATGGGTACCAAGGTCCAATCAGCAAGTCTACAACAAAGCCAACATATACGTATTTGCACAGTTAGCAATGGGAATCGTCTACGAAATGGGTCTATTCAACCCAGAAGCGAAGGGGAAGCATATGTTGCTTTGTGTTCATCCTGAGCCGCACGAGAACCGTACGGCACCCCCGCGCCAGGTTATGGAGGAGCGCAGAGCTGTTCTGGGGTGCTTTCTATTGACATCCACGTAAGAACTCCCCGCAACCCTGTCTCGATGTCACAACTGATGCTCTAACTTTCTCCAGAATCGCAACCTTTCTGCAGCAGAGTGACTCTTTGCGGTGGACACCTCATTTGGAAGACTGTCTTCGCCTCCTTGAAGAGCAGCAAGAGTGTGCCAATGACGGAATTCTTGTGCAGCAAGTTCGACTTCAATTAGTCACGGACAGGCTCAGTTTGGGTAGTAGGTATGGAGGTTCAGCGAGCGTTGAGTCGATGCGACCGTCGCCTTCCGTTTATCTCCGCCCAATGCAGACGCAGCTGCAGTCACGCCTTCAGGAAATCATGAGCAGACATGGTTCTCACTCTAAGGGATATAGTCAGTGTCCAAGGTTCCACAGACCATCTACGATGCCTGTTACTCATCTGCTCTAGAAATTGTCCTCTTGCATCATTACAACACCTCGCTGAGTCTCTATGAATCTGCGCTCCCAAAGGGTGCCATTTCATCAACTGTTAATGTGACGTACGAGCACCTTGACTACCTGTATGGTTGCCTCGACGCCACAAAGTCGTGGTTTGATGTATTCCTGAGCATACCGCCCGGGGAATACATTGGATTTACCTTCGCCGTGTTCGCCCAAATGGTCCAGAATCTGGCCACTCTCTTCCAGCTCTCCACTCTGGAGAGTTCACTTTGGGATACGACTAATGTTCGACGAACGGCCGATATCTTACAGATTTTGGACACGATCGTCAGCAATATGAGCCTAGTTGCGACCATTAATGGCCTGGATGGAGATCCTGGAGCAGATATCTTCTCTACAATAGCTCAGACATATCACGCCGTCCGCGTGGGATGGGAAACCAGGCTCTTTACTAACCCCATAAGTTCATCTGTGGTGGATTCAGTCCCACAACTTAATCACACTCTTCCCGATATCCTCACTACCCCGGCTGATCCTTTACCACTGATTGGGGATAATGATTGGTTGACAGATGCGCTGAACACCATGAACCGCAATGAGAATGGATGATCGGACTGGTGCTTAAGTCAAGCCGAGATCCTACAGCAGGATTACTGGTCGAATGTGGGGATAGTGAAGTAATCTACACCAAGGTTCTGACACTGTCTACGGCGACGCACGCTTGCCAAAATTTTCTGAAGTGGTCACCACCAGCAAGCCGCAACGCGCCAAGGTCGAAGATTGTACGATTCCTTAATTTCCTGACGATTGCACAGTCATATTGTATGTAATTTCTACCTTTATCTCAGATGTACACATTGTACGGGGTAGCACTAAGGACAACCCAGATGCACTCGCTAAGCAACCAAAGCCAGCCTAACCAGCCATTGCCAACACCGCATAGTTTCTGATATCATTCAATTCCCCTCGCAATCGTGCCTCTAAGGCGAGACAGACCGACATTGAATTGTCATTTGCGAGGTCATCGTGGCGACAGTAACGGCAAGCGAATATTTGCACCAGCGCTTGTACTTTGTTCAATCCAGTCATTACTACCTGGATCACCATCCGTTTAGAATCACTCTTGCTCAGTTCGAACTCTCCGATCTTGATTGGAGGGAAATCCACGAATGTGCAACTTGAATGAGAACTAAAGACTTTGCAGTCGCTGATAATTCCAGCATACCAAGTGAGGATCTTAGTTATTGCTTCGGCGATCGACGGGGCGAAAAGAGATGCGACGCGGCAATGGCACTCTAGCACCGCAGAAAAGTTGCTCATAGCGTCTTCATTGAGTCGTAGGACGGTATCAAGGCTGAGCAATTGAGACACATCCACTTGCCGGATATAATACTCAAGCGGATAATCAAGTCTTCCCAGTGTCTCCACGATCATTGGGAGACAAGTGGAGACGTGCCAAGTGGTGTCGCTTGAGCAAGGGGAAGATGCGCGTGAGGAGTGTAGTAAAGATAAGGTGGGACTTAGTACTGAGTCCATCTGGTTGTCTGACTGCAGAGTTTCTGAAGTGAAGGTCGACTGAGGTGTGGTTATGTCAAATGGGAGGTTGAGCTCGTGATCCAGGAATTTCCAGTCACCTAGGTTTTGGATATCACAGGATGAATGACTTGTTGTAGATGTGATTTTGGTTTCTGGCGAGCAGTAGATATGACTGCCTGCTGTTGATTCGGGATCGTAAGACGTAGAGAGCAGGTCCAGATCAATACACGGGTCTGGCGAGCAGGGTTGAGATTTCACAGCAGGGAGGCTAGGTGAGCGATGAGAGAGTCGTGGTCGTCCCTTTGGTCGAACGATCCCGTAATTGCAAGCTTGCTTCCTCGCCACGCAGCGATCACATCTAGGATGCTGTTTTCCACAGCGCACCTTGGACTTGGCGCAGGCATCGCAGCTGTCACGAGTCTTTCGACGGCTTGTAGTTCTGGAGACGTTGTCCGCCAGGCTGACAGTTGTAGATGGTGATGAGGAGCCAATCATCTTAATTCTAAGATCTTTCAGATTCTCATATGTATGTCACTTCCATTTTACGGTCAGGTTGCACCCCTAAGAGGATACTTATGTTCCTTCCACCTTGCTAACAGGTAAGTAATTCTACGAAATCCGTGCAAAATTGAAGCGGATTTGATGTCTACGTGAACACAACCCCGGAGGTAGCATGATGCAGTATCTGCAAAGTAGTAACATCAGGGAAGTAAAGTACATCATTGGACCAATTCCAATGTTGAAGAATCCGCCAAGAACCAATTCCGGGCGGGCATCGTCTACCATTTGAGGCTATGGTGGATGTCGGGAATCCCCCGGAATCCCGGTCGAATCCCGGCGGTCAGCGGGTTCTGGCATTGTTGTCCGCTTTGTCAGGTGACTTGGGAGGGCTGTATGTTCACGTGATTTGATAGAATCTGGGTATTGTTAGAAGGGTAATATGCATAGAATAGATTGAATGTCATTTGCTGTTCGTGATAGTACTAGAGTTTAGAGGGATGTAGGTACATTCAAAAAGGGGCTGACAGGAAATGTAGGACAAAAGGTACATGTCCAGTGGGACGTTGTCGGTTGCGTGGTCTCCGAGTGTTATGGTATCAAGGTAGGGTCCTACATGACTAGTAATACGGGTCTACACTATATCACTCACTGCGAGCAGTAGACAACGGTCCAGTGGGTTCACGTGGTGTATAACAAAAATTCAAACTATACTACTTTCATTATACATATCAAGCTATCAAGTACAATAACAGACAATATACATCTTTAACCTACAGAATAATCGTACCACAATCTCTAACCTAAACAGCCTGCAAAACAGCCATCCCCAGCACCCCCGGCACCAAAAACGCCCTACCCAACTCTGATAGACCCGTCGGCACCACACCTCCCCCGCTAGACGTCGCCGTCGTGAATGTCAACGTCGCAGCCGCCGTCCCTGTAGAAGCAGCAGGCGTATACGCCGTAACACTAGCCGGCCAATCCCCGACAGCACTAGGCAACGCCGTCCCAGTGCCAATCTCCACAATCTCATCTTCACCTCCATTCTGATCATCATCATCCTTCAGCGTCGCAACGCCCACAAACTGATTATTATAATCCACAGCGACATACATCCGTCTCAGAAAGGGAACACCCAGCTCCGCACGAGTTTTGTAATCTGAATCCTGGGCCTGAATGCCGAACTTGCATAGTCCGTCACGCGTCCACGGGACGAAGAGCTCATCCCAGGACACAGAGAAGGTCATGTTGCCGATGGCTAGAGAGATTGTGTGAGATTCGGTTTCCTGGCGGGCGCAGGGAAGGACCCCGTAGAATCTTGAAGTGGAGATCACGCCGTCCATGGTTATGTTAAGGTCGGTGTAGAGGGATTGGACGGTCGAGTTGGGGAGGTAGGTGATTAGTTCTTCGGTTCTGAGCATCATGGGGGTGGAGGAGGGAATAGGGTAGGTGGAATTATCGTTGGTGTTGGTGGTTAGTTGGAGGGAGTCAGCTTCGACGGTGACGAATGGATTGTTGGTGATGCTGTGGTCTGCGAAGGAGAAGGCTTGCAGGGGCCCGTTGAATTTGGAGGTGTTGATGCCTCCAAAGATGATGCTGGGGGTGGTGGTGTTTCCGTTGTCGCCGATTAGGCTGAAGGATGGGGAGGTGGTGAGGCCGCGATCGACCAGGATGTAGGGGAAGCTGGTGTTGACGGAGGAGAGACCGAGGGAGCTGTCTATGTGGTGGTTAGACAATGGTCAGATGATGGATAAATAGGGTGGTAAGGGAGAGAGGGGGAACTGACAGGAAATGTAGGACAAAAGATACATGTCCAGTGGGACATTGTCGGTTGCGTGATCTCCAAGAGTTATGGTATCAAGGTAGGAGTAGTCGACACCTGCATCGTGTCTCTGTGTGTAGGTGAGATGCTGATAAGTGGATGAATCGGTGGGTTTGTAGAAGCCGAATTCGGAGCAGAGTTCATCGTCAGAACATTCGTAATTCTCATCGAGGGTGTATGCGGGCTCGACCCTTGAGCGCGTAAGATCTAGTAGGAAACTTAGTGACTGCGCAGGGGTTCCAATTGAGGCGTTCATCCAGTAGCTGTCGCCCTGTTGATTGTTAGGGTTGTCGAGTTGATGACATAGATGGAGAGTGGGAGAGCTGACTGACATATATCACTAGAGGAGCTTCTACTGTCTTGGAGCTATCCCGCTTGGCAATATGGACATCCTCAAGATTGCCAAAAGGAAATGGAACCACAAGTGAATCATCTCGCTGGCTCGATAGGGCACTGCTGCAAGTTGACAAAGCCAACGCGACGGCAAGGCGCAAGGTAGAAGACGTCATTTTGATGGAGCGAAATCAGGCACATCGACGGTTCTCTGAGGTCAGTGTATTGACCGTCAATATCGACGCAGGGTCTTGCTCTTATTAAGTGATGATAGTAATCGCATCCAAGCTCAAAACAGGGCACCACGGGGCACACTCCGCCGCCCGCTTGGCAGCCCCAAGGCCAAGGCCCCAAGACCCTGAAAGACGAATAACGTGCTCCATATTCAGGCACGTAGAGGAACTATATTTCAGGGGTCCAAGCCATGCGAAATCGGGTGGGGGAAGGATCAACCTTTACTGGTAGAGGTTAGGGTTGCCGAGAACCCGGCGAATCCCAAGTTTGCTTGGAAGAATTGTGATTGGATGGAGAATTGAGCCAGAGACGGAGGTTACATGATGGCTCGTATCAGTTCAAGTTTTTTTTCTCTTTTATGCTGCATAGCTAGGTATAACTGTTGGGTCATTATTCCTTTGCTGTTTGACCATTTCCTTGGGTTCCTTGGAAATGAATCATGCGAAAAGCCTCATCTGTTTAAGGCTGACACTAACTAAATGTGGTCAATTCAGCCCAACTGGGTTAGACCACCATAGCCGGGATCACCTGATACAAGCATCCCTCAGGCATCAACTGTCAGGCATCATCTTCTTGCACTTGGGCGGGGCAGTTCATCTCTTCAGATAATCCACCCCAGAAGGTGCTACTAAGACTTGGAGTCAGTTCGATGGGATAGTCTACTATAGCTACGAGTCGTGCTGAATCTCATAGACGCCCTGCCCACCTTGTCCAGGATGACCAGATCCCTCATCGTCTTACTGGCCTTGACCAAGGAAAGGATGAGGCTGAGCAGGGTGGCTTGTCTCATGCCTATCGCTAACGCCCGATTGGCGTGATGAGAAAACCTTCTGTTGGAGCGGGGTAACGGGCGCTATGCTGTTAATCATCTTTCAGCAGGTGCTACTGCTAACCCAATCCCTGCTTTGGAAGCTCCGACTTTAGCTGCAGTACCGAACATGTCCTCCTGCTCCTCCGACACGGATCCAGATACAGATCCACACGTGGTTATGCGAGAACGAAATCATTACAATGGGGTCTACGATACACCCATTGCTACCTTTCTGGCAAATGCGTCTACCTGCTTGGATTGCAATCTGGTGCTGCAAGTCATCGAGGCTGTCAAGCCAGGCTGGGTAAAAGAGAACGCGCATCTCGGTCTAGTTGACTACCACCGGGAGAAATCAGAGGATGACAAGTCTACGATAGTGCCTCAGTTTACCCTGCACCTGCAGCAGTCGGTAGGAATGGCAGGTGTTGACTTGCACCAGCCTACTTCCTTCCACTTTTTCAAACGTGCTGCCACTGCACGCTACGAGCCGCATCATGTCGATTCGCATGCTGGCAAAAGCCCTGAATTCACCGGGAATTTTCTCGCTCAGTCCCTCGAAGTGACGCATGATTCAGGCTCACCAGCAGCCTTTGAACGAGCTCATCAATGGCTATCATACTGTGACGAGCATGACGGAGCCTGTAAGCCTCCAAATCCTGGATACAAGCCGCGGCGCCTTATCAATGTCGGCTCGTCGGATGGGACCCGCCATCCATTCCTCTTCGAACCTGCCGAGCCTGCCCGCTACGCATGTCTCAGCTACTGTTGGGGTAAGGATCTTGACCAAGTCCTGACCACAACGACCAATAACATAGAGTCGCATTACCAAGCTATCGAACTCTCCACCTTACCACTAGCCCTTCAAGACGCCATCACTGTCTGCCGAAACCTCGAGATACCCAATCTATGGGTCGACTCTCTGTGCATCGTCCAAGATGACCGACTTGCCTGGTTACACGATGCATCAGCAATGCACGATATCTATCTCAACTCTTATCTAACCATCTCAGTCAAGGAACCCAACTCATGCAAGTTGGGATTTCTCGGCAAACAGCGCTTCGGTGAGCCTACCTGGCAACAACTCCTTCGTCTCACCCGCCCAGACAACGCCCCCGGCTTAGACCTGTTAATACGCCCAGGGGAGTTCTACCCCAGATCGTATCGAGACCGATCATCTCTCGACAGAAGGGGATGGTGTCTACAAGAGTCCATCCTACCCAACCGCAGACTCTGTTACGACGGCAACGAAATGATCTGGGAGTGTCTCTGTCGCCAGCTCTGTGAATGCGGACATGCAGTGGCACCCCAAGTACCACACCTCACGACCCTGGATTACGGCAAGCTCGGAGCTTCCATCAAAACCGAGATCCTGAAGGGGAAAATCCGCTCTAAGAGACAAGGCTACTCAGAGTGGCACCAGTTTTCGCTGGGCTCACGATCATGGCTTGAGCCTCATCAGGAGATATACCAGAGATGGAGAGACCTTGTCTCGGACTATTCGCACCGATCACTCAGCAAGAAGCATGACCGATTACGGGCTATTTCGGGACTGGCGAGAATGGTGGGGAATAATATGCGGCAAGGACCCGAAGCAGCAGATGAGTATCTGGCTGGACTTTGGAAGAAAGAGCTCCCTTTTGATCTGTCGTGGGAGGTTGAGCCCCTTACTGAAGGTGCGGAGGTACTGGAGAGTGGCGAGGTAAATGCGAATGAAGCTGCGTATCATATCCCGAGCTGGTCGTGGGCGTCTGTGGGAAGACCGGTCGGCTATCGATTCGACCTTCCGTTGGAATTATGGAAATATGAGCCTGTGGCCGTCGATCAGTGCATCGTTGAGCGAGTTCATTGTCAACATGAGCTACTGGAGGACCCTATGAGTGCCGTTACAGACGGCTCTATTGTTTTAACAGGCGCTTTTGCGCAAGTGAAGCTGATTCACCTCAAGCAAACACAAGGAACCGCTCGAGAAGATCACGAAGGCCTCATCATCGATGAAGGTGGTATCCAACGGGATACATTTGTGCAGTGCTCCACTGGGCACAAGTTGAGAGTGACCCTCGACAAGCTGGAGGTGAACGATCCAGACGAATCGTATTACTGTCTCCGATTGTTTTCGTGGGTATCTAAATACGACCGGAGGATGGGCCCGGAGACATGGTTTCTCGTACTGGCGACATCAACGCGCAAACTAGGTGCTTTTGAGAGAAGGGGTGTTGGTCTGTGGAATACATGGCGAGGTGATGCGGGTAACATGTCTTGTCCTATTTTCGAGGGGTGTGCAGCTGCTACAGTGGAGATTGTTTAGATGAGACTGGCGCTTGGTTGGGCTAATGTGGAGACACGGCAGCATATCTGTAATAGATGATCTACATTAGTTTAGCTTTGGGGTGTTATAGGCTGCTAGATTGTACGGTGGACCCAATTTGGCTACCGTAAATATGACTAGGATTGACTGTAGAATGATGAGAACACGAAAATGCTACAGCCTAGTGTGGCTGTGAAATATCATCTACAGGATGCAGCAGCACATCAAACATGTTGCATAATTCCTCATGGTAATTGGAAACGGCAGAAGTGATCGCCAAAAGCACGTGTGAATCTCACTCAGCAATCCCCTCATCAGTTCATCGCTTCCCCACACACCCTATTGCCAACCTCCCATCCCATCCCATCCATAGCCACTGAATTAAGGCTCCAACACAGTCAACTTCTCCGGCTGCTGCAACAGCAACAACGGCCCAGCAAGCACACTGTCCTCCGTCGGTGCCCCAGCCTCATCAGCAATAGCAATAGCAATAATGCCCGCACCCTTATCAAATGATCCCGGAATAACCGTCTCATTAGTGCTGATATCGAACGGCACACTAATATTCTGCAACCCATGAAAGAACACCGCATAGTAATCCCCTCCCTCCACGAACGCCGGATCACTGCTAAACTCAAGCTGAATCTTCGACCCCGGATGCCCAGTAGTAGTATTCGTCACATACCCAATCTCCGGCAAGTTCTGGTTCGGGTACGGATACTGCGGGTTCTCAGACGGACAACTCCCCGACGCCACGAAAGAGTTCGTCAACGCCAGGATCTGGTTAGCGTAGGGATACACCGTGTCAGCCGGGCCGGAGAAGGGACTCACGCCCCAGATATCGATGAGAGACCAGGCGTTATGCCGGGTTTCGATCTCACCGATGGCGACGAGGGCGGAGCGGGTGTCGGTTGTGTTGGCTTCGCGGACGAGGCCGGTGAGGAAGGCCATGCTGTTGACTTCGATGTAGACTTGGAGGGCGAGAAAGGTTTCCGGGTCATTGTTGAAGCCGAAGCTGTAGTTGCAGGGGCCGGGTTTTAGGGATGTAGAGGAGATTTCGTCTTGGAAGATGCGGATGTGGCCGGCTTCGTTGTCGCGGATTTCGGCGATGCGGTCGTAGGTGCTGTTTGGGTAGCCCAAGTCGCTGAAGGAGGAAGGAGTGAAGGCTTCAACGCCTTGTTGGTAGAAGGAGTAGATGATCCATTCGGCGCTGAGGAGGTTTTGGAAGAGTACGTCGTCTGGACCGGCGGGACCGGAGGATGTTGCTGGGATGACACGGGTGTAGTTGGCTGGTATGGGGGTGGGTTCGCCGGTGTATGTTGCGAAGAGGGGAGATTCGCCGGGGATGGGATTAGGGTCGAGTTTGGGGGATCTGGCTTTGGGGAGGGCTAGAGATAGCCCTATAAGGGAGGCTAGGGGGAGGATGTTGAGGGATAGCATTTTAGTGAGGGACGGAAGTGATCGGTTCTGCTAGGATTATAATAGAGGGAATGAGTGCTTGAGATAGACAGTGATATTGAGATTATAGTCTCTGCCTGAGACGAATTCGGTGACCTTATATAACATCAATTTGGACAAAGACTCACATCAGACGCATTGACAGCGATGAGCTGCAGCTGCGCCTCTCTGCCCAAGCCATGATTCTCCGGCAGTGCATTTGATACGATGAACATGTCGCACGTAACTGTATCGTGATGAAGTCATATTTCCATCTCCGTCAGTTAGAAAGTCGATCAATCGTAACAGCATCTCATACGCATGTGGAGCTAACCTAATCGGGAAGGTGATTCGTAGGACGAAATAAATTTCCCGATGCGGCAATGCGGGATTGGCGGCGGCATCTCGGAAACTCAACGATCCACCGCAAACCATTGAAGAATACGAGCCGTGCAACGTGGACTCAGCCTCCCATCAGATAGGCATCCCTCATATTCCTAGAAAGGTGCTAAGACAAGCATTTTTGGTACGTAACTTGGCATGTGTCGAAAAGTGAATTTTAACGTTTCGCACGGAGAATCCCTCCGATCCGATGCTGCTGCCTTGGGCCTTTTAAGGGCCAAGCCTCGACACCCAACGAGGAGACATGCCAAAAGCGGTAATGTGTTTCGTAGGAGCATACGAGACTTCAAAGTTTTCATGATAGACAAGTCTTGGATATTATTCTTCCCTGGCTGGTTTGCCTATAAAACGCATGCGACCATGCTGGAACTCATATTGATAATGATATACTATCTTTTCAATGATTCAAGTCTCTGAATAGAGAGCAATTTTTTCTGTCGTCTGACCAGGTCCTGTAGATTGATACCTCAAAATGTCTGTCGTGACAGCACAAGGTGTTGCAATTGCTGAGTTGATCGTCTATATACCTATATCCCTTGTTACTCTCTTCGTCGTCCTCCGCCATGGCTTTCACAGACAGCTCGGGTGGATCTACCTCTTCATATTCAGCGGAGTCAGAATCGCAGGTGCTGTGATGGAGATCCTCAGTGAGACACATCCAGACAATACGACAGACCTGGAGTGGGCTATAATATTACAGTCAGTGGGGCTCTCTCCACTGTTGTTATCTAGCCTTGGCCTGCTGAAAAGAGTGTACGTTAAGTCATCAGATGTGCTTGTTGCTTTAACCCCATCGAAGAACTCACATTTGATAGTTCTGATGAGATCTGCGACCATGCGCCATCAACCCAAGGCTCCCGGGTCACTATGGTGTTGCAGAAACTGAGTTCATTCAGCAGTGTCGCAGCGAAGCTGTAAGTACCGAAACTCAATCGGGGTAGCTGAGACGCTGACAGTTGCATCCAGAAAGGGGTTTTATAACAAGAAAGAAACCGCCATATCCGGTCGCAGCAAAGTCGTTCAGTTGCTCCATATCCCAGCCCTCATAGCGTTGATTCTTTCGATCATCGGCGGTTTGGACCAATACTCATCGGATACCTCTGAGCACTCCGGGGGAAAGACCGAAACCCGTGTTGGAATCATTCTATTCCTCGCAATCTACATCGTGCTTTGCATCCTGTGGTCAACAACCGTCAAAGACCTCCCTCGGATGGCGCCAAGCCAGAAGCGTATCGTCGGCGTGGTTCTGATAGCATTGCCATTGATCGCTTGCCGTCTGTTGTACAGTCTTGTCGCCGATTTAGCCATGACCGTCGATTTTCATTGGTCGATGGAAATGTGACAATCCGGCTGTGCATGGCCATCATAGAGGAATTCCTTGTGGTGTTGATGTACACTGTGCTTGGTGTGTTTACTCCTCGGTCAGAAGTCGCAGTGAACAGCACAGTCTCAAATCCTCAAAAATGGCCATCTCAAGCCAAGAACCCGCGATTTCATACTTCGCCTCTTGATCCTCGCAATGCTCATAATAATGGACAGTATGAGCCTGTTTAGCCGCCAGCTTCCGGTGATAGCGTCTACCACGTGATTAAAAACCATAAAACAAAATCATTGGCGTTGAAAGTTATTAATGTTGATTCTTATGTCATGCTTTGATTGAATGCACATGTTGTTTCAAAGGTCGAAATACTCTCTGATTTTTGGTGAATCATGCCATTGTAGAGAAGCTGAAGGTTAATCTGTTTATAGAGCTTCAGCTTCGTTCCATGATCCCCCCTCCTGGCCGTCTCGTTTAGGCGAAGAATATTCCGGGGATAGCCAGGCCCGCGTGCTCTCGCCCTCTCTCACCAATTGTGCCATTGCTAATGCCTGGTTGATACCCATAGAATGGCCGATCTTATCTAGACAATGGATGATCCAACTTCGAAGTTCCTTGGGCGCATAACCAGAGTCTGCAGCAATCAACAAAGGCCACATTAAGGCAAAACCACCGGCTGCTGGAGCTCCAAATGGAGATTCAGATGACAAGTGAGGAGGCTTCGATGCACGATGCTTATTTGCGTCTGAGCTTTTGAAAGTCGTGGAACCGGAGAATTTGTCGACGTGGCTGTCATCCACCACAGAGCCAAGATGAAATGGCACACTTGCGCAAATATCCTCAACGAGCTGGCGGGAAATTTGCTGACATTCTCGCAATAAATGTTGATGCTCTTCTTTCGTATTGCCCGGAAAGTGGATGTTCATGGCACCGATCGCTTCGACAATCAACTCCAGGAGTACCAGCCTAGCAGATCGATAGTTATTCCAGAAGCTACTCACGGTGATGTCTCTATAGGTATGATATTGAGCGCCCCAAACAGTGTCGACCGTAGGTACTCCCTGAGCCAGGGCAACGTTGACAGTCTTGTAACCCATTGAAGCAGGTATATCGGACATTATTGATTGGATTTGTGCATCTAGATTCAAGGCATAACGCACGATCTCCGATGGGCAGCTTATTGTGCCCTCCTTGATAGCTGCACAGAGGTCCCCAAGTGGAATGGTCACGCTGCTGAGTCGATCGACAATCGCATCATCTTTATTCGGTCTGTACTTGGCTGTTTCTTGACTGAGGCGACGAATCATTGCCGAGGTATGCTTTTGCCGATATATATGACTGAGCACCTAAATAGTTTCTCATTAGCGTCTTCTGTGAATGGGCTTCATATCTGTCCCACTGCAAGAGATATAGCTGAGGATCTAACTAGTTTACTCACTATTTGGGTGCGTAATTGACTGAATAACGCCAATCCTTCCGGTCGAGTTAGTTGCTCTGGACCCCGAGTCTCAATCAAAATTGCCGCGCCATCTAAGTGCTTAATCCATCGATTGATGAAAAGACCGTCGCTGCAGGTCAATACCTTAGGAGACTTGTGTTAGCTTAAAACCTGGTTGCTGATTAGGTCGTTCTCACTTCAAACATGCTCAGGAGCACGACTGTAGCCAAGGTTTCGTCCCTCGTAGACAAATGCGCGTGACTGAGGGAGCTACTAGTCTGAGACAACGCGGTCATATAATGTTGACGGGCTGTATACATAAGCTGTCGAGACCTATAGATGTTGGACAAGGCCGCCAGCCCGGCAGCCGTAAGAGCATCGTTCACAGCGGAGCTTTCTAGATGGTTTGCCAAAGTTGAAAGGTACGGCATGTACGCCCCTCGATCCCCCTTGGCGATGTAATTTACAAAGAGATATCCCTTCGCCAGTTCTGCGGTTGGATATGATAGGTTTGAGGAAGGTGAAGACGAGTAAGTCAGCATTTGGTTGCTGTTACCCTTGACGGTCCGCTTTTGTCGCTTGCTGATTTCTTCGGATTCCCTTTCGGCTTTAAGTTGTGCCTTGCGAATAACATCACGACTCTGGTCACGAAATTTATACTCCAAAGCAGATCGATACCCGGGACAGTCGACTTTGGCCCGAATGCACTGGGAGCATGACGGTTTCCCCCAATCGCACTAACGAATAATGGTTTTGTTTAGCTTAGTCTAACACTTAAACCATCTGGTTTGCCTCTCCCCCCGTTTGCCAATGTACATGACGGCTGATCACGAAGACGACAAAGAAAAAAACCACGCAACAGAGACACGCCGGTACCTTTAAGCGCCGCGGGCGACAGCGTTCGCAGGCCAGACTTGGCTTCCCGCTGTAAACCATCCTCGTGGGATGCTAAACTGAATGCTGTATACAAGAAACTGCAGAAGATCACTGAGAGATTACACCTCCTTGAGGGATCCGAGAAGGCTAAGGATTTTGATGAATGATTTGACTCGCAGGATCAATTGAAGGAGGAGATAGCGAGCCTGGCTGTGGATGCCTAAAATGAGAATCAAGCATTTCACGTGACAGAGCTTATCAAGTCTCAGAACCACGTGCCGCAAACCCAAACTAGTATCTAAGGCCGACATGATCGAAGGATAAGATTAGACCGAGGGTGTATAATGTAGAAATGCAGCCTTATCAGTAAGGCTGTGTCACTGGTTCCCAGGCACCAAATTACTTTCTACACAGCCATATGCGCCGGATTTAAGCCAGTGCTAGTCAGGCTCCTAGAAGATGACTTAGGTAGTATTCATCGACCCAGGAACACACCAAAACACATACATTATAGAATGGCAACTGGCAGCCATAACTCCACTCCTACAAGGTCCCCATCCACAAATGCTAGACCTCCCACTTAGTCCAGGCAGCGAAGAACAAAAAAGCAGAGAAATGGAGCTTCTGGACCATTACTACTAAGTAACCGAAAAAGTAAACCCTTCGGTAAACCCTTCCCGGGCTGAGGCATTCAAAGACCCATACCTCTCCATACGAGTTACCCCCACCAACCTGATATCCGGATGTTGGGAGCGCGAAGACATTTTCTCACTGCGCGAGTCTTTGATCAAAGTAGCCGCATACTGGAACCAACTTCAGCAAGGCCGCACACCATGCCCGATTGACTTCAACGCTGAAGAGCTAGCTGCACATGAACGCGAAAGGGAACTGATTGAAGGTCTTTCGAACATTGTTCAGCAGTTAGAAGAGGAGGGGTTTATTCCGAATGGAGGAATGGTTCGGCCGGAGGAGTACGAGCATGCCAAGATGGTGAGTGATTACTTTAAGCGCGAGTTTATAAATCTAGCCGAGAGCGATCAGCAACGGGAATTGCATGAGAAGGTCTGGCCTTATTAGGGTTGGGTTTGGGGGTGTATGATGGTCTTGTCATTTGGCTGCGTAGTATCGGTGTGGTATGTTAGATATTGATTGGGCTGTGTATGATTGCGGGATTGTATGGGCTTTGGGCCCAAATTACTTCCAACGGTTCAGTGCGTAATAAATTAGCATCATACAGGGCAGTACCCATAGGCTTACGGGATTGTAAATTTCACATGGAAAGAGATGATAAACTGATTGGGTCTTGACTTTCTTCGCTAATGAAATAAGACAACAATCTTGGAAAGACAAAGAGAGAGAAAGGGTTATCAGGGCAAATTAGAGCAGATGTGATGCTCTATTATATAGACTGAGCGAGAGCGCAAGAAGCACAGAGACTCGACTGGTAGTATCCCACATTTTCTCTCCTCAAGAGAACCCCGTAATCGTCCTAACCCTGCAAGCCCAGGTCTCTGGGTCATATAATTTCAGGCCGATTCTACGGTGACGAAGAAGGAGCCGCTCTCTCATCTCCGGCTCGAGGCCATCAGAAAGGAGCTCATCTGAGTCTTGTCCTAGACGTTCCAAATACCTTCGAGAAGTTGACACCCACGGTCTGATAAAAACAAACCATCCGTCAATTCGGCCTCGATCCCACATCACATATGCCCACTGACGGAGCACAGCCTGATCAAAGTTACCAACAAAGCCTCCTGCCTCTTCATCTCGATGGGCCCAGCGCCAGATGTCTTCTGGCCCGCTGTCCGGGTTGTGGTACCATGGCTGGGGGATGTACTTTTTTTCGTCCTCGGCATCGAAGTCTCCAAGTGCATGTTCCAAGGGTGGCCACCGTGACACCGGATGTAACCCATTATAGAGAAAACTGAGTAGTTGATCAATTCGTGGTGTTGCGCGTGTTACGTGCACGATCTGTTGCAACTGTTTTTCATTTTGAAGGGCGAACCGCCGCACATGAGTAAGACCCAATGATAGGTGAAACTGGAGATAGTTATGAAAGGCTATATCTGAACCCTGGGAGATATATTGCGGCCAATTTGAGCGAAGATTAGGGTCCTCAATAACTGATTGGCTCTCCGACTTAGTTATGATGAGACCTTACGGATCAGGGAACAGAAAATGTAAAACATACCTTGCTTAACCATGCGCATTAAGAAGTCATAGATGCAGTATAGTTGTTCGTTTTCCCATGGTGCAAAGCCTGCCGAACGCGCTGCTATAGCGTCCCACTCTTGCTGTAGGTTACAGTTTGCATGAAACCGGTACAGACTTCGGCTAATCCGGTTTCTCTCTGTCTTGGAGGGCGGTAAAAATGAGGAGAGGTTCTGGCTGGCTGAAGTAGAAGGTACTGGTAGAGCCTCTGCAGCCAATCGATCAACCAAATACTTCACGGCCTTATCGAGTCTATCGATCAAGAGAGCCTCAGAGAGCCTCCAATCCATAGAGGCTTCGAAATAATGTTGATCGCGTGCAAGGTATGGCACCATGAAGGTTTCGACTTGTTCGGTTGACCGATGGTCAATTTTGTTGGATGCGTGGGTCGCTAGGACATCATGAATCAGGGAAGGATCAAACTGGCGCAGCACGACTGGTCGTACGATGAACTGTTCTGCTCCTTTGAAAGCGTTGTACAGGCATGGTCCGGTCATGGCGGCGGCCTCCAGGGTCGTAATGTCTGGCGCGGCAGCGAGAATGGCTTCAAGCAGCTCCACTGGCAGCTCTTCAAGTCGTCTACTTGAACCCTGTGCCATGGTGAGTTCCGATATGGGGGTTTTGAGGTTGAATGTTAGACTCAGTATCAGAAAGGCCGGCTGTCACTGATGGTAGAGGGAGATGGATGGAGAATGAAAATGTTGAAGAGATGAGGGCATTAAATAATAATACAGTAGCCTCTCTTGTCATGGCTCTCGTTCTTTCACATCTCCACAGGTTTATTGATGTTCTTTGATGTCTCACGAGCAACGCAGATCTATCGGTATGGGTATCAAAGAAGATGTTGTAATGAGAGTACTACCAGGTCAACGCAAGAGACACATCCCGGTACCTTGACATAGAAAGTAGAGATGTACCTACATGGTCCATCGCCTATGGTATGCACTATGGCAAGTACCTCGTAATGATACCTGCACCACTATGAACCGGCACCAAGGTTGGTCTGGATGTTTCACGGCTTTGGTATATAAAGAAAAATCCCCACATCTTGATAGCTTCTAAGTTTAATAAACGATGTATGAATACAAAGACGAAACATTGCTACGCCGGGCTGCTCCGACCCATACCATGGATTATAGCGGAGATAGCCATCATAAACCCGACTGCACAGCACACAAAGAAGAAATGAACACGGACTACACCTTTGTTGGATACAAAGCGCTAACATGGTCTTTATCTATAACTCTTTGTTCGTAACCAGCGTAAAGCTTGGGGATATCTATCTACCATTTCATTACAACGTTTGCCTGGATATAAGCGCTACTTCACAAATCATCATGAACAAAATATTAACATAAACACCACGTTCGGAATCAATCTAAAGCTACTGACGCTCACCTCCCAATCTAACACCACACCAATAACCCAAATCTCCCTATTTCTCCCCAAAAAGCGCATTCCCCCTAACCTTCCCCTCAAACCCCACAATATGCGTCGAATGACACCACGGCTTCCTCCCCGCCTCCAACTTCACCACATCAGCAAACACCCCACACCATCCCTCCCTCTTCCACAACTCATTAACCTCCCTCCTCGCATCCTCATGAATTAACCCTCCAAAGTCCCTAACATGCGGATGTTCCCCCACATTATCATAAATGGTAGCCAACTGTATCAACTGTCCCAGGAACGTGATATTCCCATCCACGCCTAGATCCTGATGCCGGATAATAGCTTCCGCTACGGCGTCGGCAACGTCAGCAGGACAGTCAAAGGAAGTAAGTACGGAGTGGGCTTTGATGCCGCCGTAGAGGTCGAAGGACATGTTTGTTGAGGTGAGGAGGGAGGGGGCGGTGCCGATGTCATGCAGAAGGCAGGTTAGGGCCCAGGTTGTTGGGGATAGGCGGTGGGAGGGGAATTGTTGGGCGAGGAGGATCATTCCTTATGTTATTCTATTAGTACTGAGGTGGTATGAGGCTGGTGTATGGGATTACCGTAGTAGTATACGCGCATGGAGTGGTTGATGGTCTCGCGGGGGAGGAGGGATTGGACGTATTCGAGGATCTTGGCGACGAGGGGATCGGTGGAGGGGAAGGGGATGTCGGTGATGGAGATGGGCGTGGGTGGGTGGATAAATGGCTTGTCGGGGAAGATGGCACCAGCGTTGGCGGGAGTGCTGGTCCAGCCGTTGAGGGAGATCTTGTCGTGGCACATTTTGACGTGAGGGTATAGTGGTTGCTGAGTATAGGATGAGGGGCTGGAGATGGGCGAAGATGAATAGGATAATGGGGGATAGGGACTGTGTTGGTCGGCTTTATATATGTTGATAAGTCTTGGTCTCTACATGCTGGGATTTGTAATATAGCCAAGGGGATGTAACATCTCCAACCCATGGATGGATGGGAGGAGATCTGATGTCACATCCCAAATAGGCAGTCTTTTGGAGTGGGGCCATCGGCTTAGAGTTGATGCCAAGCTCCCGCCTGGTCGGGTCTAGATCCACGTGTTAATCACAATTTCCGAGGATCCAAATTTCCACCAAGTCATCAGTACAGAGGTGAGAGAGGGTTGCTTTCATGGGTGATACACTGGCCCAGCTTACTTTTGGCTTGAGCAATGCGTCATGCTGAATGACAATACACCCCGGATCCATGACTACGTACTACCCTATGTATCGGAGACAAGTCGTTGGTTAATCCACAGTATAAGCTTGATACATAATATTGGAACAACTAGCTATTATATTCGCACGTATATGGTATCCTGTAGTATCCTGTAGGGATCCCTTCGCATATTAAAATTTAGAATTAGCCATCACCCCAGCTCGTATCGCTCTACCTCCTGCGAAGCCATCATTTCCTGCGGCGGCTTATGCATCTTCGTATCCAACTCCTTCGCCGGTTCACTGTGAGCACCTCCCGGTAGCTCCGCAAAGCCCCTAAACATCGACCTCCGTTGCTCTCCAGCCGCCTCTTGACTCGCCCCGCGGCGACGGCGAAGACAGAATGCAATGGCTATACCTGCTGCGATCAACACTGCTCCACCGACACCCACCCCGACGCCAATTCCAATTTTGGCACCGGAAGACAGGCCACTCTTGGAGCTGCTCGAGTTGTCGGATGTTTTGATGCCCCAGTACGTAGCCCAGGTCTCTTCCCAGGTACCGTTAGAGGCAGAAAGCGACGTGTCACTCACTGCGATCCGGGTGATGTCTTCACTGGCGTAACCCGGGCCGGGGGCCTGTGCCAGAAACCATGTGCCCGAGTTGTTCCCGTTGAACCAGTTCACCCCAACGAATGCGGACTGGAGAAAGGCTCGACCGAGCACCGGGGTGGAGGTAGTGAGGAAGCACGGGAAGTAGGTGACGTTTTGATCGACCAGCGGTTCTTGCAGCGTAAGATTGAGCTGGGAAAAGGGAATCTTGATGGTAATGTTCTTGTTGTTGACCCCATTCATGTTGAACACAAAGGAGAGGTATGCGGCGGAAGACGTGATATTCAGATAATCATCGCTCGTGGTGTCCCAGAAGTATAGCCCCAAGCTGGAATTGAAGGAGATCGGCATGGTGGAGGTGATGGCATCGCATGTCGCCTGGGGAAGGTACATGTAGGGCTTGGTTGGATCAATCTGGACGGTCTTGGCCTGAACCGAACCACTGCTTTGGAGAAACAAGCCACTTTCGTTGTTGAAGCTGAAGGGAGAGGAACCCGCCGCAACACCCAGCCCAATATCCTTTAATTCAAGTTCCAAAAGACCACTCGAAGACACTACTCCCTGCGCACTCACGTCTCCGATCACTCGGCTCTTATCGTAGCCCCCCAAGATCAGGGAGCCTGGGATTTTGGGGTCTACCGACCCGATATGCATGCCGTACGAGTAGGACGGAATGTCGTTGGACGAGTAAAGCCATCCTGCGATCATGTTCAGGACCGTCGAATTGGAGACGGTATCCGACAAGTACGGACCCCCCAGGGCCAGACTGCCGACCGAGACAGGATAGGCGATGCCATTGGGATAGGTCTGGTAGGTCTGGTAGATGGCTTCGAAGCTCACATTGGGGACGACAAACGACCCTAAGGTGACCTCATCGCCGAGCACAGCCTCTTGGCTTCCACCCTCGACGGCCCAGTAAGTTGTTTCCCACGAGCTGGCGGTGGTGTAGGCAGTGGTGGAGGTGTTTTGGTTGAACGTGCCTGCTTCGGCAGCGTAGCAGGTGGATGACAGGGTTTTGTTCGTGCAGAGAGTGCTCATCAGGATCGTGCTAGCATAGTTGGCTCCGGGGTAAAGATCGACCGTCTGCTGGTTGCTGCCCACGTCGATGGATACGGCCTGCCACGGGCCATCTGGACCGTAGGCTTGGGAAGACCAGCTCATTACATAGGGATTGGATGCCGAGGAGGTCTGCAGAAATACCCCCAGTAGGGGGAGAAGTATCGGTCGCATCATACCATGGATACTTCAGCAGGCATTCAAACAGCCTGCGATGGGGGAAGAAAGCAAAAGAAAAGAAGGAGTAGGGAAAAGCTGCGAGATGAAGGATATGGGCTGGCCGGAGGTGAGATTATGAAACGAAAGGAATGCGACCGGGGAGCACATTGCTGCAAGGCGGGCGATGGTGATGGCTTCGCAGGCCCGGTGCGCGCTAAAGGATTGGTTTGGGTGTTGGGACTCCGCTGACATGCAGCTCAGCCATGCCTAATGAGGGATGAGGCGTGTTCATCCGATGGGGATCGGCCCCAAGAGACGCTGAGAAGAGCTGAAGGATTGCTGATTGTCAGATTTCAGGTGGTCAGAAAGCGCAACGTTGGGGGCTTTCCAAGGGGGGATTGACTTCTCCAACTGCATTCAATCGGTGGACTGGAGACCATATCTATCTGCCATTGCTTCAATTTGAGGGTCTGTCTGTCATGACAGCCACCCGCTAAACTGTACCACTGATTCAACTTCATCTGGTGCGATTTGGGAATCAAATCCGAGGGCCGGGAAGGGGGGCAAGTGTGGGGGCACCAACGCAATGGGAATGCTGGATGGATCAGCCATGAACCAGTCATCGCCAGTCATCCCGTTCGGCCCCCAAGTTGGATCCCCAAACTGCTGTGGAGAGTTGATTTATTCCCTTTGATTTGTTGTTCCTATTCATAACTCTGATGAGAAGTGGAATGGCTGGAGCAGCCACAAACTTGAGCACTTAAGCCAGACTTTTCCCGCTAGTCTTCTATTTCCCCCCGTGGAATATCTGACACGTCCAGCATCCAGCCGGGAAGCACCACGATTTCAATCAATTTCCACTATGGCAGCCACATGGGACGCCTGACGTGAATTGATTTCCACATCAGGAATAGATCTGAAGCTTGGTGCCAAAGCCAAATGGACGGGATCAGAATCTGGTTGGCTGATGTTACCTCGGAATAAGCGAGCATGTCGGTTATTAGCCCTCGGTCCAGACCTGACTAGTCTAGCAGCCTCTGCCAGGTGGTCTCCTAATCGTAGTTATCTATTCGTTGAGGATTGGATAAACTTACCTTCACAGCATTTCGGCCTGTCTGCCATCCTATGTTCGGTCGGAGAAAAGCACAGACCGTATCCAATTGCTCCACCATCCACGGACATCTGCCCGACGCCGGGTTATTATCGTCTGCTAACTTAATCAGTTCGACAAGCGAACTGACTCGTTAGCTCGTCTTGTCGAATTCCACGAGAGTCATCACATGTTCAGTAGTCTCGGTTGCTGATTACTCCGTAGTGTTCTATCAAATCTCTCTTTCTCTCTCTCTCACTCTCTCTCTCTCATTCTCTCTCTCTCTCTTCTTTTTTTTTTTTTTTTTTTTTTTTTTTTTTTTTTTTTTTTTTTTTGCTTTTTGTTACTCATTCATCCATTCATTCATTTGATTTCCTTTCTGCTCTTCGTCTCTTATCCAGTTTTGAGGGTTTCACTGAATACTAGAGATGAGTAGGTTTTGCATTCAAGCTCCTGTATGCCTGGGAACCGTTTACTGCGCCGCAGAGATAATCAATATGGTGATTCCTCAAGTTGTAGTATTCCAGTGTATTCTCTATTATGATACTAGAATGAAACAATGATAATAGGGAGAGGGAGGAAAACAAATAAAATTGAAAAGGATAAGGAACCTTTACGCGCAGTCAAGTAAAAACTAGCACAAACCACCTTGCAAACCCCTATACACCATATCACGAACAATAATCTACCTCACCCTCACACCCCGTCCATTCAAAATGCACCACATCCACAATTCGCCTCAAAGTCTGCGGCTCCAAAAGACTTCTCGTGATATCCGCCAACCACGACGCATGCAACGTAGACGAGGATCGACACACTCCATACTTGAAATCCAACTCCGCCCGCGTCTGCCCTACGCTAGGGCCCTTCTCCCCAAGAGTCCCAAACGGCGCCAACGCCTCCAAAAGCCCCCTATACGCCTGCCGATGGTCCCTCGACCGAGACAAACATTCATCATCCTTCCCGACCACAGAGACCTGCGTACTTACCTCAAACACCTTATGATGCGAGCTCATAACTGCCCAATTACAAAACGCCATCAAGACATACGCACACGTCCGATTCGTCTGCACAGCAAGCGTAGCGGTCTCCAGACACTCGAACATCACTCGATCCAAATACTCGCATAGATTCCCTCGAACTCCACGCAAAACAACGTTCTCCCGCTGCTTCCGTGCAGTATCGCTGCGCAGGCCCACCAGGTCGTTGATCAACGTGCAGGCCATACTCAACAGCGTGTACTCTGCCTCGTTGACCTGCTCCTTCGTCCCCACAGAGGCTGACGCCACGGCAAAGAACAGCCCTAGGTCGACGTACCGATGCGCGATCAGGCTAGTCATCCGACTGCCGTAAACACCGGCTGGTAAGCGGCCCCGTGCATGGTCGCGGTAGTATCCTAACACCCTGAAATGTAGCATCGATGCCATCATGTTGTCGAATGCCCATTCGGAGAAGAGCCCCGATAGTACGCATAGCTTCAGGAACGCTACTGCGGCTGCGCCGCTCTGCTGCAGGAGTTTTAGAGATGCTTCATCCGCTACCTCGCAGTAATCGGCGACTAGGATATCGTTGCCTGCGTCGGCAATGGCGCGGACCAGGCCATCGTGGGCGGTATCACTGTGGATGGCGCCGAGCACGAAGTAGTACGTGGCATCGGTGCAAAATTTAACATCTTCCGCTGTGGGGTAGAGCTGCTGGTGGATGACATCAACGGTGTCATCTTTGGGACTGGTCGACGATCCGGGGCTCGTATCGCGTGAAGGTTGGTAGCCTCTGCTGGCCCCTGACATGTGCTTGGAAAATCTTGGACATCGGCATTGGCCAGGAGGATCTCGGAGACTGCTTCGATGAGGTTTTTAGGCGTGAAGAGGGATGTCGTATTCCATTCGGACTGTCTCTTAAGGACGGTCTGAAGCGCCTGGTGGGTATTATGGATAGCAGAGCAATTAGCATGTTCGGCAATGAAAGCTATGTCTGCATCTGGTGGGACAGGGTAAAGACCGCTGCAAGGACAATTTGAGTTGGGATTGTAATCTCCAGATCCAAGGTTGGTCTCGCTGCAGCTGGGAGGATTGACTCCGCCGAGGGGTATCTGGCCGTTGGCGAGGGATCGGCGAAAGGACGAAGCCACCCATCTAAGTGAGTTGTAGCTTGGGAAAGAAGGAGAAGAAGATTCTCGGAGAAACAATTCAGCCTGCTCAGTCACAGTCAGGCTGGTGGTGGTATCTTCGTCGAGATGGGGAGGTGGCAAAGAATGCCATATGTTGACCCATGAAAGATAGAAAGAATGGTCAACTTTGCCAGCTGGTTTACCGAAGATGTTGCAAATGGCCTGTTGTATGTCTAGATAAAAAAAAATAGGATATTCGATTGTTTGGAACGAGACAAACTACTGCTCGATGATTCCTAAGGTGCGATGATACATCTTTACATACTAGTATCGATCACGGCTGGTTGTCTTTGGGATCAGCTTTGCCTTCTTCTTCACCGTCATAGCGGTCGCTCCTAGGCCATGCAACTCGCCTAGTCTAGCAGCATTGCAGATTAAAGTTTGATGGGTTACAATTGATCGTCATGTCCATCGTCGGACCAAAGTCCCTCCAGATATGACGGCCAACGAGATGAGATGGAGAGTACCCTATAGCCAGTAGCACCAGTCCCAAAACAGGGAACAGAGCATGCCAATGCTTATCTCATGCTCCAATTAGCACTCGAGAAGAGACTTCAGCTCCAGGTGCTTTTAATGACAAGATCGTATCCCAGCTTGATTCAGCAACGCAGACTACAAGTCCCGCAAGGGCCCAATAGGAGTCTGTCCCGGAAGAACAATTCCAGCTGTCAATACGTAGGGGCCATAGATCGCAGCTGAAGAAATCCTGCAACATGCATAGTTGGCCGTTCATCGCACGAATGTTGTTCGCTGTAATTTGCCGCCCAGCGAGCACGGCCCCACAGGGCTTAGAGAGGGGTTTGAGAGAGCTGAAGAAAAAGTACGTTTTCACGCGGGGTCACAACCAGGATTTGGTTGAGCGTTCAGCTGAAACTTAACCAGGTCGCTATCGCCTTCTACTATACATGCTCCTTTATAACTGCTTGATTCAGTCGCCAGTCATCCCTGTATCTGCCATCTCGCACTCACACAACCACAATTTGAGCAAGATGAACAAGGCGGAAACTCCATCGGACTCCTTTTCCGAGCTCCACCTGATAGCCGCGATTGGCTTGTCGCCAGCATTAGTGGGACTGCTTCTAGGCATCTATTCGCTTTGGTATCTCGTAGGGCCTGCTTTGAAGCAGCATAATACCAGCAATCAGCCGCCCATCGTCGGATGTCGAAGCCGTTGGGAACCTACCTGGTTGGTACGACTTCGATTCATCCGGGGAAGCAGAAAGATTATTGGCGAAGGATATGAGCGCGTCAGTTACCACAATTTGAACCTACTCTCAGCTCATATGCCCACTGACACCCATCTAGTTCAAAGATACTATGTTCCAGGTGCGGCGAGTCGGCACTGATGTTCTGCTCGTCTCCAGCAAATACATGGATGAGATTCGCACCTTGACTCGCGATGCTACCGGTTCTGTGCCCCCTTTGGTCCAGGATTACCCCGGTGAATATACGCATGGCATGCCATTCTTGCGCAGTGATCTGCAAAACCGAGTCCTTCAACAGAAACTTACTCCGAATCTCCCCTCGTTAGTCCCGGTGATGGTTGAAGAGCTGGAGTTTGCAATGAGAATGGAGATGCCCGAGTGTGCTGGTTTGTGATCGTTGATTCAGTTCGCAAACAGCCTGCTAACGCATCAGCAGATGACTGGACTACAGTCGACATTAGTTATAAAAAAAGTCTATTACAATATAGATATTATGGAATATCCATATATAACTTAAAATTGACATGCCAATCCTCTCGCGAATCATCACTCGCATTACCTCCCGCATCTTCCTCGGACCCAAAGAAGGCCGTAATGAAGAGTGGCTCGTGGCCACCGTGGAATATACCAGGAACCTCTTCCTCACGGGCATGGCACTGCGCTTCTTCCCGCGCTTTCTCAGACCACTCGTCGCTCCGCTTCTACCGTCCTACCATCATCTTTGGCAGAATGTGGCGACGTCTCGACGCATAGTCGGTGAGATCGTACGTGAACGGAGAGAAATCGAGGCTGCGAAGCCAGCAGATTACACGAAGCCTGCGGACATTTTGCAATGGATGATGGATGCTGCCACCGGTCAAGAGGCGGAACCCGGGGACCTAGCACAACGGATGCTGATCTTAAGCGTGACATCCATCCACACCACAACATTAACCATGACTCAAGCTATCTACGATCTCTGTGCACACCCACAATACCTGGAGCCCCTCCGAGCCGAGGTGGAAGACGTGCTGTGTACAGATGGTGGCTGGGGCAAATTAACGGTCAACCACCTGCGCAAGATGGACAGTTTACTGAAAGAGTCGCAGCGATTTAATCCTGTTTTCTTGTGTATGATAAACAAAACCCCTTTTCTATCCTACTTCCAGGACTAACAACAGCACAGTAACCTTCAACCGCATCCTCCCCAAATCAATAACCCTCTCCAACGGCGTCTCCATTCCAGTCGGCTCGCGCATCGCAGTCCCTTCCAACGCCATGTTAAACGATCCTTCCCGAGTGCCAGGTGACGCGCCAACTTCCTTCGACGCCTTCCGGTACTCGAGGCTGCGTGAGGAGCCAGAGAATGCCCAGCGGCACCTCTTCGTCATGACTGATCATAATAACTTGGCATTCGGCTACCGGAAGTTTGCATGTCCTGGTCGGTTCTATGCCGCTAATGAGATGAAGATGATGCTGGCGCATATGCTCATCTGCTACGATATGAGGTTCCCTGATGGGCGCGGGAGGCCTAGGAACTTTACTATCGACTCGGATATGTATCCTGATCCGGCTACGCGGTTGCTTATCCGGAAGAGGCGTTCCATTGGAAAGGGTATGGAGGAGCTATTGAGGTCTGTTGCTCCTGTGGCTGCTTGAGTCGGGTTGCATTGGTTTCCGCTTGTGGGAGTGTGAATATGAAAGGACAGCTTGGCTTACGGATTTTGTGTGTAAAGCCTTATGGGCCAAGATTTGAGAACAATGCATAGTTCAGTAAATTGTGATTCTATTCTTGTTCTAGGACGTACAATATACATGGCTATCTGGAGTCGGAGAAGGTGGATAGAGCAGACCATATTCCTCTCCTTCACTACCCGGAGTTGTACACCATCTACTCACTAACCACCGGCCCATTCGCAGTCAGAAATTCAAAGTCAGCCCCCAGGTGTGCTTGATTGACTTCCCGCTCATAAAGACCCCGATACCCCCGTTGATACCGTCTCTTCCTCCACGTGGAGTCCTCCGACTCCGTGACTGCTTGCTCTCGCTGTCTAATCCTGTCTTGGAGCTCCTCCTCACTAATATCCAGCTGCAGCAACCTAGCTTCTACATCGCAAAAAATCATATCACCCGTCCGAACAACACCGAACGGCGACTCCGGTACTGCAGACTCTGGGGAAACATGCAAGATAATTGTCCCTCCAGCAGTACCAGACATTCTCCCATCCGATATCCTCAACATATCTGTCACTCCCTGAGCTGCCAGCTTGCGAGGAATAGGAATCATGCCCGCTTCAGGCATCCCCGGGTTCCCAATGGGCCCAATGCCTTGCAGAACGAGAACAGAATCTGCAGTTACCTCAAGCTCGGGGTCGTCTAGTCTTTTAGCTAGATCCCGGGGGTTCTCAAATACCACTGCGGGACCTCTATGCCGGAGGAGTCGTTTGTCTTTGGAAGCGGATGCCTTGATGACCGCCCGGTTGGGGGCTATATTGCCCGCCACAACAACCAATGAGGAAGAGGGGCAGAGCGGATTGGAGAGGGTTCGGATGATCTGCCGCGAGTACTCGAAGTCCCGGAACGGTGTTCGGTTTAGTATGTCTCCCAGTGTTTCGCCGGTAATTGTCATCGCAGATTCGCGAAGCAATGGTCGTAGGCGATGCAGAAGACATAGCATGCCACCGGCGTTGTGAAAGTCTGTCATATAGTTGTCTCCGCTGGGCTTCAAGTCCACTAGGAGGGGCGTGCTTCGACCAATCTCATCGAGTGTCTTGAGATTGATTGTTCCGCTGATATCGGGGTGTCGGTTGATAATGGCCATTAGGTGGACCATCGCGTTTGTTGACCCGCCAATGGCCTGGAGAACAACAGCGGCGTTATAGAATGAGTCGGCTGACAGGATCTGTCGTGGTGTTCTTTGCTCTTTTGCAGCGGCTACTGCGTTGGCACCCGTTTGTTCCGCTATCCGCAGTCTTGCAGCCGATACAGCGGGTGCTGAAGCGCCCTGTAAGGGAGTTAGTCCTAATGCGGCGGTGATACACGCCATAGTGCTTGCTGTGCCCATGACGCCACATGTTCCAATCTATAAATTCATTAGCTGTGGCCTATATAGAAGAGACAGGTTGAACGAACCGTTGGCGCAAGCTCCTCATTAATCGAGGTAATCTCTTCCACGTCTATAGCCCCCGCCCGGAATGATGCCCAATTGTTTCTGCAATCAGTACAGGCTCCGATCCTCTCCCCCCTGTGACTGCCAGGCATCATTGGCCCAGTTAGCAACGGCAAAACGGGCTTGTTTGCAGAAATGCCTCCCATAATCTGGGCAGGGACTGTCTTATCGCAACCTGCAATTCTTAGCACCACCCGCCGCCTTCGGAGAAATAGGGTGAAATACCTCCGATCATAATACAAGCATCAACCGGCTGCGCGCGGATCATTTCCTCCGTATCCATACTCATCAAATTTCGAAGGAACATACTCGTTGGATGCGAGAATCCCTCATGTAAACTAATGGTCGGAAAGTCGATAGCAATACCGCCGTTCAGATGGATGCCTCGCTTGGCGGCCTCGATCAACTGCGGAGTGTTGCCATGGCATGGGTTGAAGCCAGATCCGGTGTTGATTATGCCAATTATAGGACGAGATAGCGCATCCTCTGAGTATCCCAGTGCTTTGATGAAACACTTTGCGCAGGAATAATGAGAAGTGGGCATCTCCATAGGATGTCAGTCCTTGCCGCAAACCTGTGGTAGAGGTGATTGGCTGCTGGAGGTTATAATCCTGGTTCTCAGGCTCTGTGGTCTCCATTTTCCCGGCCACCATGTGTTACGATACTCCGTGGAATGAGTTCGGATGAATCTCCCCGGTCATTGGCGATGTTCTGGTGGGGGATTTATAATGATGATAATCATGGCATTCGGCAAAGCTTCATAGCCGAAGCCAGCGGAGCATCTCCGTCGACTGCGGCAGCGACCCGTTCATCTGTGTGGTCGTGACAACATATTTTCTCAATCCCTACATCATAAGACACAGGTAGACGCGAAGCTTTGTGGGAGCACTAGGCTTCTGTCATTATGTTAGGTCATCCGTCTTTAACTCATCTGGCAATGTCAATCCGGGGTAATGGGGTGGCCGGGAGGGAAGTCCAGGTTGGGGCCGTTGTTTGGGTGGGTTGGGTTGTGGATAGAGTCATGATGATATGGTTTGGGTGGATGTTGTGAGGGAGATTGGAGTTATTGGATGTGGTGCGCTTTGAGGGTGTTGATGTTGATGTTGATAGTTATACTATGACTACTATGAATTAGCATCGGTTCAATAGGAGGAGCGGAGCGCATCCGTGTTTCGGGGCGGAGTCGATCCGCTGCTGGGAATAGTCACTCTAGCTCTTTAAGTACTAGAATCTTTGGTTTTTGTAAAGCATGATGGTTTTTTTCTTCAATTATATCAGTATGCTTTTAGTTTAGTTGAATTTATTGATTTTCAGTATTTTAGTCTCTATCTTCCATTCTTTTTACTTTTTGTTCTTATTTTTATTTCATTTTCTAATCGTAAGGTATGCTGCTCTCTCGTAGTCTGTGAACCCGCTGATGCATGAACTATAGAATCCTTTAACAGCTATTCTCAGTTCAGAATAAGTATCATCCCTAGTAGGGATAACAGTCAATCAACCAGGAGCAACCGCTACTAGGAATCGACGATTGTGCTCGTATATTTCTGCGATAATCCGTCTATCCCACCTGCTTCCGAAGGACAGGAAGAGTGACTACAATCACAGACTGGGCTGAGCTCCCTTTCTTTGGCAAGCCTGTTGAACCACCCCAAGGGAAAAATGCTTGAGCCGTTGAGCTAGAGATTGTTTGTTCATGGAAAACGAGATTCTTTGCCTTTTCCCATTTCGTTAACCTGGATTGTTTGCATGGCATTGGATAATGATAAGTGGCAGGACACACTGGGGCTGTATGGGAATAGTATATGCCAGGTAATAAGTTCAGTCCAAAAAAAGTCATCCCTAACTGCATTAAAGGGTTTGTTGTGTTCCACACGTTGATCATAAAAGTTGACCGGGGTACATCAGGGAAGATATGCCGAGTATGGAAAGCAGCCATACGCTATATTATCAGATAGTATATGTTTGACGTGGAATGTTATGAGAAAGCTTTGCTGGACCCGATACATCCTAACGTCTTCCGTCGATTAGCGCGATCATCGCGGCTACGAGATATATACTACATAGTCTATTGTCCTGATGATGCAGGGAACCTAAGTTTTCATCGGTCATTCAACTCAGCTAACCCGGTTTCTGTCCGTACACAACCTGTCTGTGAAGGGTTAGAATCGTGTCATAATCATGCAAGAAGCTCACCGACATTTGCAAATATCCCTCAATCTTGCCCTTTAGTGCCCGACGCGCTGAAGCGCACATGAGCACAGTTTCCGCGAAGCTCTTTCCAAGGTACTTTTCCAGTAGTGTGAAACTGTACCCTTCCAGTCCTGCCGCCCAGTTCTGAATGATCTTTTTCGTCAATTCGTCGCGGCCCGCAGTGCATAGAGGTATAGCGTAAGTATGTTGAGTGACGTTGGTAAATCCATGCTGACTGAGTTCCGCTCCGAAATGAAGAGGAAGATCCAACTGGCGACCATCTCTGGCGTGGGCTGTCGTCATCTCCCGGATGTAACTGTGGAATGGACTGTCTTCACCAGGGTTATCTAGTTTAACTCTCATATCACATATCTCCACCCACCCGCCTAGGGCGCAGCAACTAGATTTATGATGAGTTGGTCTGGCGGTGAAAATTCCTTCTAGGAGAGTGATTACCTAAATGATCCCTCGAGCAGAAGTGACAAGAGCTGGCGATCACCCTGGATCTGATTAATATGGACTAAGTCAATATTTGCGTATTGGGTATGCCAGCCTGGTTCACAAAGGTTGTCGACCCAAAACTCGCAGTTTGGTGGTACCCTATATCAATTAGTTGGAATTTAGGGCCATGCCACGCAAGGAAGTCGTACCATTCCTCTTGCATGTTTACTAAATCGATGCCGCGAACCTAACTGGTCAGTTCCTTTGCATCGATGCATAATGTCTTCAGACTTACAGTCGACGAAGGATATCTTTCTGCTGCATAATATATTAATCCCCGGATAAAGAACAATCGTAAATACAGCTTGAACATACCACATTCCATAGCCCAGCAACCAGTGCCAGTGCGAATGTCAAGGACGCTTCGCGGACTCTGTATAGGGGCGAGGTATAATCTATCCTGGAACAGCTCACGAAGCAAAACGTGTTGTTCCTCTACTCCATTATTAGCTAGGGATATTATATCGTAGCAGATACCCATACCTAGTCTGTCTTTCTCTAACTTCAACTTGTTAGCTGCAGCATTCCAATACAAGTAAGGGGCTCACCTCGTCAATCGGCCACGGATGTTGCTCCAAGCGTGTCAAGGAATAGCGTCGACCATGCCTGTACAGGTTCGGATGGGGCTCAGTATCGAAGCTCTCTGTCTCTCTTTCTTTCAGTCAGTCGTTGGTGCAGAATATAGATGAATGGATAGATACATACCGCTCCATATCATAGTCCACTGTGTCTAAGTCTGATATACTGTCTTCCATAACGTTTGCTGTTCCAGTATCTCGGTGACTAATTACCATGGATGAAGACGGGTCGCATACTTTAAGCCATGGATTCAACACTTATTTAACTTCATGATAGCCGTCACAATATGTACTCTGCGCCTGTCAGTCTAAAAACAAGGGTTCAGGCACGAACCGCGGAAGCGCATCCACTTCCGATAAGGTTCGGTGTGACTCGGGATTTGCGTCGGCATTAGAACAACCTTACTCCGGATGATTCCAGCACATGCAGGAAGAAACTGCCTTATAGCAGTTTTCCATTTACCCACTACACTATATTTATTGTGGCGCGACTAGCGAGGCAAGTGACTGAAGTCCCACATCGGAAGGAGCCGGGGCCTGAGCGGTTACTATTTCCGTTCGGTTGCAGATTCGTCGCTTCCTTCTTATACATACGGCATCTACTCGATTCACAGATATCAATGAAACTTCCACACCTAACCATCATGAGATCACGGATACTCAGGTTTCACCGAACGCCTGCACTCTCTGTAGAGTGCAGGCTCTATGGTACAGCTTGTTTCAAAACAAACCGAGTCTATTCAGGAACAACAATGCTCCCCAGCTCATTTAGATGAAAGGCACACTATCAAACAATATAAGGACGAGGGCCGAGTTATCTCCAGTTCGCCCGATACCCCATCAATGATCACCTGCACAGTACATCGAGAACCATCGATCAAGCTTGTTTTGTGCCACTGTCGTGCAGGCGCCACCTATCATTGGCGGAACGCGCAGCCGGAAGGATCGATATGCAAGGTTAGCTCATCAGTGGGCCTTGCGCGCGATTCTATCCTGGAACAGGAAAAAGGTAGGCGATAGATAAACTGTGCACACTAGGGCGGTCGATCTATTCCTATCCGTGATCTGCAGCATTAACCAGGCAATTCGAGGCTATATGATGTACCTTTATAACGCCTATAGCTATCTAGCATAGGCCTAGATTCAGCCTTTCTTTTCCACGGCGGACTTATGTTTCAGATTTTCTTTCTTTTGTCGCTGAACCTTAATATGCCGATATTGGATGAAATAATCCTGTTCTCGTTATTGGGAATAGTCGTGAAGCCGTGCTACAACGATCGCCGCGGCTAACCGGTAGAGGGTTTTCTCATTAGGGCATGAGTCACTGAGTTGCTGGCACTCTCGTTTCTCGGAGAAACTATTGAGAAACACGATCTCTCCAAATATGTAGAGAGTATAACGCCATCCTTCGTTTCCTAACTTGTGCACTAGATGATATAGTCGTGACGGATGTTGAGGCAGAGGCTTTGCTAGTTTTAGTCCTCTCTGAGGCGGGACCTAGGCTTTCCGAGCCTTAGAGGGAGATCTTTCCCTGATCTTTGATTTGAAATGATCCAAATAGTCTTCTCAACGGGTCTAGACAGGCAGAGGTGTTCTAGTCGGCATGAACGTATATTAGAGCTGCATAAAGACGAAGGATTGCGATGCAGGGTTCACTAGAGGACGGTAGCCAAGCGATCACCTGCATAAGCGTTGGGGCTGGCGAGGCTGTGGCTCCGCCGATTGCACGCCACTGGGCGAAGAGTAGCCTGAAGCAAAGTATCCTGTTTCTTAGCATATTGGACTGGCTGTTAAGTGCTCTTGCAGTTACAAATTATTTCTATGAAAGTTTCTCGCATGGTTGTGGCAGCATTACACATGTTAATGCGATTGTGATTGTGTGATTGTGACTGTAATGTAGTTCCGATCAAGGAGAGAAGAGAGAGAGAAGAGGTTATCCCAATCTTGTGAAGTAGACACATGGTTTGCTATACTACCTAGGAAGACAGGATGATGTTATGTGACAGAGTACACCCTCACAATCTTATATCTCCATTTTACCATGGACTAATAGTATAGACGAACTATATATGTATATCCATTGTCACTGGCTCATCACTCAAGCTGCACAGCATAAACGGTCATTACCAGCCGCAATGCGTAGCTACGTCTTCGATTTTCATTGCCAGGAAGCTCTGTTCCGCTTGTTATAGACCAGATTTGCCAGTTTCGCCATATCAAGGTCGAAATTTTGCCCTGTTATATCAAGTAACAATCATATTTCCTGAACACTGGAGTCTTCAATCGCTGTGTGCTTTGATTTTCGTGCCCTTATTTTAAAAACTGAATTATAAGTCAGGGAAGCGCGTCATATCCTTTAAGCAGACATGTTTTTCGTCAATGTGGAGATTCCCAAGATCACACAGACGATGGGATAGCAGCGGGAATTTGACCTCGACCCACAAATCTCTCGTCGTTATAGGTACCTACCTCTCATCTTGCAGTCTCATATCGGCACTCGTAGATATGATCTACATTTAACACAGCCTGATATCCTAGGTAAGATTGTCGCAGTCAGTGACCGTGTCAACGCCACCCGGTTTTCAACATTCTCCGTCGGAGTTTGTTCACGCGGTTTACTTTCCGCTAGACGGTGGTATGTCTTTTGGGTGTGTCAGGTCACAATGGTTTTACAGAGCACCCCAATATCTGCTCTGCGTAGTCTCCAAGACCAGCCAACAAAGACGAGTCCAAATATGATGGAAGCCCCAACGACGGCAGTCGCAAGGGATAGGACCTCCGCCATATTAGAAGCGTGCACATCCATGCAAATGAGGCGACTTACCATCTCTCAGAGATGGCGTTGCTTCGAGTACAAGTAATATTTCCACTTGGTAACAGAACTGCATATCAGAGCTTCATGCCCTCACGATATGCCGCATAACCAGGCAGCGGCGACTGTGATGATGGTGGTGGTAGCGCCGCTGGCGCGAGAAAGGCGAGGCATCAATTCAAGCGATGCTTGGAAACCCCTGTCGCTTCAATTGCTCAGTTCGGAGCAATACCCAGCAGCGGGTGTCCCTGTGGGTTTACCATCTGGTTGAAGGGGCTATGGCAATGCCTTGGTCATTTTGAACTGGTGAGAATTCTCCTACCCATCTATATGTGCCGAAATTGATGCCTGTTGACACGTCGGAGATTTGTCTGGTAGACGCGGACTGATTCCGAGGTTCAGCTGGGGCTGTGAAGGACGTGATGACCTGCCCGTCGCAGTAAAGGGGCCCACCTTTCTTAAGCAGAGGCTGGAATGGTACATTCCGGGTCCTTAATTTCCGTCAATGCGCAGCCAACAATGGGCAAAGGAGCGGACGCTATCCCGAGCACTTTCTGCATGTATATGAGGACCTGTGAGCTCTTCGAGCCCTAATTTGGCTATTATAGTGGGATATATTGTGGTTAATGTTATAAGTTTCATAATAAAAATTAGAAAGTCTTCGGTATAGGAATTTCGACATCTTCCTCTGTAAAGTGCCAATTACCAGCCAAAGAGTTTCCGACATTCCGCACTGGGGTGATTGTACCTGTCCCTGGCTGTGATACCGGAAACTTCACAGCTGTGCCAGAATTGGGTAGATCTGTAGGTCCGGTTAGCCCCGTATACTTCTAAGCAAAGGCACTATACATACATATGGTAAGCAGTCGTTGAAAGTTCCTATTATATCGCACCAACGCCTCCAAGGCATCACGCCGAAACCTTTTGGCAATACCTTCGAGTTTCGATCAATTTGCTAGCCACATTGCAAACCACGACGGTGTGTTTATGTTCAGGGCTCCAAGGGGCATGTCCACGTCCAGCTCCCATGACCTTAGTGATTCTTCCGCATATCATGCTCTTGAATTAATGCAAACATTTTATTTCATTAAAGAGTGCACTAAAAATCTCTCTATTGAGTAACCGACCACTTACTCACTGCTCGAAGTTCCAAGGTCCCTAGAGCAGTTCCTACTCAGATCAGGCTCGCTGTCCGTTGCCGTCGTTCCTCCACCGGGGAAGGGAGCACATTTCTGCCATCGGGCTATAGATTGGGTTCTCCCTAGCATCATAAAACGCCTCGGAGTATGATTTGAGAGTCGACGCGTTTCCAAGCATACCTGTAGGCGCATAGCCGGTTAGCAATATGAACCGGGTGTCAGTATATTCATTCCGTTTCATCGGTGTCTTTGCGGGGAACAGGCGACACAGGGTTCTCCGGTCTATGTTCAGCGGAATTCCAGTCTGGTCTTTCATATATATGCTCCTTGCGCAACGTTACACCTGCATCATCGCAAGCGACGCTGGATTTTGTAATCTTGAGCCTCATATGGGACAGAGACTGTGTGTATAGATATGGTCAATTCATAAACCTCCTGCATTAGAGAACAACACGAAGGGCGCAGATCTTCGGGCAGCTTTGTGTACGCTGTTCACTATGCTCAAACCTCATCCAAATATATAGACAGGAACCATATTCAACGCAGTGGTTGATATATAAATTGTGGATTCAACGTATGATAATGTTGGCACGAATCGTTCCACGTAAGGGGGTTGGGGAGGCTATCAAAACAGGTAGAGGTGCTTCATGTGCTAATAAACTAACCACTAGTTGCCATAGCAAAGCACGAGCAGATGTCGAGTGATC